TTTAATGATCAACTGCATATCTAACTCATACAATTTATGGCCAGAATGTAGATCAATTTGGCTGCAAAATTATGTGATGATCTGGCCAAAATTAAAGAATTTTTTATAGCGTCATTTATTCTAATTTGGAAATTGCAGGCAAATTTGCCCGCAAAACGGTTTAAAGGATAACGTGATAATACATTAACTAATTAAGCTTTTTTCATCAATAAAAATTTATTGGAAAAATTGAAGTTTATAATGATTATTCAGTTAAATCCTAATTTATAAAATATGCAATTAATAGCGAATAAAAACTGCCATAATCTTATAAAAAATGCTGTCCAAATATAGTTCAGTTTTTTGTTCAGAAAATCGACCCTGTTCCAAACATTTACTTGATATTTATTGGACATTCATCATGATATTGTACGTTTTTTATGTGGTTAAAAATTCTCAATCTCTGCATCTTGTATTAAATTGTAACAAATATTGTATAATAGCGTGTGAGTGTCCAGAAAATCAAATATTTATCGGACAAACATTTTTTATAGTGTAATGTTATATAACCATGCGAGGAATAGATGTAACACGTGTCCCATATTTGTGAACTGATCTGATACTATTGCAAAAAATAATAATTGAACTAGTAGTAAAATGGTAAATTTCTAAGATGAGTTTTAATACCTTTCATTATTAATAAAAATCATGCCTGTAATAGTGCTCGGTACGGGTCAGATCAGACCCGGGTGATCAACCTGACTTGAATTTTGAATCGAATCGGGATTAATCATTTTAATGACTTGTAACTCGCATGACCCGACCCGTCAGGTTAAGGTTGTACTGTTATTTTGACCCTGATCAACCCAGGTGACCCAGATGACGCGTTTTTTCCCTATCACTAAGTCACAAAATGTGAGTTTTTTTGTAAAAAACTTTATTAATAAATAAGAAATAATGTCTGAGACTATTATTAATATTGCTGAACCAACAAATCAACTCGGAAAATGAAAAGCTTTACGTAATGAGCTTTTTATTAAAAATCTCTTGAGGAGAAAGAACTCCTTCAGAAAATAAAGATGCAAATACGCATCGTAAAGTCAGGTGTCTTAACTGTTCATCAAGTAGTAAAAGTTTTTAAAGTATTAAATTTAACTTAAAATATACATTTAATATTATTTCATAATTTATTTTAAAACCACAGGTCGAAATGCTAAAAATCGGCAAAAAAAATGGCGCGAAAAGCAGTGGCTATTCTTGGCTATTCTTGGCTATTCTTGGCTGTTTTTGGCTATTTACGAATTAACCTATACTATTTATAAATAGTTTATACAAATTTGCGAATAGTTTATGCGATTTGCGCCATTTTTTTTGCCTATTTTTGGTCATTTGACATGTGAACTCTATAGTTAATAAGACTTGGCTATGGCTTATTGTATGAATTATTGATAATATTATTGAATACAAATTTTTTCTGATGAAGCTGATCTACTGGCAACAAAATGATGCAACTTTAAAACACAAACTGTTCATGCATGTATTTGTTTTGAATCTTGGTGGGTGTGAAAAATCAAAGAAATTTAAACTGAATTTTATATTAATTAATAAATAAACATTAATACAATAAAAATTGTAAAATTTTTCGTAAAATAAATTGCGTAACTTGATGATTAATTTATTTAATATAAATTCAAGTTTGACCTGGGTTATCCGGGTTAAACTATGATCGGGCGAATCAAGTTCGGGTTACACAGTTGATCGATCTGAATTTTCAAGTCAAATTACATAAATATTCGAGTTGAATTCAAATATCCCTCAAACCTGACCCAACCCGACCCGTTAGGAGCACTAACCTGTAAAATACTGTATACATGCCACCCAAATCATTTTGGACTGCCGTAATTATAAGTAAAATCCCAAATTCAATTATGGCATCCCAAATTATTTTGGCACTTTACATAGTAAATTATATATAAACCGAATGAATTATGGCATCCCAAATTATAATTATGGCATCCCAAAATAATTTGGGCAGCATATATAAAATACTGTATATAACTAAACATCGGGTTTTCTTTTAATGTTATATCTTTAAATTTTAAAAATTGGTATCATATTTTATATCATAATGAAATATAGTAAAAACTATTTTATTACAATTAATTTGGTTCATTTTACTATGTATCATCACATTTATGTGAATTATTTTATAGCGCGTCATAAACAAAAAAAATTTTTGCTAATACGTTTTGATAATCAATTACTATTAAAACAGCTTATCACTTATAAACAAATGTCAAAAAGGCAAGACAAAGGTTGATTCATAGAAATCTTAAAAAATTTACTATTTACAGTTCAATCTGAGATTTAGAGATTTATGTTATAAATTTAATGATAAAATTTGAATATAAATGGAAATAGATTAATCACTAGATTTTTAAGTTCCTAACCATAAAAAAATTTTTGGTTGTCATATTCACGCATCAATCAAACAGTTAATTACCCAGTAATTAGTTTTTGTATAAATTTGTACCAAATGGGCTCATCCATATATAATTGGCTCTAGATTGGCTTAAATTTGGAGCCGTTTGGTATAAAAACTATTTACTGGGATTACTGTATATTTTTTACTTACCAGTTACATAAATAGTAGTTTAAATTAATTAAACTTTTATCATTTAACTAACTTTTAGTTAATGATGTAATTTTTTCCAATTGTATATACAGTATACAATATATTTAGCGCAATTATGCTTTTCGTTATTATAAGTTATGACCTACTGGAAAAAATTAACGTTTAAATGTGTAAGATTGCGTACTTTAATTTATTATTGAAATTCTCTATAAGAGATCAATTTGGGTTCTATTGGTTTCTTGAAAAGGTGAAGAAAATGATGTAATAAATGCATTCGTTGCATTTTTTGTCACAAATGTGATTTGTTAACGCCTCGTTCTAAATCCACATTGCCTCTTTTTTTTAAACAAATATATTTTACGAACGTGTTTTGCATGTTCAGATTTAATGGTATGTACATTATATGCAAACATATTTAAATTTAAAACGATCTTATTAACAATTTTTTTTAAAAAATAAAAATATTCATAATTTTATACATACACACATAATAATTATGGTGCAGATTTCTTTAGATGTAAAATCAATAATTTTAATCATGTTATATTGTATTCAAGCCTTTTTGTATAAAAGTATTATTTTCCTGATCCTAAATTTATTTTTGGCCAAAATTAAAAAAAAACTTCGCCTGGAACCCTATAAAAACGAAATGTGTTAAATTTGTTTTATATTTGTGTTCATATGTAATAAAAGTCTAAAAAAACACCATTTTGTTTAATTTTTGTTTTTTGTAATGAGACATAAATCGGATAAAATCATGCTTTTTTAGACGCTTTTACACGAACACGAATATACACTATAAAAAAATTTTATCCGTTATTTCTGTAAAAACTCCAAAAAAATGAGCCTTTCACGGATCTATTCACGAAAAATGATTAATTCCGGAAATATGAGCCTTTTACGGAAAAAAGATGGAATATAAAAAATAGATCGACTTTTTTTACAGGAATACATTTCATTTTTATAGGGAAATAAGTTATAACTGTACGACAGACATGACAAACCGATTGGCAATTGGGTGTGGGAGAATTTCGGAGTTTATAACCGTAATTAGCCGTAATTAAAAATTCATAAGCTGTAATTAAAAATTCATGACAACCAGTAATTAAAAAATTCATAAATTATACGACAAACATGACAAACTGATCTCGGTATTCCTATAATAATATAAAAATTCCGTTATTTTTCATTATCTCATTATTTTTTCTCTTTGCAATTTCAAAGTTAATATATTTTTCTTTGGGCAAATTTATATAATTTGTTATGGCTACTATTAGATATGAATTTGTTTATGCTGCAATTAAAAGAGCTGATGCATTAACAGATTCTTACATTCGCGATGACGTAACAAACCGATTTGAATTTATGAAACAAACAATTCTTGATGATAAATCTCCTACAAAAGATGAAAATGGGAAGCAATAAAAATAATAACAAAAGATTATGATTATATTAAAGTTTTAGATAATAAAGGAACAAAAAGACTATGTGAAAATTGTGCTTTAGAGTGTTTGGCAACATTATATTGTGAACATTGTGTTTGAACCTATTTAAAAAATAATTTTTCAAACTGGACATCTGGAAATCGTCATATTGATAATTTAATACAAGAATGACAGATCGAATCATTTCGGCCAGATAAAATAATTGAATGGATACCATATAATAATTTACAAGATATTAAATATATAACTAAAGGTGGATGTTCTGAGATTTACTTAGCAATTTGGATTGATGGACATTATATTGAATGGATTTCTAAGGAGCAATAATTTAAAAGATCAGGAACTTTTAAAGTAATACTTAAAAAATTGAAGAACGTTGAAAATGCTAATAGAAGTTGGTTTGATGAGATAATAATTTAAATATAATTTTAATTTTATAAATCTTAAAATATGTAACAAATATTGTTTTTAAAAATATTTGTAGGCAACTTCACATTTAGCATTAGGTAATAAACATAATATCCCTATAAAAAGTATTATACTTAAAATATATTTAAAATATATTTAAAATATACTTAATTTAAAAAATTGCAAAATACTTAAAATATATTTTTAATATATCTAAAATATACTTAAAATTATCTTAAAACATATGTCTAATATATTTTAAGATAATTTTAAATACATTTTAAGTATATTATAAGTATTTCGCAATTTTTAAATTAAATATATTTTAAGTATAATTTAAATATATTTTAAAAAGTTTTTAATTATATTTTAAATATAAATACTTTTTATAGGGTATTCTTGCCAAATGTTATGGTTTAACTCAAGATACAAATGGGGATTATATGCTTGTAATGCATTTAATGGATACAGATTTAAGAAAATATGTACGGCACCAACATATATGAAAAGAAAAGATAAATATATTTTGGTTTATTATTGATGCACTTTATAGAATTCATTGTAACGGAGCGGTACATCGAGATTTGCATTCTGGAAATATTTTATATTGTGATGGTTTTTGTTATATAAGCGATTTTGGATTTTGTGGACCCGCTGATAAACCATTAAGAAGTATATATGGAAATCTTCCTTATATAGCACCTGAGGTTATAATTGGAAAAGAATATACTTATGCATCTGATATCTATAGTTTTGGTATACTTATGTGGGAAATTTTATCAGGACAGACACCTTTTGATAATTATGAACATGATTATGGTCTTGCAATAAAAATAGTTAATGGTATGAGACCAAAAATCCGAACAGGAATTCCGTCAAAATTTAAAGAACTAATGAAACAATGTTGAGATGCTGATCCATTAAAAAGGCCTGAAACAAGTACTCTTTATGAGGAGATTTTAAAAATGCGTAATAATTTTTATAAAGATGACAATGATGCAAATGAATTTAATACTTTAGAATATAATAATTCAATTCAAATTTCTAGTTTAAGTTCAAATTTAAGTTCAAGTTCCTCATTATCAACTAGTAAACTTCATCAATTTGAAAATTTACCAGAACTAAGAAATGCGACTGAAGGTAAGATATCAATATAAAAGTTGTTATTATTTTAAATAAATAATTATTCAAAAATTACTATGTTTATTATTTTTATATTAATATCAACAGAAGAACAAGAAGGTAATTAATATTTATGAATTGTACTTTATATCTCTTCACATAGTATAGTAGTAACCTTTAAATAATGTCTTTATAGCATTTCATAGCAAACCTTACGATTTCATTATACCTGATAATAGTATGTATATTCAAAAATAACATTATATTATTTATATTAATAATGGATATGCTTAATAATTATTATCTTTTATTATATTAGTCAAAGATCTTAATTCGTCTAAAGACCAAGAGGAACTTATTAAGGATCTAAATAGATTAGAATTAGATAAGTAAATTTTTGTAATTTCATTTATAACAACATTCACGTAAATATGGTTTTGTGATGCTTTCCTAGCTAACATTATTAAGGATGAGAAGTACTAGTGTATTATAGAACCATTAAATATTATATTAAAATCGTTAGTTTTATTATTTTATGTATTATGAAATTTCTTTAAGAATTTTGTTTATTAAACACAAATCAAATATCGTGATGCCATTGAGAGATAGAGTGTTCCCGTTAGATAGATAAATCTTCTTCCTCTTGTACCATTCATTCAAAAATTCATACGAATTTAATATTTGTGAGATTACTTTTATGGATAATTCAATGTTAATTCCAGCTAGTTAGTAAATGAGGTTATTGGGGTTAGATTTAAAGATTAGCTTTAAATGGGTTATATTTTATGTGTAACAACTTCTTTTACATTTTTATTTATGATATAAATTGGGTATTGCTAAAGTTCACCAGTCATGATGGTCACCATACCAGCATTATGATGTACTTTTGGCCAAAATTAAAATCTAATAAAATAACTGGCCGGTATTACATCATAATTTCATCACTGGTGACCGTCACAACTGGTGATATTTAGTATACCCTAATAAATTTATTTATATATCTTTCATTATATTTTAAAAATCAATAATATGGTATGGTAATACACTATAAATTAATAAGTTTATTGGAAAAACTGAACTTTGTCATAATGAATATTCAGTTAATCCTAATTTATGAAATATGCACTTTGCCAGCATAGCGAATATGCTTATATCACCTTGCCGATCATTTGCCGATTATATTATATGTGATATCACACTAATTTTGAGACTTTATTCCAGGCCATAAATATTCTAAAAAATTATTTTAAATTGTTTTTTTAATAGTATAATATATTAATAATTTAGTATAAAAATTTTGTAGCAAAATAAAATGTGGCGCCAAAGTTAGCTTTAGGCCGAAATTTTCAATATTTGATATATATGCTGATCATTTCTTAATCGGACTTTGGAGCTTCGGGCGAAGCCACAGATGTTCGGGCGAAATTTGAAACTTTTACAATATATTAATTAGGTATTCAAGAATTAATGGCTAAAATAACCAAGAATAATTTTTAATAACCAAGAAGTTATCATTAAATAAAGACTTGCAACTGTTATAAGGTTAATAAGGTTAATTTTTGGCACATCTTATGAACTATTTTAAGAATTAATTCATTAACAATATAAAATAAATAAATAAAGTAAAATGATTAAAATTTATATGGTTCACTTTTTTATAAATAGTCCTTTAAAAAATTCACAAGAAATATTTATAAAATTAACATCATTTTCAATATAAAATATTATTATTCAATTTAATATAAAAAATATTATTTTTTTTAACTTAATACAAAATAACACTTTTTTAACTTTAAATTTCTGAAATTTTATTCAAAAAAAATGTCCTGCAGTTTTAACTCAACTGATTGCAAAGGAGTAATTAGGACAATAACTAATAATACAAAAATTCCAATAACACAAAAAAAAACTATTTTAGTTGGTATGAAATTATATCAAACTCACTATAATAAATTTATTATTAATGAGGCTTATAGCCTAAAACATAATGAAACTTGCTCTCATCCAAAGCATGATGAATATAAAAGCCAATCAAAAAATGCAAATAAGAGATCAAAAAACCTTAATCTTGAAAAGATACCAAAAAGATTAATACCAATTTTAAATTTAGATGAGACTGCTAAAATTTGTAGTTTGTGCAGAAAAAAAACAGATAATGATCCTGATTATAATATGTTAGAAGAATATACTGCACCAATTTCCAAAAAAAAGGATGATGATAATATTTTAACAATGGGAAATCATACTTATTCATTTAGAAAAGATATTTTATATAATGGTGAAGAACTAAAACAATTTGAATCAGATTATCAAGAAATTATATCACAATTAACAATTACAGATGAAATTAGTTTAAGTAACAAAATTAAAAAAATGTCTAATATTCTTTATAAAAATCAAAGAATATTAGAACAAAAAACAATTTATGATCCTGATGAATTTAATAATATGTTAGAAACAGAAGATGATGTGATCCAAATAAAATTTGATACACAGTAAATTCAAATCAATAATAAGTTGTTTGAAAATTTTGAGCATATATTATTATGTAGAATTTTCCAATTTAAGTTAATTAATTTAACATAACAGTAAATATGCTATTATATTAAGTTAATTAACTTCGATTGGAAAATTCAACATAATAATATATACTCAAATTTTGTATACAGTTTAATATTGGTTTGAAATTACTGTATATAAAATTTTATTTGGATCGCATTACTATTGGATAACTTTTACTAATAGAAACTTTTAATTTTAATAAAAATGCTTAAAATTTAAAAGTTTCTACTAGTAAAAGTTATCCAATAGTAATACGATCTAAATAAAATTTTATATACAGTAATTTCAAACCAATATTAAACTGTATGCAAAATTTGAGTATATATTATTATGTAGAATTTTTCAATCGAAGTTAATTAACTTAATTATTGCGAAGTGATAAAATTGATTAAATGATCGACAAATGATCTACAGATGATCGGCAAAATTGTGATAAAATCGGGATGTTCGCTATGCTCACTTTGCCGAAACTATAAAATTTTTTTCCGATGTCAATATGATATTGATAAGGTATCAATAAAACACCAATATTGTAATAGTTTTAATGGTTTATATTCCTACATTGTTGCGCCACAGACACATCACAGTTATCACTACAACGTTATTATTAATTTATTATACGAATCTTGAAGATATCACATTAAAATCGTTAAGGATTTAATACAATATATTTTCAATATCACATAAATATTAAAATGATATATCACCAATTTTTTACTGAAAATTTATAATTTTATTGGATATTTATATTATATTGCAAATTATATTATCGATTTAACTATTACTTAATTCTATCGAATGTCTAGTGTAAATCTAATCTATCTGCTAAATTCACCTAGAAATTGTTCTAATTCGTTATACGGAGATAACGAACCCTCCGTTCCAGGAGGTTTAGTTCAGTATATAGTGAATTCGTTATATAATATACCGAACTAGTTTTCTTTATAGGTAATTTAGGCCAAATTTGTAATGCTGGCCAAAATTATAATTTCTTTTAACATAAATTTTCGAAAAAATTACTAGCAATTCTGGTCAGCACTATAAAATTGGCCTGGACTACATATAGTCACATGACCGTTCGTTATAGAAAGTATAAAGTTATTATATAGCTGATATATATGGGCTGGTTAAGTTTGGTTCAGATGCGTTATATAGTGTTTTATTATAAAAGTTCGTTATATCCAGTGAAATTATTTATAAAAAATCGGTTCTGGAAATTATGATTCGGTATAGCGAGGTTTCGGTACAAACAGGTTCGTTATAACCAGAGTCGACTGTACTACCTAAAAAAAAATGTTAAAAAATTAATAACAAATTCAACACTTTCAAAAACACAAAAATCATTTAAATTATAATTTGATAAAACCCACCATAAATTTACTATCTATAAATTATTATAAATTCGTTATTTCAATTGAAAGGAGGAAATTCTGATGGTAGGAAACCTGTCCGAATCTACAAATAAAAAAAATATTAAAAAATATTTCAAAAAATATGATTAGTAGGTTTCATAACAAAACTTTGATTCTGATAGTCTGTTCCATCTAAATCTACAAAAAAAAAGAAAAATTTTGAAAGAACTTACTAAATTTACCATCAACTAAAAATATAAGCCCAGGATCTATAAAAATTAGTCAATAAAACGTTTTTTAAAATTTTTGAATTATTATTTAAAAACTTACTAGAATTTGGCTCATAGTCCAAAATCGGGCTGGATTTCTAGAAATAAAATAAAAAAAGTTAGAAACAACTTTTATTTAAAGTTTTGAAATACCTTTCTAAAACTCAGATGAGAGTACGGAATCCAAGTCAGAAAATGATTTCCTACAAAATAGAGCCAAATAAAGTTGAACATTATTTTGAAGAAAATTTTCTATATTTTCGATAACCCTACCAGACTTCACTTATTGTTATGGTCCAAAAAAAATGTTAATATAATGTATTTTTGTTAAAGTTTTCAAATTTTAACATCGAAACTTAATCCTTCTCACAAGTTTCTACACATCCAATATCTGAATAACCAAACCATCTACAAAAGAAGAAACAACCATTAAAATTATTTGCTAAAATAAAAAAAAAAATAAAATAAAAAAATAAATCTTACCATAATTCCATGCATTACATTTAAAAAAAAGAAACAAACTGTTAGAAACAGTTTGTTATAAAAGTCCCTAAAAAAAAGTTACTAACTTAATTTCCCACGCATTTATGAGAGTTGACCGTCTAAAAAAAAAGAAAGAAATTAGCAACTGTTCTTTAAAATACGGATAAAAAAATAAAAAAAACATCCACTGAAATCCTGCGTCCAGTTGAAGAGCTGTCTAAGTCAATATTTCACCTAATGTTTCGTTGAAAAAGAGAAACCAACAAATACCCACACTATCATCATTTTTGAGATATTACGACTTATAATTAATTCATGTTGTGGAAGAACTCCAAAATATCCAAATAATATAAATTAAAAGTACACACATGAAAGGAAAGGATGGGAGATGGACAAATAAAAGAACGAAGGGAAGTGAAAAGACGAGAAAGTGAAAGGAGAGTAAAAGAACAGATGAAGGAATGTCAGTAAAAAAAAGATCAGTTATACTAGCAAATTGAACTGTGGCGGTTATTAATACTCTATAATCACATGATATCGATCAACTCATCACCATGGCGATAGGCCATTACTCTTTTTTTTTTAAACAAAGATACTTATTTTACTAACGGTTTAAAATGGTTAAAAGAAAAAATTGTATATTCATAAATTTATAAATAATAATTGTGGCGCAAATTTCTTGTAACAAACTTAATTTGTTTTTCCGTATGTCAGTCAGATAAAAAAAAAAAATTTTTTTTTTTTAAACGTAAATATAAATAATAAATATGTTTTTATTTCTTGGTAAAAGATTTAAAAAAAAATTATAGTCTTCACCTGAAATTATAAGAATGTAATGCATGCACAACGAACATAAGTTGGGCGTGGGAGAATCCCAGAGTTTATAAACCGTAATAGTATAAAAATTCCGTAATTTTCATTATCTTAATATTTTCTTCTTTTGCAATTTCAACTTTTGAGCAAATTATCTTAGATTTTATTATGGCTGCTATTAGGAAAGAACTTGTTTATGCTGCAATTAGAAAAGTTGATGCATTAATAGATGTTAGCATTTACAATGACATGACCGAAATTCATGAATCTCAAATAAAATCAATTTTTGATGATGAATCTCTTATAAGCGATGAAAAGTTGGAAGCAATAAGGATATTAATAGAAGATCATGATTACCAAAAAGTTCTTCTTAATGAAGGAACAAAAAGATTGTGTAAAGAATGTCAAAAAGATTGTTTTGCTACATTATATTGTGAACATTGCGTTCGAACCTATTTAATAAATAATTTTTCTAACTGGACATCTGGAAATAGTGATATTGATAATCTAATACAAGAATGTCAAAAAGTATCACTTCGTCCAGATAAAATTATTGAATGGATACCATATAATAAATTACAAAATAGTAAATATATAACTAAAGGTGGATACTCCGAGATTTATTCAGCACTTTGGACTGATGGAGAATATGTTGAGTAGAATTCCGAAAAACGACAATTAGAAAGATCGAAACCACCTGAAGTCATTCTTAAAAAATTGGAAAATATTGAAAATGCTAGTTTGATGAGGTAATAATTTAAATTTAATTTATTTTATATATTTTAAAATACGTAATAATTATTAATTTAAAAATATGTATAGGCAAAATCACATTTAACATTAGGTAACAAATTTCCTACCTTTGTTAAATGTTATGGTTTAACTCAAGATCCAATAAATAAAGTTTATATGCTTGTATTGCAATTATTGAATAAAGATTTAAGAAAATATTTACAACATCAACATACATGGAAAGAAAAAATATATTTAGTTTATCGTATAATTTGTGCACTTATTGGAATTCATTGTAACAACGCAATTCATCGAGATTTACATTCTGGAAACATTTTGTATTCAATGTAGCGATTTTTGGTATATAGGTGATTTTGGATTTTGTGGGCCCGCTGATAAACCATTAAAAGTATATATGGAAATCTTCCTTATGTAGCACCTGAGGTTATAATTGGAAAAGAATATACTTTCGCATCTGATATTTATAGTTTTGGTATACTTATGTGGGAAATTTCATCAGGTCAAACCCCCTTTAATAATTACGAACATGATTATGATCTTGCAATGAAAGTAAACGGTATGAGACCAAAAATTAGATCAGAAATTCCACCAGGATATAACCAATTAATGAAACAATGTTGGGATGCTGATCCGTTAAAAAGACCTAAGATGATTATTATTTTTATTGTAATTTGTGTAATGTTGAATGAGGCTTATAATAATGATAATACAAACCTTATGATTTCGATATACCTAATAAATAATAATAGTAAGTTTAATTAAAGTAGTATTATATTATCTATTTTAAAAATATTTATGTTTACTGATTATTATTATGTTTTGACATATTAGTTGAAGATTATAATTCGTCAAAAAACCAAGAGGAAATTATTAAGGATTTTAAAGGATTAAAATTGGATAAATAAATCTTGTATTTCATTTATAACAAAATTGTTGTAAACTTCTTGGCGATACTATCCTAGCTAACATTATGAAGCTTTAAAAACAAATATAGTGGATTACGAACATTAAAATTATATTAAAAAATTTTAGTTTATTGCTTTATGTTTATTTAGTTTATTTAGAGACGGAATTTTTATTTATTAAGTTCAAAGCAAATATCTATATATAAATAAGGTTGTTTATTGTATTTAGGTTTGGGATTTCTTATATGTTTTATATTACTTATTTTTGTGTAACAAACAAATTCTTTTGTTTTGTTTTTTTTTGTAATAAAAGTGGAATTTTTTTTAAAACTGTCGTAGCATCTCGTGTTATAAGTATATTATAGTCGGAAAATATAACTAAATTTTGTGAAATCGAAAATTTTAAGTAAAATTGAAACTTTCAAAAAATAAAAAAATCGAAAGTGCGATTATTGTAACGCAAATAAATTACAAAATAATTGAATTAGTATAAAGTTATAAGGTTATTTTTAAAACCTTTAATATTAATTAAAATTTATATGTAAAATATATAATTTTGATTTGTTCAGACGTGATTACGCGACAACGCACGATTTTTATAAAAAAAAAAAAGTTGACGTCACAAAAATTAAGATAACCCTTTATCATATTTAAATCAAAAATGTAAAGGTACATTCATAAAGAAGTAATTCTTTAATTTTTTATTCTATTATAATAATTAAAAAAGTGAGTTAAATGAGACTCATACAATCAGGTTAGCAATAATAATGATTCCTACTAATTTCTAGAAAAAAAATTAACCTAATAAATCGTATTTATAATTGACAACTGGATTAATATATTGGTCGTCGTCTAGGATGAAGGTAAAATATAAAGTTCTTTATTCATTTTAAATAAACTACTTTAATTTGTTACTTATTAAAAGAACAAGATTTAAATAATGACTATGATAATTACTTTAATAACTTTTTTATATTTCACTATTGGTATATTATTAATATAAAATATCTTTAAGGTGCTAAACATTTAGCAAGATTCTTATGACAACGGACCGATATATATATATTTTAATATTAATATAAAAAACTATTTTATAATAGCACAAATGAACACAGTGTCGGTATCACTAGAAATAACCTTGGTAGTATTATAGTATTAAAATTTTAAAATTTTTGAAGACATTTTTTATTTTATTTTATTTTAATTTAGAAGTGTGGTTATTCTAGTCAAAGTATTATACAGATAGGGACAGCCGAGGCTTAACTAAATTTTTAAAGACATACTACAGTATAATTATGAACCTTTTGGCGTCAAATACATTTGAATCATGTGATTTGCTCAGCACGTGATTTACCTTCTATTACCTCGCAATTTATTCGGGCACAACTTCCATCTAGAAGAATTTAATATATGACTTAAATTTTGATTTAAAATAACCGTTAAATATACTGATTTTTAGATTTTTAAGAATTCGAATAAATCTAAATATTACATATTTTTATATATATGAAACGGGTACTGGTATTCATAAAGGGGGTACTAATAGACGGTGATACGAAAACTAAAAAAATTTTACGCGTACAAATAAAAATTAAAAAATTAAATAAAATGAAATGAAACAAATCATTTTTAAGAACGAATATGTTTAAGTCAATAAAAGGTATTTATAATTTTATATACTGTACATTAATTCATTTACGAACCTGAATTGCTATTTAAGGAAGTTTTATACAAAAGTTTGTTGATGAGTTTAAATTGTACATCTACATCATCATTACGAGATCTTTTATGCTCAGGAAACTTCGGGTCAGCTGATCGTGAGATTCTATTATCAGACGTGCAGCTCCTTAAACACGAGTTTAATTTTTTTCGTCTCTTTATCTTTTCTTCAAGTTTAATTATTTATAGGAAAAAACAAAAAGTAAAAAAAAATGTCTGTTTATGGGATGAAATTCGAAGACATTCCTTCTCCTATTGAAGAATTAAAAGATATCCCCTTTTCTAGGTATAATAATAACTAAGATAAAAATAATTAATTTTACTTAAAAAAAAATAAAAATAATATTAATCACATTTAATAGGATATCAAAGACAATTATGAAATCTATGGAAGAACGAGAAGGTAAAAGATACTAATGAAATTGAATAAACTTTATATAAACTTTACGAAAAGATATTTCTAATTTCGGCAAACGTCTCTTATTAAAATAATTTTTGTTAGAAGTAATCTCGACTCCTAGGCGACGAAATTACAATAATTATGGAGATATATCTCCCTCATCGATTTCCGTAAATTTCAGTAGAATGGAACTTAACGATTCTTCTCCATCATCAAAGGGTAAAAAACCTGAAAAGACATCAAAAATGTGCAACGCTAGAAAACTCAATGAAAAATATGCAATAATGCAGGTAATATAATATTATACATTTAAATATATAATATAATGATATATGATAACTTAACGTACATGATCATATAACAATATTATATTTAGCAAAAAATGACACATATGGTTCAGGAAATTACTTATCCAAAGGCAATATCTTCGCGTAATTCAAAGAATTTGCAGGAAAGACAGCGAGATGAAGATCAATCAGGAATGATTCCAAATTCGTTTCATGATCAACAAAACCCTTTTTTCATAAACTCATCCAATACGAATAATCTCACAGCTGGTAGTTTAATGGGTAGATGGTTAAGTACAAACTCGAACAAAAGAAAATTAACAAATTTCATTGAAGATCTAGAGCAAGATATATCGTCAGACAGAATAGAACATACACCATCTGGGAATGAGGTAATATAAAAATGATCATAATTTTTATTGAAATAATAATTAAAGAATTTAATTTTCCAAAATAAATATGTAGCAACAACATATTATAAAGTGGAAGAATGACAACCCACCAAAATCGTTTACAAGCTGTAATACTTTCAATACGTCTCGAGATAACGTATCTACATTGGGGTCCATGACTCCAAATTTTCGTAATAGACAAGAAAGATCTGGTCTGCAAACTACACCAATAAAAAAAGCAAGATTGTCACAACCTTCACCATTTAGCACACCAGTTCATTCACCAAAACCAAGTTTCATCGTTAGAAAGCGCGCTAGACGTATTGCACCGATATGTCCACCTCCAAAATTAAATTATTCAGAAAAAGCTAATGAAGATGAAATTGATAGTCCCTTGGCATCTCCATCTCCGTCTCCTTATAAAGGATTTGGTAAGGATGATAGCTTACTTGATAACAGTCGATATGATCAAGTGAGATATATTTACTTTTATGCACAAACTTTTACATTATATTAAATACAACTAAATAAAAATTTTTCTAATCTTTAGACTTCACCTTCACTTTCTGAAATTAATATTTATACACGGCAATTATCACAACAAAATTTGAGTTACGCTGATGCAGCAAGGAATCCTATTTTTACTGAGGCCACAATTGAATCTATATATGAATTCTTTCAGAGTGTAGATAACACGTTAGGCTTTTAAGGAAATTAATTTCTCAAATGCCAATAATACTTGATTTATTATATAAGTTAATACATTAATAAAAGCTTGATCGATCTTTAGCAATTTAACAATTTAATATGAATAAATGATAGTTTAATACAAGTAAAAATCCAATTACGTAATAACCAATAATTATTCCAACTTTAAAAATTTCGTAAATATTTTATAATTAAAATCTCAAACCCTCAACTAATCTTTTCGATAAAGTATTTTAATTCAAAACAAATCATTTGTCGTGAATAAATTCATATAGGATAAATTCTATATTAAGCGGGATATCAACTAATTTCTTATGATTGAATAGTCAAGTATTCTATTAAAATTTAACTCGAATGAAATTCTGACTAAAAAAGCAAAGGAATTTTTAAAAATTGTATAAGTCGTGCATGACCATACTAAATTAATATGAGAAAATTTTGATTCAAGATAATTTCCTATCGATTTATCATTATGTTTTAAAAATTTATGAAGTAATGCTGAATGTGATGCAGGAATAAGTAACTCTAACTTAGGTTGATTTTGGTCTTGAGAAAATTCAATAGAAGATTCCTTAATCAACATAGAAATTACATCACCAAAATTTTCTAAATGAATTTTAATCATTTGAATAAGTGATAAAATAATTTTATCAATAACATTTGCAGCCGACTTATGAACAAGAAATAAAAAAGTATCATCAAATGGAATTTGAAAATACTCTATTTCTATTTCAAGTTGTTGAATAGTAACAAGCTTCATCATATTTTCTTGATTTTTAATTTCACCGGGCCATAAAATTTTGCCAGTACGATAAAATTCCATAATGTAATAAAAGGCATATCCATTACGGTCAATAAAATATGTTTTATTATCATCCGATTTAAGAGTCATTTTGTTACGTTCACTAAACATTGTTCCGAGCATGGTATTCGGGTACGCCGTGAGTGTTGAACGAAATGTTTCGTACTAAATAATATATTATCGGTAGTAAGATATAAAAAACATTTCATGGAACTATTAGTCTTAACTTTTTAACTTACCTTTACGCCTCCAACATTCAATATGATTGTTTCTTCGGTCATTTTGTTTATAGTAAAACTTTTTTGGTTTATTTTATTTTTTTTCTGAAAAAAAAAGAGGAAAAAAAGAGGGTAAACAATATTCGTTAATTTGGAAGTCCATTTATTCTTTTTGTTTTTTTTTTTGGTTAGAATCTGATCATGACTTGTTCGTGTTTAACTAAATTACAACATGAACTCGTGAATAAATTACTAATTTTTCAGCCTAAAACGAGTTTATTTTCTTGGAAAGGGAACCTGATTGTGGGCACGGTTTATATGATCACGGGAAGTTTATTTATACAGTTTACAGTAGGATCGGTATTGTGCATGAATAGAAACCGCGCCCACAAAACTGGAGGAATAAAGGAAAACTCTGTACTTAATGGGTTCATACCTATCAAATATCAACACGTCTAAAACGTGACAATTACTGATTTTAGCTTACCTGTATTTTTGTTTGTTACTACTAGTTTTATTTAAAAAAAAAAAGAACCTTCTTTTTTGTTTACTTGCTTAAATAAGTATTTATATCAAATTACGTAGAAAAATATTAAATTCGTGATCCATGAATCATTGAATCAACTGTAAACGATCTGCAGAAAATGGGAATCTGGCGTGGCGTCAAATAAAAGTGAAAAATCATGTGAAAAAATTATTGTAAAAAACAAATTATTTGAAACTTTGGGATAAATATAATGTATTAAAATATGTTGGCGTTGAATGGGTTCACATAAAGAGCATTGTATAAGGAATGAGAATCGGGTATCAGAAAAAAATACTAATGATCGACATAAATTTGCACCGAAATCGTATATGAATTTTTGCAGTTGACTCACGGATCACGAATTAAAAATGTTTGTATATCATAACTATTTATTATTAGTAAAGTCTGATATTAAAGAAGATTCTACATTAGGTTTGATAAAACTTTATGTACTTATTATAGGATTTAATAAAGATAATATACTACTAATGGACATTTTGGTCTATTATACAAGAGGACCTCGAACGTATAAAAAAGGTAGAAGCAGCCAAAAAATCTTACTATTAACTATAAACATTTGTGGGCCGGAATCATGATAATTTCAGTCAGTGTTAATTGCTTTTCACCTGGCATTATCTAAAAAGGAAAGATTTACATGAGTTTTACCGGCTGTAAACTCCTGCGTATATTTCGGGTCCTGAGATTTAAATGCTATTTTTGACCTTGTATAAGGAATATTATAAGTGAGTCGTTCATTTGATTACATTTCTAACATCATATTTATAATTTTATTTAGACTTCAATAACACTAAATTATTTATAGATATATTCTGATACAAATATTATATGTATAACTTATGTTCTTTTTTTTTTATTTTAATGAGAAAAAATACATATATATATATTTAATAAATTTATAAAATTCTACATTATTAATGAAAGTAGAAAAAAAAAAAAAAAAAATTTAAAATATTTACACTAATAAGCAAAAGAAATTATTTTCTCATACAATTCTTCTTTCTTAAAAAAAGATACTTTTACAAATATAAAAATAAATCAATATATTAAAACGAACCTTTGAAATAGCAGCAATAGCAGCTATAATATGGTATAAAATATAAATGTTGTAACGTTATAATAAAGTTAATATTATATTTTAAAATTTAAAAAATAATTTATTATTACAAAAATAAATATATTGCACCATAATAGCTTATAGATAATAAATAATATATATAAAATATTAACTAAAAGTTTTACAAAAACAAATTATAAGTAGATTAGTTTTGTTATTTCATGTAGGTTATAACTTAATTAATAATTTTTTTAATATTAGGCCAGAATATGGACGCTTTAGCATCAAATAAAGATATTAAATTTACTTATAATTAAAATAATCAAATAACAGAAGCTTGCTTGTTGCACTATTCCAAATGTTTTTAAAAACATACAGAAATAATAATTTAAATAATTATTCATAGTATAGTATATATATATGAGAGCTTTAATGTATAAAATCAGTCATTTGATGCATAAACATCCTGATCTTATTTTAAAATTACTGAAAACTACAAACTATACATTAACTTTTATTAACAAGTTATTTTAACTACTTTATAATAACTTTATGAAAGCTCCTCCATTAGTATACGGGAGGAGAGCCATTGCTACTCCTCCACCTATTTATAGTGACAAAAAGAGGGAATCATCAGTAGCAAGGCATAATTGCTTTTATATAATACGTATCAACATAAACGAATATAGTAAATAAAAATAGCCTTTTATATGTCTAGAGTAATTAAATTTGCCATAATACAAGGACAAAATTTTATAACTTTATAATCTGATTGTAATTGAATAGCCACGAGAGCTTGCTTCTGTATATTTTATAATGTACATTACTAAGTAGCTCTTTAGTCTTTACTATCTCACACAGTATAGTAAATAAGAATATCAAGATATAATTTTAACCAATAGTAATGATAAAGTATTATAAATCCTTTAACTTCTATCATATATAAAAATCAGCTTATATAGCTTATACATTTCTGATTCTACGAATAACTATTACTAAATAAATAAATAAAACAATAATATTTTATAGTTATAATACATATAGATATTTACTATTTATTAGCAACTCTTATTATATAAAAATGAATTTCTTTACCAGTAAAAACTATTGCTTTACTATTGCTTTATATCTTAAAGATTAAAGGTAAAGTCTGATAATACAAATATAAAAATAAGGATAAGAATCATAAGATAGTCTGATATAATCAATATTCAATTTATGTCATATGCATGTCATTCTAGTGTAAAAATAGTATTTTTATATAAAATCATAACATATAAGCTAAACTTTCCTCAAAATGAAATTTTTGATAAGAAAGACTGATCCTTGTTTCGTGGACCATTATTAGAAATTATACTGATCCACTTTTCTGCACGCTCCCTGTAACGACTGGGATGCGATTTAGTGCGATATTAATTATATAAACATATATTTAAAGCCAGTATTAATAAACAATTAAGATATTATTTATAATAACAAAATGTTGTGGCTGTGTAACTTTAGATGATTACTTTCTACCATTATTTATCTTCTCTAGTTTCATATTGTTGAGTCAAATAATAATAAAAAAAAAATACTTGGTTCTATTGAGCATAATAAATAAAGACTTATTGGGCTCATGTAATGTATAGAACAAGAAAAAATATTTGCAAAAAATTCTCAGGATTAAAGTTAGAATAAGAATTAAAGATAGGTTATTAAGATTACTAAATAAAGATTAGCGATTAGTGTATAGGATTAAAAGAACTTTAGCATTAAAAAATTAACCAATCATCATAACTATAGATTCTATTATTCTAAAAATATTCTAAAAATAAACTAAAGAATTCAGAATATCATCAATATACATTTTATTATTAATAAGTTACTCTTCAAAAATAATTTTTATTAAATTTATTATTAAAATTGTAAATCAATATCATAATAATTTATATTAACGATAAATAAATATTCACTTTATGCTATTAAAACACAACAATAAACTAGATCCTCCTTTAAAGTTCCTGTTTCATTCATAACAAAAAATGCACCTTTGTCCACGCGAATTTTCGCCTTTTTTCTTTAAGTCTCTTACGAGACAGCGAAATTTTATTCGCCATTAAAAATGAAAATAACCGTCGAAAAAAGAAAATAGATTTTAAAAAATAACGCTCTTGCTATCTCTATTTAAATACTTTCAAAACACCTTAAATATATATAATGTCTTAGACTCTTAGGTACATCTTTCGATTTTTATTGTACAGAACCTTATGATTTTAGTTTATGTAACAAATAAAATAATACCCTAACACACGCCGTTTTTAATTAAAATACGTGCATTACCTATTTTCCCAATATGATGTAAAGATAAAATTATGAGAATTCAAGCCAGAAAGGGTATTCAATTTCGTACTAGAGCTTAGAACCGGTACAAAAACCTTAAGTGATTAATAATCAACCGGTAATAATTTCTAAAAAAAACATGCATTTATTTTCTATTTGATAGAAATACATTAATTTTAATAGCATGTAACTGTACTAGACTCCTAAAATATTCACTCGTGTATGAACCTGTCCAAAAAAAAACCTTAATTCTAAAAATTTTGACTGGAATTAATGCATTACGAAATTTTAATCTTAATTCTAGTCAGAATTATGTTTGAATTATTTATAAATAAGGAAATTATTTTCTCTGTTTCATGATCTCGTATTTTAACCGACCGGTTATTTTTTAGCCGGTTAACCTTAACTAGTTCCAAGCTCTACTTTTATACAAAAATTCAAAATTCCTAATTATACTTGCCGTTCCCATGGGTGTCAGTTCTTATTCCACACCCAATGTCCAAGGTAACATACTGTACATTCATTCCCATTTCAATCCCAGTACACAAATCTCATAATTATATGCCAAAGCTGTCGCTATTATATTTATTATATTTAAATATATAAGTGAATTACGAATTGTTATAATTAATTTATATGTATTACGTAAAAATTTAATTATTTGCACTAAAAAAACAAAAATTATTATATAATTATACATCGAACGAAAAAATTTTATTTATAAGCATAGAATAATAATAATTTTAACCGGCCAATTATTTTACATGTAAAATTTTTTAGATTGCTAATTCAATATTTGTTCTACAATTGCGGTTTTGACCGGGTAATTTATACTTTATGTTTGTAACACAATTGTGTAAAACTTCATTTTTTTTAAAATAAAAAAAATAATAATAACAAATAATGTCTCCTGCTTAAAAATTTTATATTTAGGTAACGACACTTTGTACTCATGCATATTGGTTAATCGCTTTTGTGGGAGGAAATGGTTGGAATTATATAAATTTCAGGAAAAGTTATTTATTTTCCACTATAATAATAACATTATAACAACAACAACAACAATAATAACGGTAATAATAAAAATAATAATAATAATTATTATTTTATTATTGTTTATTATTATTATTTTGAAAGGGATGTTCAATCTTAACTGACGATAATAACGATTTAACCAGCTGATTACTGTAAGAGTGTAAGTTTCTGTGGAACCAACTCAACCAAGAAACTTTTATTTTTTATTTTTTTATGATTCAGCATGGTTACATTATTTCTAGTTTCGGTTTCTTTAAAATAAATTTCACCGCCTCTGATTGAAAGATATTCGTCACACAAGGGTAAAAGCCGTTCCAAACTAGTAAATAATTAGTTTAACGTCCTTTTCTGCTGAAAAAATTTTGGGGGGAGGGAAAATTTCGGAAATTTTCGGTAAAATTGGAAATCTTAGTACCACTCAACTTTAAAAAAGGAAGGGAGATGCTTTAAAACATATTTAGACATATGTTTAGATTACCCTTGAAAATTTTCAAAAATAATAAGGGGAGAATTTATTGTTTCACATTCCTTAATTTATAAGCTACTGCATGACTCAATAATTTTAAACATTTAATTTATTGGTATCAAATTTTGTAAATTATAAAAAGGAGTTACCCATTTGATAAATATTTATATAATGTAATGACCAAACTTAATATATACAAAATTTACATTTCAAAATTTACATTTTGATAGTACTTATCTATAAATTTATAATGGACTAGTATAATAAGCCATTTTGTATGGATGGTTTGCGTCTGCTGACTCTGCTCCCACACGAATATACTTGTCTCGTATTCATGAAAATGAAGCTCTAGACCTTTCAAGTTTCCGCGCATGAGTATGACTAATTCGTTGAGAAAAATAAATGGAAATGGAATGAAATATGTAGGGTAGAATTTATGAAATCTCTCTGACGTGAAGAATTACAGACTCTATATTTGTTATTTCTGTAAAAGCTTCGTAAAAATGAGCCTTTCCCGGATCTATTCACGGAAAATGTAAATAATGAGCCTTTTACGGAAAAAAGATGGAATACAAAAAAACGGATCAACTTTTTTTACAGGGAGAATGCGGAATCACAAAATATTCGCATTACTGCACTGTTAACTTTCTAGAGTTACGTGTTTTTATACACTATTAGATCTCTATTGTATTTAGATATCTTTAATCATTAAAAAACATATCTGTTTTCGATAATACCATCTGAACTGCAATCAGTTTTTTTGTTTAAATAACTAAAGGGGTTGACCCGAGTATATGAAATAACAACAAAAAACATGTCTCATTAAGAATTTCTTTAATATTATCTCTGACCGTGTCGTTGGAATAATACATATGGTACACGCACGTTTAACGTAATAATCGACATAGTGAAATTATTGGCTTGTCAGGCTTGACAAATTTGTGTGAAGTCACGTGAGGTGATATTCGTGCTAGGTGTTTTCCGTCTATACATCTTTCTATATAAGTAAATTATTGCAAATAAAATTTAGTAACTCGTAAACAGCGTAACTGTTTGTAAGTAAAACCAATTCTTGGCATACACAATAAGAACGAATTTGTCAAAACAATGGTGGTAGGTTACAAAACTCAAAATAAATACTATTAACCGGAATTCTTTCGTTGGACGATTATGGCTATTGATCATCTTTACAACAATAAAACATTATCACCGGATCACCCATTAAATTACGCGATACATTATTAATAACACTTAATTAATGTTTATGTATACATAGTACATATTGGGATATTTTTTAAAAAAAAATAAATAGATAAAATTTCATGGATCCTATGGGGAACTTTGTTCTGTTTATTTATAAGTTTTACAAAAAAAAGCATGGTAATACAAAAGTAAATAAAGTAATGTTAAAGTTTGGTAAATCATTCCAAAAATGTCCCTTGGATCCATGTAATTTTCCATCGAAAACTCGATAACGATAAATATTTTAAGGAGTATGCCGGACTAATTAGAGAGTAGAAGAAAGACCAATCACATTTATACAGTTTGGAAATCTTTTTTTTTTTTCATATTTTACTAAATTGATTTGATACTCATTTAAAATATGTATTGTAGCAAATTCCTAAATTCTTATATATAAAAGAACAGAACTTTCATATTTTTTTTTTAAAAAAAAACATGGTTGTTTCTAATAAAGGGGTTCTTTTTAAGGCCATCCCTACAGGACATCCTGTAATAGGAGAACATTTTGAAGTGGTTGATCGTACCATAGACATTGAAAATTTTAAATTAGGAGAGAACGAATTACTATTAAAAAATGCGTATATTTCTCTAGATCCTTATATACGTGAGCGTATGAGAGAACCTCATATAGAATCATATATTCCTCCATTTCATGTTGGTAAAGTTATGGTTGGTGATGGAACTTCTGTCGTGATTAAATCAACGCATCCCCAATATCATGAAGGTGACATTGTTGCGGGATTTACTGGTAAGCGACATTAATGTTAATAGCAAATTATCGTTCAATCTATTAGTAATATACGAGTTTGATATTTTCAAGAGGCGTAACAATATTGCTAATATTGTAATGTCAGCGTTTATTCCTATTGGTCGCGGTTGACATACATTTATTAGATTGGGATATCGGTTCATACAATAATATGCTTTTTTTAAAAAATTAGACTAATTTGTCATTTGGTTTATAGGATGGGAAGAATACACGCATATCAAGGAAAATGACGAAGAAATGAATGCTACTGGTCGCTTTTGCCTAAATCATGCGAAAGATTCGAGCTTTCCTTTAACTCATCATTCTCATCTTTTACGAATACATGGTTTAACAGCCTATAGAGGGTTAATTAATTTTGGAAACCCGAAAAAAGGAGAAACAATATTTGTTTCTGTATGTATATATTTATCAAATAAAATTATTTTTTTTTTTTACATAATTTTAAATTTATCTGAATTATCGTAGACTGCTGCGGGCGCTATTGGCCATCTTGTTGTGCAGATAGCGAAAATCAAAGGATTATATGTTGTAGGATCTGCTGGTAGTGATGAAAAAGTTGATTTTTTGTTAAACACATTGAAGATTGATGCAGCATTCAATTATAAAAAAGTTAACATTGACAAGGTATTATTTATTTATTTTTATTTTTTATTTTTTTTTTTTTTTAAAAAAAGTCAATCAATTAAATTTATCTTAATTTATATTAGGCTTTATCTAAGCATTGTCCAGATGGTATCGATATTTATTTTGATAATGTTGGGTATGTATTTTTAGTATTTGTATAAAATCTTAACAATAAACATTAAATAATTTTATTTATTTATTCCATAATAACTTTTGTAAAAAAAATAAATACAGGGGCGAAATTCTTGATAGAGTTTTATTACATTGTAACCGTTTTGCTCGTATTGTAGTCTGCGGTATGATATCACAATATAATATTAGAAATCGAAAAGAAAAATATGGTATAAAAAATATTGACCAAGTTTTTGCGAAAAGTATAAATATTATTGGATATCTCATATCGGATTTTTGGACAATTAATAATGATACTTTTAGTAAAGATATGGAAGAATGGTTAGAAAGTGGTAAATTAATTTATAAAGAAGATGTAACCATTGGAATTGATAATATTCCTCAAGCATTCTTAGATATGTATGCTGGTAAAAATTTGGGTAAATCCGCAGTTAAAATTTCTGATTTGTAAAAAAAAAATTACATGAATTTTCTTTTTAAAATTTTTTAATGTTATTATATTATTATTACAGTATTTAATTTTGTTATGATTTTATAATTATATAATTATTTGAATATTTGAATTATAAATATATCTTATAGTTCGAATTTATTTACCTATTTATCACATGTATGATATATTCTGTTCTTTCTTTATATCCGGATAAAATAAATTTGGATGGACGGCTTTATTATATCTAGTTTCGCATTTATACATTTGATTCCTAACATTATTAATCCGATAAAAATTTCGAGCCGGTTCCGGTTAAATTGCGGCATTAAATATTTGACCGGATTTTTAAAAAATCCTTTAACCGGATAGTCACAAATAATAAATCTTATGTAATTGTTAAACAATAATGGCGTACTTCAATTTGATAATATACCGAATATAATGATGATAATCTCTGGAGAGAATTGTTGGATTTTTTTTCTTCGATTGATACGAAAATAAACGGATAAACTTAAAGGCCTTTCTTGACGAAGCAACTAGCAATGTACGTAATTAAGTCTGCTAACTTCATTGAGCTATTGAGCTATTGAGACAACACCTGATTCAGGTAATGGCTTACTAAAGCATACCCCATGTGTACGATCTACACAATTTCAATATGATGCACGGGCGTAATTTAAGGGATAATCCGGCCGTTTACCTCATACGATCAATAATCCTATCTAAAGTCGATCAATTTAAAATTCGAATTTGAGTGATTCTTAAATTTTATTAATTATTTTAGATACTTTGTATTCGTTATAGGAATTTAATGTAATATATATATAATAACCAACTTACCAACTAAAGTAACAGGTATGTTTTAATGAAAGAAATAAATTAAATTTCAATGTTTATTAAAACATTAAAGAATTCTTCCTGAATATTTGATGTATTATAAATCTAATAATATAATGGCGAAGATTTAACCGGTTATTATTAAGTCAAAAAAGGGTTGCATATAATATTATTCATGTACCTATCAATTCTCAATCAATAAATACGATATAATTACCGAATGTGATCATCAATGCATTAATCATCGGATAATTTTATCTATAAATATATGGCCATTGATACCAATTTTATCCATTTTATCTTCATTTTTTTTTTTTTAAAAAAAAAGGAAAATGACGGTCGTTTCAAACAAAGGAATAATTCTCAAGGAAACTCCAAAGGGAATACCTAAAGTTGATGAGCACTTTGAATTAGTTCATCGTACAATTGACATTGAAAATTTGAAACTGGGAGAAAATGAAGTTGTTTTAAAAAATATGTACTTATCTTTAGATCCTTATATTCGTCCTGTTATATTAAGTAATCCTGCGTCAGTCGGTAAAATTGTATTTGGTTATGGACTTTCTAAAGTTGTAAAATCAAATAATCCTAACTATAAAGTTGAAGATCTCGTTTATGCATCCACTGCAAATATTGGTAAATAATAAATATACAGTATAACTAACTATATAATGGGTTAAAAAAAATGATTCAAAAATAAATATTTATTAAATTATTTCTTTTGTCCATCTTATCGTTTTTTATTAGGTTGGGAGGAATATTCTCATTTTAAATCTGATGCTGCTTTTACTTTGAAACACGTAAATAAAGAACTATTAAAAGATACTCCATTGAATCATCATATTAGTCTTTTTAATGTGGGTGGATTAACTGCTTATGCGCCTCTTATGTCTATTGGAGAGCCAAAGGAGGGAGAAACAATTTTTATTTCGGTATGCAAAAAAATGAATCTTCTGATTCGTATTTGCTTCTTTTTTTTATCGTTTTTTTTTAAAAAAAATCTGATAATAAAATTATCTAATTTTATAGACTGCTGCTGGTTCTATTGGACAAATTGTCGGTCAAATAGCTAAAATTAAAGGATTGAGAGTAGTTGGTTCTACTGGATCTGATGAGAAAGTCGACTTTCTTTTAAATGAATTAAAATTTGATGCTGCTTTTAATTACAAGAAGATTGGCATTGATAAGGTACATAACATGTTATAATTTTGTGATAAAGAATTTTTTTCATGATAATTAGACACGTTACATATTTTTTTAGGGATTATCTAAACATTGTCCAAATGGTATTGATATTTTCTATGACAACGTTGGGTATGTATTCATGAAAATATGATCATAATTACAACATACATCACATTGGTTATTTTAACATAAATCTTTCTAAAAAATAGTGGAGAAACTCTTGATATAACAATTGATCATTGTAGTAGATTTGCTCGCATTATTATGTGTGGTATGACATCACAATATAACATAACAAATCCTGAAGAAAAATATAAATTTAAAAATATAGATAAGGTTTTTCTTAAACAAATTCGTATGCAAGGATTTAGCGCACCACAATATAAAGGAACGGATTTCGAAAAAGCGTGCAGAAGAGATCTTGCTGAATGGGTTAGAGCTGGTAAACTTATTTATAAAGAGGACGTTTCTGTAGGGATTGAAAATGTTGCAAAGGGTTTTGTTGATATGTTGAATGGTAAAAATATCGGTAAAGCTGTTGCGAAATTATCTGATTAATTAAAAAATTATGGATGGTCATTTGGAATTCAAAGTACACTAAGTACAATATTTTTATTTGTGCTTACATGAAATATATAATAAAGTCTATATTAATTATTAAATTCCTCGTATTTGTGTGATATCGTATTTGTAATTTGTGTATAATATAAAAAGCATAAATAAGTAGCAGATCGCGCCACACGGGTTTGATTTTTTTTTTAGTTGTATGGTAATACTAAAATATTTAAACTTATCCTTTTATTATGGTTTTGCAAAAAGCATTATACGTGACCAATACTATGAAAAAAATTATGAACACATATTATTTTGTCATCTTGGCAAAAGGAGAGGTTGTGTTGCAGCTATTTTAGCCGTTTTCGTTAAGTTACGTTATGGATAGTTTATAAGTCATATAAAACTTATTTCGTCGTTCTAAGCTAAGTAAACTTGCAGAGCGGGTGAAAATACATTCCTAGGCGTAATTTTTGGAAGTTAAAAGTAAGTTTATTAACCCTTTTTTTTCAAGGTAAAAATTTTTTCGTAAAAACAGTCGTGGCGCATGTGCTGATCATCTGCCAACCCATTTCCTAAAATTTAAAAAATTTATAATCGGCATAGCATGTCAGGAAACGGTCCGTAAGCGAGTCTTTGTCACACATTACAGATATTGCGTTCACATAATTCGTATTGTTATTTTCTTTAAACTATTTACCTAATTTTTAACATATTGTATAATGTATATGCTGTGCCTCAGGCGTCAGGTGTTGATTGATCACGTCTTATCGCATATCATAGTAATTACTTTTTATTTTACAGGTAAACTTATATATCACAATAATAAATTATACATATTTATGAAAATTTTTATGTAAATTTATTTGAAAAACTTGTTAAGTAAGGTTGGCTTTGATAAAGTACAGTATATAAGAATTTTTTTTTCATGATAATTAGACACGTTACATATTTTTTAGGAATTATCTAAACATTGTCCAAATGGTATTGATATTTCTTTGACAATGTCGGGTATGTATTCATATAAATATGATCATATATATATATAACCACATTGTATATTTTTAACGTAATATTTCTTTAATTTGTTAAATGTAGTGGAGAAACTCTTGATATAGTTATTGATCATTGTAATACAGTATGTTTGCTCGCATTGTGATTGCACAATATAATATAACAAATCCTGAAGAAAAATATAAGTTAAAACATGTAGAAAGAATTTTACTTCAATCTATTCGTATACAAGGATTTACCGTACTCCAATATAAAGGAACGGATATTGAAAGAGATTGTGAAAAAGATCTTGCTGAATAGGTTAGAGCCGGTAAATTATTTATAAAGAGAATATTTATGTAGGGATTGAAAATGTTGCAAAAAGGGTTTGTTGATATGTTGAGTGGTAAAAATATTGGTAAAGCTGTTGTGAAATATTAATTAATAAATTGTGCGGAGTCATTGGGAGTAAAATTTTCAATTGAGCGAATGCTCTTCCAAACATATTTTTATAAGAAATAATAACGTATAAACTACCATTGTTATTATTTTTTTTATATTACAGCTGTTTTCATAAGACCTGGGACAAAATAAATTTTTGAACCCGACCGCCGACCCACCGATCCGGTTCAGTTGTTATTTATTTTACAAATCAAACTATCAAATCAGGATCGTGCCCAGCTAAAAAACCGGATCGGCGGATCGGGTTCAAAAATTTAGTTTGTCCCAGGTCTTATGAAAACAGCTGTAAATAAAATGGCGATTAACTAACTGGATGTGTTCACCTCATCACGTGATTTAATTTATTACGTGGCTTTATCAAGAAGAAAAATTCGCAAGAATTCCTCTTCAAAAATTGATTAATAAATTGAACAGAACTGCTCTTGTTTTAATTAATTTTTGATTTTTTGCTAATAAAAATTCTAGCTTTAGGATCTTTTTTAATTAAGAGGTTCCTTTCAAAATTTTTTTTCAATATAATAAAAAAAAAATTGGGATGTAACTTTATAATAGAATATGTGAAATATCATCATATAAGGTAAAATATGCAAATACATGTGTTACACATGATCAGTGAATTTACCACGAATTAAAACAAAAAAAGTAAAATAAAATAAACATTTATTATTTATTTTATTTATTTTTTTTTTTTTTAATAAATTTCATCTAACATTGTTTTACCTTGATCAACACGGTTTTTTTTCAATTTTTCAAAGCAAAACGGAGAATCGTCATCCTTGGATGGATATTTATAATCCTATCTCTCGTAAAGTAATTAATTTTTATATACACATCGAAGCTTCGCATTAGATATGTATATTTTTATAATTCTATTTTTTTCAAAAAAAAAACAATAATTTAACATTTTCAATTATTATTTTGACTTTTTTCAAAAAATTAAGTATTAAACAGGTAAATATTTATCGTAATCTGGAGAAGAATTAACGATTTCTTTCATAAATTGAACGTATAAGCTTGATATTTATGCCATTGGTATCCTGGTCATTGGAAACTTGAGGACTGCAATTAATAAGAAAGATATCAGTGGAGTTTCAAACTGCTTTAATGAATAATGATCTCACTAGAGTTAAAGATGTCTTTCATAGGTTAGGTCGTGGAAGATTATTAAAGAGAGGGATGAAAATAAGCCGCATACTTTGTTTTTTGTTAGTCATCAGATGTCTGTCTTAAAAAGTGTAGAAATTAGTGTAGAAAATTTTGAGTCCATTCCTCAAAACCAAACCTTAAAAAGAAACAGAAACAGCATCCTAGAGAGGACTAGAACAATGATCAATCCAGGAATTAAACTCGTATCAAAAATTTCAGTGAAACCTAATATACATGTGACATTGTGACAAGGGGTTGATCTTCTACTCAAATTATTTAATTCATTTATTTTTATTTTGTTACATAGTACTAGAGAAACATGCACTACTTGGACAAAAATAGCGGACGCCTGATTTTGCTTAATTGCTCAGAAACATACATAATAATATTATTTTGATATGTGATAAAATGAACACTAAAAAACACATATATGAAAGCTAGCGATATAAAAATTTAAATAACTCCATTAATTAAAAATAATTAAAAAATAATAAATGGTTAAATTAAAAAAATGTAAAATATAATTGATGTCAGTATTTTTTTGATTTCTAATTTTCTAGAAAAGATAAAGATATAAAAATTTATATGCTAATTCTTTAAATATAGTAACATGTAAGCTAGTAATGAAAAAATTCAATACATATGCTTACTGGAATTTGTGTGATCACATATTAGAGTTTCAAGCATTAATATTATATAAAATTTAAAGTTAATAGCATTATTACTTAAAAGAATCCTATAGAATCAATTTCTACGCTGATCCAATCCGAAAAAGTTATTGCCAGAGCATGTACATTTAATCTATTTTGACAATAAGAATATTTTTAGGACAATAAAAACCTACCAGCCATAAAAGGTTGCGGTTCTCTGTTTTTAACAATGAAAATCGAAACTTATTAGATCATTATACAGTATATTGTGTTTCATCCGATAAAACCAAAGAAAAATGCTAATAAAACCATACACAAAACACAAAACTTGAAATTTACCTCAAGGAATAGAAGTCTACAGGGAATTTTAAATAGCTCCATACGAGGAAACATCTTGATATTAAAATAGTAATAATATTATAATGAATATTTATTAAAATCCTTCACCATTCCAAAAGTGAATACTATTAAATTTGCTCATTAATATTAACCGTATTATATTTCAATTTAATAATATTATTATTGTTACAATTTTTATTTGATTATTTGGATTTGTTTTGCACAAATCATTTAAAAAAAAATTCCTTTCACAATTTTTGATCAAGATCTTATTATTAAATATGTTAATTTTGCATAAAAAAAATTTCATTAAAGAAGAATTTATTCTATTATACCTTTTTTTATTTAAATAAAAAATTCGAATACTATTTTAAATGAATAATCGATTATTATCCAACTATCAAATTTAAAATTATCATATAATTTAAATATGGCAAGAAATCTTTATAATTGGTCTTCAAGATGCACATATATATATATATATATTAGATTAAAGTGTTTCATAAAGACTTTCATAATGAAAATATTTTAAAGAAATAATATCTTACAACGCTGATCATGGAGAATGGAGAATGTGTTTATTATAATAAACCGTTTACTAAAGAACGGTGTAAAGAATGTGACTGCGTTTTTCCCATCCGAAAGTTTTCTTGATTCTTCTTTAAATATTCTCCTAATGTTCCGCCCTTTACGTATTCAAGAACGAGAGAAAAATTTGATTCGTATAAAATTATATAAACATATAAGTACTTGTTTGCGTAGGAATGATCTGTTCCATATACAATTGATCAACTGCGACATTTTTTTTTCAAGTAACAGGAAATAATCCCGAATATTTCAAATTTTTTTTTTTTTTACTGCTTTATCTTTAAATTTCGTGACTTCACAAAGTTTAATAATATTTAGATGAATATTAACCTTTCCCATTAAAAAAAAATCTAAAAAAGAATAACATTAACCGTTAACGATTTATCTAAATATTAAAAAATTTATATAAACAACAATGAGCCTCGCACGAGGGAACAAAAACAAATGGTTTCAAACGGTGAAATAAAAAAAAAATAATATAAAAGACGGAAATATCTAATAAACAGAATCATCAATAAAGATTTAAAGACATTTTTATTTTTTTACTTCTCGAAAGAGATTGCCGCTTAATATGTAGATGCATAGTTCAATTTCAAATTAATTCTTTCCATGACAAATTTTGTTTACACCAAAGACTTTTTCAATCACCAGTTACGATACAATGCATGTGAAGTAAAGCTAATGTTTACTGCGTTATCTCTTTTGCATTGGAATTAAATTATAATAAAGCACAATAACGAATTTTTTGCTGTGGTATTATTCCGAAGCTAGCTGTATAAGTTATTTAATCAAACCTTCCGATTAAAAGTTCTTCCACAGTAACTTTATAAAATGAGTACGTCAAATTTACAATTTACTTGAGCTTTATTACACTAGAGTTAATACCATTTATTCTAAAGAATCTTTCGATTCAGGATCTTTATAATTTCATAGCATAATGATACATGAAAAAAAGAAATAAATCTAAAACCGAGCATCTTAAATATCGGGACCTTACATTAAAGAAGCTGTATTATCACTTATCAGCCTGAAAGTGATTATCGGACTGCGAAAAAAATGTAGAATGCTTGTAATTTGTAAAAGCTGAAAAGTCACATTTAAAGTCATTTTAAAAAGTTCTGACTTTTACTAATTATAAATATTCGTTGTGTTATTTATATTTATACATTTATCAATTTATTTTTATTCATACATGATTGATTTACGTACATTACGAAATGTTTGTAATAACTGTCTTCACTAGCTATCTATTATCTTTTACCAGTTTATTCCAAATGATAAACTTTGTATAAAGTTTACATGTATTTACGTCGCGCAGAGTGGGAAATTATTATTTTTAACGGTTGAATGCTGCTTCTTTGTAAAAACAAATAGCAATCGATAATTATGTTAAATCGTTAATCCGTAAGTTAATTCTACGCTTGTTTTGACATCAATTGATGTTATTTTTTGCCATACTGTATTCACATTGTGTTTTATTTTCCTATCACAATAAGGCTGGAAGGCACTAGAACCATCATTGAAATGATAAGCAACTTTATATAAAGGACATTTAAAGTTTATTTCAAAAACGTGAGGGTATATTATAATGTTTAGGTGCCGCCAAATCTACGGATCAAAGAACATCGGCATGAAACAAATCCAGTATGTACTAAATAAATAAAAACTTATGCAGTAAATGATACAATATAACCTTAAAAAATCGGGAATACGCAAGTTGTAATGAAACATCGTTGAAATACCTAAATATTATGTTAAGAAATTTTAATGATAACTTTAACTGCTAGAGTATTGAGTTGTAAATGGTTCTATATAATTGTAAAACAGGAATAGTTCCCCAAACAAACTCGTTTCAGGGGCAAAATATGAATCAATCTTGACCCACCTATATGTATACTATATATGGATGGTCAGGTCTCAACCGTTACACGGGTCAAGATTAATGCAAAGGAAATTATCGTCTAAATCCGTAAATCGGATAATAGAAAATCGGGTATTCCAAAACAAGCCTCTGTGAAACGGTAACATATTCCAAATATGATACATTTATAAATAACTGAGTATCAAAAACATTTTCACTTTTAAACTTTTCAAGAAACTTTCGCCATGTCTCAATCATCTCAATCATCACAAAATAGTGTAATAAGTGGGACGTGCGAAAAATGTGGTGAAGAATATAATAATGAATACGAGTGGTGTAAGCAATGTCAGATAAACTGTTTAAGAGAAAATTTTACAAAATGGACTAGTGAAAATGAAATAATTGATGATTTCATTCAAGAAACGCAATTAAATGTTGATGACTACTATGATGTATTATTTGAATGGATTCCATATAATCAGTTTAATGACGTTAAAGACATAAGCAAAAGTGATTTCGCTTCGATATATTCAGCGATATGGGAGGACGGTCCTTTATGTTTTGATAATGATGAAAATGAATTGATAAGAGATTCAAACAAAAAGGAGGTTACTCTAAAAATTTTGCATGATTCACAAAACAACACTGATGAATTTTTAAATGAGGTATAAGATAAATTTAATTAAAAAATAAATCTATATCTTTTAGTGTAATAATAACTTTCATATTTATAGGTTAAAACATATTCGGTTAAAGGACATTATAATTATGATACCCTTAAAATATATGGAATTTCTCAGCAACCAGATACTAAAGATTATATCATGGTTTTAGACGGTGGATACTGTGAAGAATATTGTAAAGAATGCGGTGAGAAGAATACTGACAAATGGTGGTGTAAACCATGTCAAATAAATTATTTTATGAAAGAATTTGCAAATTGGACCAGTGAAGATAAAAAAATTGATGATTTCATTCAAGAAAAGCAATTTAGCATTGATAAGCATGATGACAAAATATTTGAATGGATACCATACGATCGGTTTAATGACGTTAAGGAAGTATCTGACGATGATTTAGGTGATCTTGTTACAATGCATTCGGCAACATGGAAAGATGGTCCATTATATTATGAAATTAATGACGATGAGAAAAGGGGATGGATGAGAAAATCGGATGAAAGGGTTAATTTAAAATGTTTACGTAACTTAAAAAACAATACTGAAGAATTTTTGAACGAGGTATAGATTGTACAAATAAATAGTTTAGAAAATTAAACACTGTTTTAATGTAATAATAATTTTTTGTTAATAGGTTAAAGCATACTTGGCAATCGAAACAGACGAAACAGAAATATACGAAATATCTCAAAATCCAGACACGAAAGATATATACGGAATATCTCAAAATCCAGACACGAAAGATTATGTTATAGTTCTTAAGAATGAATATTGTGAAAAATGTGATAAGAGATATATCGATACTGATCAATGGTGCAAGTCATGTCAAATAAATTATTTGAAAAAGAATTTCGCAAACTGGACCAGTGAAAATGAAAAGATTAACGATTTTATCCAAGAAATGCAATTACGCATTAATAGTAAAGCTGATTTAATATTTGAATGGATACCATACAATAAGTTCAATAGTGTTAAAGAAATAAGTAAAAGTGATTCCACTACAATATACTCTGCAATATGGAATGATGGCTTATCTTCCTACGATAATGATAAAATGGAATTAATCAGAGAGTCAGATGAAAAAGTTACTTTGAAACTTTTACATGATTCACAATATAAAACTAATGAATTTTTAAATGAGGTATGATAAATTGTTATAATTTTAATTGTAACCTTTCTTTAATGTGATAATGACTTCTGTTTAAAATATTTTTACTAGGTTAAAACATACTCAGTTAAAACATACTCAGTTGAAGGACATGCCAATGATGACATTCCTAAAATATATGGAATTTCTCAACATCCAGACACAAAGGATTATATTATGGTTTTACAGGATGGATATTGCGAAAAATGTGGTGAACAATACAAGTATATTAAAGATAAATGGTGTAAATCGTGCCAAATAAATTATTTTAAAAAAAATTTTAAAAGCTGGACCAGTGGAAATGAAAATATTGACGGTCTTATTCAAGAACTGCAATTAAAATTTGATGAATATAATCATAATATATTTGAGTGGATATCATATGATCAGTTTGATAACGTTACAAGGTTAGGTGGGGATGCCTTTGTTACAATATATTCAGCAATATGGAATGGTGGTCCATTACATTACCATGAGAAAAGAAAGGAATGGATAAGAAATCCGGGTATGAAGGTCGCTTTAAAATGTTTACATGATTCACAAAACCTTGCTACCAACGAACTTTTAGATGAGGTATGAGATAAATTTATTTAACCCATATTTACTGGTCATCTGTGATTTTTTTATATTTTCGGGCAGGGGATAAAAGAGATATGTCACGCGTCGCGTGAATATCGTGATTTTAACAACTGCGCTGTGAAATAACTTTAATGCTAGTAATAATATATGTGCCTTATTTAATATATTTTTTTTTTAACAGATTAATAAATATTCAATATCTAGCTATGATAGTGTTCTTCAAATATATGGAATATCTCAAAATCCGGATACAAAGGATTACACCTTGGTTTTGCAAGATGGATATTGTGAAGCATGCGGTAAAGAATATATTGATGGATGGTGTAAACCATGTCTAATGAATTACTTGAAAGATGATTTTACAAATTGGACCAGTGGTAATGAAAAATTAGATGCTTTCATTCAAGAAAAGCAACTAAAAGTTGATTATTTTCGAGATAAGATATTTGAATGGATACCGTACGACCAATTCCGTAACATTAAAAAGATAGGCCAAGGCGGTTTTGCTACAGTATATTCAGCAATATGGAAAGATGGTCCATTGTCCTATAACACCTATTTAAAGATGTGGTTAAATGAAGTAAATACAAAGGTCGCTTTAAAATGTTTACATGATTCAAAAAACGTGACAGATAAGTTCATGAAAGAGGTACGTGATTGGATTTATAAGTATTCATTTAAATGTTTTTTTAGTAACTCCTTTATGTATTAATAGATTAAAGCGTATTCGATGGATGAGGATAGTCACGTTCTTGAAGTATACGGAATATCTCAACATCCGGATACAAAAGATTATATTATGGTTCTTGCGTATGCGAAGGGTGGAAATCTTCAGGATTGGATGAAAAAGAATTATAAAAGACTTGATTGGAATGATAAATTATTAGTATTAGCCGATATTTGTAAAGGACTCGAAGGAATTCATCAAAGGAGGATGGTTCATTGTGACTTTCACACAGGAAATATATTGTTCAAATGTGAAACTTATTCTGATTCCGAACTTAATGCATTTATTTCAGATATGGGATTGTGCGGGGAAATTGGTAATATGGATAATGAAAATGTTTATGGCGTCATGCCTTATGTAGCTTCCGAAGTATTAAGGGGTGAACCCTATACTCAAGCAGCGGACGTATATAGCTTTGGTATGATTATGTATTTTGTAGCCACTGGAAGACAACCTTTTGCTGATCGTGAACATGATGAGTTTTTGGCAATAGATATATGTAAAGAAAGTAGACCAGTAATACACGAGCCAGAAGCACCAGAATGCTACATTGACTTAATAAGAAGGTGCTGGGATCCAAATCCAGAAAATAGACCAAAGATGACGGAAATTGAAGAAACGATTTTTTCGTTTCAAGAATCATACTATAAAAATGATCACGAACTCAATGAACAGTTTAGAGAAGCAGAAAAACATAGAAAACTACACCTTGATTATTTTGAGGAAGATAATGAAACTATTTCTCAGGCCATTTATACATCTCGGTTGCTTAATCCTTATTTAACTGACTGCTTAGACTGTGAAATATGATTCAAGTTGGATAAGATCATGAAATAATATTTTATCATTAAACATTATTATTATTAAAATATCATTGGTGTTATTATCCCCTACTTATATGATGTATTGCGTCGTTGAGTTTAAAGTAACAATTATTTTTGTTCAACATTGATTATATAGAGTAATAAAGATCGGTTTGTAAATTTAACAATTTTAAGATCGGATGTAAGTTTACTCTTGCAAAGGTCGAAGACTAAACAACAGGCCTTATATCAGATTTACAAGCCTTCTCCGAAGATTATATACAGTAACTATTAATAAAAATTATATGACCAGATAGCCGTACATATAATTGATTCAATATCGAAATTTTTAGACCCTGAATATTTTTCGTATATAATATCCTACAGCTATCTAAATAAACTACGAAATATATCAATCAACCAGATAACCCAAATAGAGATGCGAGTTCAAATGTCATAATTATTACAGAAGAATTTGCAAAGCGTTTAGGATTGTACCGATCCCGGTCAACACTCTGTAGTGGTGATCAGCCATTGTCTAGACTTATTTACAGTGTTGGGTTTTGGACTTGTCCAATTGGTTTTTTTAATTGGACAATTTTGGACTGTCCAAAACCAGTTTTGGACATAGTTTTGGACATAGTTTTGGACAGTTTAAAACTGCTCAAGAGTCCTAATATTTATTAACTGAAACTAAAAATAAAATGAAAATATAATGTTAAAATGTTAAAAAAGTAAATATTTAATATAATTAAATAATAAAAATTAATGTAAAATCAAAATAATATTAAAAATTAACATTTAAAGATTTTTGAAGTAATTTGATAATTGAAGTAAATTGATAATTGAACTAAAATTAAAATTAGCCAAAATTAGTCATAATTCTGGCCAAAATTAAATTTTTTGTCATGTGATCTGTCCAAAACCTGTCCAATGGAAAAAAGGTTTTGGTTTTGGACAAGTTTTGGACAGGTTTTGGACAAATGTCCAAAACGTCCAATTGTCCAATTGCCCGCCCTAGAGTGATGATCTTCAACATCACGTCGAATTTTTGCGCAACACGGGTAATTCTGTGCAACATATTATTTTCGCATATAATCGAAAAGAAAGTTATGTATGTTCTATTTTTTCTGTAAAAAAAATGCTTAGTTACAGTACAGAGGTTGCCCTATAAGTAAACAATAATACAAAACCATATGTTATGAAGGGTTGAGGACTTCGCAATTTCGAGATCGTCAGTCGTTAGTCCAACTTTGTGTTTTGCTGTGATGTGAATAAGTAGATTCCATACTCATGTACTTTCAAAGCTTTCTTGGCACCATACGACAATGTTAATCACGTCCTTTTCAGCAAGATATATGTAGGAACTTGTAGAAGTTCAACCAACCTTCCCGCAAATACTCTTCTCGCAAAAAATTTATATTTGCCAGGAGTTATGCTTACATGGGGGCGAGAGTAATTTCTCATTATTGGTCTTATATTTAGGAAAAGCAGTATGTCTTCCAGCGCCGATAACGATATTATAAGTCTTAACTTCCGTTACTGTAATGCGGAAAATAAAATATAATTTTTTGCGATTGAGATCCCCCCTTTTTTCTCATATAGTTAGAGATACACTTTCAGGATTTTGGAAAAATGTTGACTATAACGCCCAAGATCTTTGATTGAGGGGGATTTATCACACAGAGAACCCATGCGAAAGGAGACAGGATTTTTCCTATTCAACGGAACTTCCCTATCAAGTAGTTAGAATTTCTTTATATTCACATCATTTATTTCGCAAATTTTCATGTATCAGTTGCTTCGGCAACGTTTTTTTTTTTCCTAAATAAACTACATGAGAAATCGGGTCAAATCAGCCTAAAATCGTGTGACGATTGGCAAATTATCACTCCAACAAAACTTTTAATAATTAATGTAACTTTGGTACATTAAGTGATATATTAATTATTTAATTAGGGATCGGAAATTGGTCTAACAATATTTTTTCGTTCCTGGAGAAATATATATACCATTATGTATTGCAAGGCTAGTGAAACATCAAATGTATGAAGTGGTTTTAGCCAGTTTCACTAGGTGTATCTCTGAGTTGAAAGACATAATATCCAATGGTGTTTTCATTTTTCTAGACGATCATTATAAAAAATTCACACATTATTTAAATATCTTTGTTTTCCCTTCATGGTAATTAGAAATAATATCTATTATTGGTTCACTTTCCCATTTAGGTATAGCCAGTTGACATTCAAAATAAATAAATACTTATTACTCCTGTAATGTAAAAAATGGATCACTTCTTTGATTGAAACCAAGATTAGTGGAAGTGATACGTCATATACCCAATAGAGCCTTTTGCCAACGGTGAAGGCGTTGTCTGATGGAACCTCTCAACATTATGTGTTAAGCGCAGGAAATAACAGAATTGTTATTCGTTGATAATAAAATCCATCCGAGAAATATCCTCTTCCTAAGTATATCAAATGGCATCACTGTTGTACTAAATGTCATGATGTATAACATAGACGTTATTTTCCGCACATGGAATAGATAGTGAATGGATTGAAAGTTATAGATGCGTACTTAACATTAGTTGATAAAACGCAAATCATAATTTCGTTATATCAATGGGTGTTACACAATCAACTTATGTAATTTGGAATCGATGTCATCCATTTTCATTTCGTTGATACAATCAATAATAATTAATTTTAAAGAAATTATCCTTTTGCGTTGATATTTTTGATTCATCTATTATAAAACAATTATATGCACTTCTAATTTTTGTATATATAGGTATACAAAAATTCCATCCGAACAGAATAAAAACGAGTTTAAACGAGTTTAAATAATTTGATATAGTTAATTTTGATACTAAATACAGAAACATTTTTGCAGAATTTGATATGTAAATAATGGGAAAATCAAAGTTAAACAAATACATAAATTTTATTAGGAAATTTCTTGTAATTTTTAATATAATCGTCACGTCATGTCAGATGTCAACATAATCGCACAGATTTTTCTTACTTGTTACGTGAAATTAAGTACAAAGTTGATAAAGATAGAAAAATTTTACTCTTTTCTACAGTAAAAAAAAATCTACACGCGGTGCATCTCAAAATCTGATATAACGATACTGTATGTTAGGATCCATATTATATAATTACGGATAATATCACAACATAGACGGCCAAGCCATTTAATTTTTCACGGCTTAGCCAAATGGGTGACTGATACATCCCCATGAAAAAAAAAATGTCCAAAAGAATGCTTAAAAAAATAAAAAAAATAATGCTTTTGAAACTATAAAAAAAAAATTTTCAATTTTTCTAATACAGAAAATGCCCAGATGTAACTGTATCACATTCATAGGATTTTGTGATATTTATAATACCTTTTCTTCATTATATTTACTTGACGAGAGGATCATTCTTTCTGTATTTAGAAAATACTTGGAAACGGAATGGGACATCATTTTCTATAGATTCACATGTAATAGATTTCATAGGATTACATTTTATGAAATCTTGCCAGTATAAACTTCGACGCTCCAATTGTAACCAAACCGCCTAAGCACAATGTAAATAAGACATTAATCACAAATCACTTACCGATTATGATAAGCAGGGCCGTGATACTTGTTTAATACATACTGATATGTTTTTCTGACGAATTAAAAAAGAGGTATTAATAAAATATATCATAATATTATAAAATTTTAATAGTCAGAGTGAAAAAATCAGAAACAATATTGAAATTTCATGAAAGTGAAGAACGATCCTCACAATTTCAAGTTGCGAAAAAAATTCAAACGCTCAGTATATTGTTCATAATATAACACATAAAATTTATCGTCTTAAATACAAGTAACACACCCACCTTTGATTGCAAAGTGAAAGGACTACTTTTGGACTCTCTCTTAAAGAGTTAGTTGGTAATGATGCAGGAGGTTCTCTCTCCAACATAACTTACAACGCGTCATATATAAAGTCTCCTCAGCTATTAGACTATCGAGACTATCGATAACACCTTCCGCATAGCCTACGCATCAACCACGTCAACTGAAGGAGAATTGATGTATGAAAAGTTGTATTTTTTTCTGACGAATAAAAAAGAGGTATTAATAAAATATATCATAATATTATAAATTTTAATAGTCAGAGTGAAAAATCAGAAAATAATATTGAAATATAATTAAAATAAAAAAATAAAATAAAATTTAAAAAAAAAATGAAAGGCGAAATTTCATAAAAAAGTGAAGAAAGATCCTCACAATTTCAAGTTGCGAAAAAATAGTTGAGGAACGATCCCCAACATTCGCAATCTCAAAACTCAAACGCTCAGTATATTGTTTCATCATATAACACAAAATTTATCGTCTTAAATTCAAGTAACACACTCACCTTTGATTGCAAAGTGAAAGGACTACTTTTGAGCTCTCTTTTAAGAGTCAGTTGGTAATGATACAGGGCTTCTCTCTCTCAACAACGCGTAAAATAACTTACAACGCGTCATATATAAAGTCTCCTCAGCTAGCTATTAGACTATCGATAGCACCTTCCACATAGCCTACGCGTCAACCGCGTCAACTGAAGGAGAATTGATGTATGAAAAGTGTGTATTTTTTCGTTATATTAAAAAATACTGATCTGTTTTTCTGACGAATAAAAAAGAGGTATTAATAAAATATATCATAATATTATAAAATTTTAATAGTCAGAGTGAAAAATCAGAAAACAATATTGAAATATAATTAAAATAAAAAAATAAAATAAAATTTAAAAAAAAAATGAAAGGCGAAATTTCATAAAAAAGTGAAGAAAGATCCTCACAATTTCAAGTTGCGAATAAAAAGTTGAGGAACGATCCCCAACATTCGCAATCTCAAAATTCAAACGCTCAGTATATTGTTTCATCATATAACACATAAAATTTATCGTCTTAAATACAAGTAATACACCCACCTTTGATTGCGAAGTGAAAGGACTACTTTGGGCTCTCTCTTAAGAGTCAGTTGGTAATGATACAGGGCTTCTCTCTCCAACAACGCGTAAAATAACTTACAACGCGTTATATATAAAGTCTCCTCAGCTAGCTATTAGACTATCGATAGCACCTTCCACATAGCCTACGCGTCAACCGCGTCAACTGAAGGAGAATTGATGTATGAAAAGTGTGTATTTTGTTATATTTCACAGATAAAAAAGTGTATATATACATTTTTTATGTCACACAGTTCATCCGTGATCAGCCAAACTTTTAAGGCGCGATTGGTCAAGTTTCAGACACCGTTGTAAGTCCGTTAGTCCGAACTCCGAAGCGAAAAAAAAGATAAAACTCCCGATTTGCGATTTCATTGGATGACGCCACGTGAATGGATAGAGAAACTCACGTGATCGATCATTTTCGCTTCGCTCCGGACAATTATCAGTTATTTAATTAGCGGCTAATTTTTAAAAGGGTAGTCGAACAGAATGGATTAAGTTTATTCATAGGAAAATTTTTTTTTATTAGTTTTTTAACAAAATTAGTTATATCATTTTAATCTTTTTATATAAAACTTTTTTATTTAGTAGATTTTATTTAGCTAAAGAAAAACAATTGCGCATGGTTAATCATAAATCGGGCATAATATCCTTTACAGACATGGAAAAACCAAAAATATTTGTGGTCATAATTGAATAAAATACAAATAGATATTACATGATTTGTGTTTCGGTTCAATTAAAAAGTCTTTATTCCTTGACCATATTTATACTTAAATACATTATTTAAATTTAATTGTTGGTAAGAATTAAGTATATTTGACGCGAGAGGTTATATTATTATCTTCTTTCTCGTGAAGTAAAATATATTTGATAACATTACACGAAGATTTATAATCAAAATGAGAAAATTTTATATTAAAAAAAAATTCAAAGTTTATTAGCCTAACGGACGTGATACTCTAACAAGCTTATCCAGGCTTATTTATCGGTGAAAATTTAATAATCGGCTAATTTAACAATATATTTACCAATATTTTTACCATTCAACATATCAACAAAACCTTTCGCAACATTTTCAATTCCATCAAATATTGTCTCCTTATAAATAATTTTACCACTTTTAATCCATTCTATAATTTCTTTCTCATATTCTTTTTCAATATCTGTTCCAATATAATCTGTTACAACAAATCCTTGAATATAAAGTCTTTTCGTAACAATATTTTCTAATGTCTTTACTCCATATTTTTCTTTTGGATCTGTTATATTATATTGTGATATCATACCACAAGCCACAATACGTGCAAAAAGGTTGCAATGATTTAAAACTACTTCAAGAGTCTCTCCACTATTTAATATTTAGAATAAATAAAAAAAGAATACTTCACGCAAAAAAAAAAAAAAAATTATGATCGATCATATTTTAGTGATTACATACCCAACGTTTTCGTAATAAATATCTATCCCATTTGGACAATATTCGTATAATGCCTAGAACATCGAATGGTTCAATATCAAAAAAAATGCTCTATTAAAAAAACTTAACACACTGCTGTACCTTATCGAGCTCGACTTTATTATAATTAAAGGCAGCATCAAATTTTAATTCATTCAAAAGATAGTCAACTTTCTCATCAGATCCAGCAGATCCAACAACTCTCAATCCTTTAATTTTCGCTATTTGACCGACGAGTTGTCCAACAAAACCAGCAGCAGCCTAAAAGGATTAAAAAAAATTATTATTATTAAATATATCTTAATGAAAAGATCAAATAAAAATAAAATTATTTTCGTCACATACTGAAACAAAAATTGTTTCTCCCTCTTTCGGTTTTCCAATATATTTAAGGGATGCATAAGGAGCTAATCCACCTCTTTTAATAAAACTAGCGAAATAACTCAATGGGATATCTTTTAATAAATCTTTATTTATAAAAAAAAAATTAGAAGTAGCATCAGATTTGATGTGAGAATATTCCTCCCAACCTAAATTCAATGCATAAACTAAATCTCCGACTTTAAAGTTAGGATTATTTGTCTTTATAATTTCAGAAACTCCAGCGCCAATTATAATCTGACCGATTTGTACAAGTTGTTTTTTAGATGCTTTATTGATTGTTCGTTCATGTTTAGGTTCGTGTTCCTTTAAAGTCAAACGAACATAAGGATCTAATGACAAATATAGATTTCTTAAAACAAATTCATTTTCTCCCAATTTTAAATTTTCAATGTCAATTGTACGATCAACTAGTTCAAAGTGCTCATCAACTTTAGGCATTCCCTTTGGATGTGCCTTAAGCACTACTCCTTTGTTAGATATGATTGTCATTTTTTTTTTAAAAAAAAAAAAAATATTCATTATCAAAGCTGTATTTATACTAATCCCGGAGAATATATTTTCCGCTTTTGATTACTAATTATGAAAACCCCATAAAATGTTAAACTCTCCTGTCGATCACTCGACCTAAAATTTTAGACGGAGAAGTTTACGTTGAATTATGATGTAATGTGGTTTTACGTAGTTGTTATATATACTTTCGCAGATAGGTGTGACGACTGTGACGTCCCAAAATAAAAAAAAAATAAATAAAATAATTATGTAATATAATTGCAGCTCCGTTTTGTGGGCGCCGACCCTAAGTCTTAATAATTTTATTTATATTTCAAAATTTACATAAAAATATCAAGTTTAATATATATAATAACTATATGATAATTAATAGTCAGATACTTTTACAATAGTTCTTCCAATATTTCTACCGTCGAATAAGTTAACAAAACCTTCAGCAATATTTTCAATTCCATCAATCACTTTCTCTCTATAAACAATTTTACCAGCTTTAATCCATTCAGTAAAATCCTTTTCAAATTCATTTTGAATATCTGTTCCAAGATATTGAGATACAATAAATCCTTGCATAGTAATACTTCTTAAGAAAATAATTTCTAAATTTTTTACTCCGTATTTTTCGTTAAAAGGTAAGTTATATTGTGATATCATACCACAAACCACAATACGTGAAAATTGATTGCAATGATTCAAAACTGTTTCAAGAGTCTGTCCACTATTTAATTTTTAGAATAATTAAAAAAAAAAAAACTTTACGAAAATAAAAGATTATACTATTTAAATTTAAAATGATTACATACCCAACGTTTTCATAATAAATATCGATACCGTTTGGACAATATTCGGATAATGCCTAAAAATATGAATGTATTAATTAATAATGAAAAAAAATAACGTATTCACCTATTTTGTGGATACCTTTTTCACCGATATAAAAATTTACCGACATCATTTTGCCGACATAGTATTAACGGTCATGAAATTTTGCCTTTAATTAATTTCACAGTAATTAATAAGAAAGCAAGAAATATTTTCAATGATATACATTTCGGTAGATAAATTTTCATGTCGGTAAAATGGGAAGTCAGCAAAATGGCGTCGGTTAATTTCATGTCGGTGAAATGGCTGTCTGTAAATTGTACCATAACCAAAAAATAATGCTCAATATCAAAAATTAACATATTGTACCTTATTAAGATCAGTTTTCTTATAATTAAAGGCAGCATCAAATTTTAATTCATTCAAAAGATAGTCAACTTTCTCATCAGATCCAGCAGATCCAACAACTTTCAATCCTTTAATTTTAGCTATTTGTCCAACAAGCAATCCAATAGCACTAGCAGCAGCCTAAATGAATAGGTAATTTATTATAAATTCTTTTTTTTTTTAACAAAAAAATGAGCAAATAAACATAAAATAATATATATTGTATACCGAAACATAAATTGTTTCTCCCTTCTTTGGTTTTCCAATAGATATAAGGGATGCATAAGGAGTTAAACCACCCATTTTAAGAAGACTGGCGTAATAACTCAACGGAATATCTTTTAATGATTCTTTATTTATGGGAGAAAAAATCGCTGCAAAATCAGATTTGATATGAGAATATTCTTCCCAACCTAAATTAAAAATGATTTTTGTTATAAAAAGGTTTTTAACTTGTTTGTACGTTTTAAATATTATTTACCAACAGGTCCATAGACGAGATCTCCAACTTTGAAATTAGGATTATTTGTTTTTACAACTTCAGAAACTCCAACGCCAATAATTACTTGTCCAATTGATACCCTCTTTTCAAGTAGCGTGTCGACTGATACATATTCTGGTTCTGGTTCTCTTAAAGTAAAACGAACATAAGGGTCTAAAGATAAATATATATTTTTTACAACAATTTCATTCTCTCCCAAGTTCAAATTTTTAATGTCAATAGTACGAGGAACTAATTCAAAATGCTTATCGGCATTAGGTAATCCTTTAGGATATTCCTTGAGAATGAGTCCTTTGTTTGATACAGCCATTTTTTTTTTCTTATTTGTTTTTTAAGTAAAAAAAAAAAAAAATGTATGAATTGGAAATTTATTATCAAAACTTATATTTATAGAAAAAAAATAAAGTTTAGCCTTGAAAATAATTTATTTGTTGTACTAATTAATTAAAAGAAATCCTTAGTGAGGATCAAAAATATTATCGCTTCATATTGAGATGCTTAATAAGGAAAATCAATTTAAATATGAAAGATTTTATCAAGGTATTTTATTTTATGTATATTATTTATTTATTTATTTTATTGTTTATACTGATTGCGGTGTGATACTTTTGTAAAGCCCGTATGTGTTGCGGACTATAATGCGTGGTATATTAACGTCCGTGAAAAAAAATCTTAAATTATACTTGATTGTTAATTTTTAAGAATTTTTAAGTAATTCTGACGATCTTGCAGTCATGTGAGTCATGTGAACTTTGGATGTATTATTAATTAAGTAGTATTTTTTTTTTTTCATAAGGGCTTAATTAGGGAATTTAATTGGCCTATCGAAAAATTAGTAATCGATCAATTGAATAATCAATATAATTTGATTGTCGATAAAATTCTCATCAATTAGTAATTATTAATCAAATAAATCCAATTAAAGTAATGATTATACTAAATTAGTTTATCTTTCTTTTGAAATTAGTCAATTAGATAACAAAAATAAATAATTATTCACGGATTATTTTTAATAATATTATATTCGTCACCCTTCTTGCTTGTGTCTTGATATCAAAGTTTTACTTAATTATTAATTGGTCATTTGAGTAATGCAGATTTCTGCGAAAATAAGATAAGCCAATACCACTATTCCGATTTGATCGATCGATTCATATTTACTAGAATCGGATAAATGATCGGCCGATAGGCCGATCATTGTTTTAGTAAAATTTAAAATTTACTATTTCAATTAGTCAGGTTTATCCCCTGCCATTTACACAATAGTAAGTATATTTTATTGTTGAATCAATTTGTTTGAATTTTGTAGTTTGCGTTTTTTGTTAGTACGTAGATTTTAAATCGTACGTACTACTTTGATTGCTAAATATAGAAAATTGTACGTATGTAATGAAAAAAATCATACATACAGCCTCGCCATACACTTTTCTCCTTCTTTAAAATATGAAAATAAAAATTTAAATGAATATTTTTATTTGTTATACACTTATACTAGCATGTCATTATTTATGTGCATTTATCTTTAAATAAATAAATTATAAACAGTAATCATATTTAAGCTTTTTGCAAAAATGTATTCATGTTCTTTATTAAATTTAAATTTTTTAAATTTTTTAATTTCTCGCAGAACTTAAGGAAACTGCAAAATATTAAATTACCTATAAAAAAAAATTATAGGATTTCTTGCTACATTATAGTCCTAATTCCTTTTCTTTACTAAATTAGCCAATTCTAAAGCTTCGATAATTTCTTTTACATCTGAGAGAGCTAATTTCCATTTTATTAATTATTTAATATTTTAATTGATGTAATTATTTTAAATTTATTTATATTAATGTAATAAAATATTTATAAAAGAAATTTTTTTAAAAAATGAATATTGAATTGATAAAAAAACATTAGGGAAAGAATAATTACATAATTATATTTTTCGTATTTAATATATTGTGTAATTGTCTTCTGTATAACTTGTATAACTGTTGATAATTATGTGTATACTATCATACATACTTGTACAGTATTTCCGGGTATCATATATTTTCTCGTCCTATCACAAGATTTGTTTGTATCTAATATTTAAATTTTAAGAATTTCGAGTATAAACTTCATTACTTTGCAACGCAGTTTCACGGAAATTCGTATCCTATCAGAAAATACACTATTGTTGAAAGAACAATAAGGCTAAAAAATAAATATCCGCGATATCCGTTTCGCGACATCCGCCCCAATAAGATCGACTAACCAAATTAATAATAAACTAAACCAAAATTGTTATTGTGATTATCCAAATGAGGAATATCTTATTCCAACATCGTATTGTTTGGGACAAAAAATCAATTTGGCGACATATAATGTAATTTATTAATAAAATTTATATTACTTGCATTTAAATTTATGTATTTTAATAAGCTTTATTAATATAATAAATAAGTGTAACTTTAAAAAAGAGGTCTTTACATTATTTTTTACAAAATATTAAGACTTTGCATTTTTATTATTAAAATTATTTAAACATTAATATCAAAAACAAAAATACATGTAATTTACAACATTTTCGAACAACTTTACTTAACTCTCAAAACTTCAAAAAAATGCTTAACTTCCAGAATAATATCAATATATCTCATATTTAGTATTATCATAAAACTACAATAAATAACAATGATGATTAAAATATACAAACTGAAAAGAGAGAAACTATTATACATATTTAAAGGCCATGTAAATCGAAACACTTATATAGCTGGGATTTCGTTCATCAATACTTGGTTCTCTAATACAATCTGCAACCCTTGAGAGGAAAATTATATTTATTGCTAATATTGATTTCGTCCAATAATAGTCATTGCCGGAAAGGAGTGCAATGTTTAACATTTGGACTATCGGAGCCTCTATGATTTTTACTTTATAAACTAAACTAACAAATTTCCTATAACGATCATTTCTATTTAATCTAAATTTATATTATTCGCAGGGGTATTATTGGTGTAAAATATGAAACAAATTTCATTAATGATTGCAAATATATGAACAAGAAAATCAAATATGAACTCTTTTAACATTGAGTAAGATGAAGCTGCAAGAAAATTATAAAGAGATAATACAACTAAAATGATAACAACGCCAGTTGTAACTACAGAAAGGATTGGAATCCAGAGGGGAATTGCGAATTTTTCGTGGTTTTTATAAAATACTATACTTGGTAGAATGTATAATGATGAAAGATAAAGAAGGTCTTCGAAAACTCCTTTAAAGGTTAGTTTGGATGTTACTATTTTAAAGGTTTGTTTGACCGTTAACTTGAGTTCTGCCTTTTCTTCGTCTGAACCTTTTGAGTTTATCGAATTTGCCTCGGTTGATCGTTCCGGTTCTTCCTTATCTTCTGATCCTTTCGTGCCAAATAAAAAAACTATCAGTATAGGAACAAGCGCATTGATTACTTGATCAAACACATCTTGTCTAGGATCATATTCGTCAGCAAAAAGCTGAACCAAAGGATGACGAGAGAATAATTCCAAAGAGAAGACGTTTTAAATGGCGCATTTTGTTGGATAGTTGTTGTAATAATTAGTAGTTAAGGTGAATATATATATGTTGAGCATCATATTACTTCTTGACACGCCAGTTAATGGGGCTAATCTTTTTGTATTTTATTTTTCCAAAAATAATGGTACAAATGATTATTTTCTGGGCGATTCTATACTTGTGATTATCTTTCTGACGCAGAATATGTGGGTGGGATTCGTATTTTAAATTTCCAAAAAAACAACAGTGCAAATAACCTACCTTAGATTATTACAATAAGTTCTAATTTGCATATTAGTAAGACCTACTAGTAATCTTAATAAAGACTGGCGTACGACATGCTATCGAACAATACAAAAGAAGATTCTAATCAGCATAATCTACCATAAAATATTGTGATGTGTTATTTTGGTACAGCACGTTATCGAATAATAAATTTTTAAATTTTGTTTAATTTGTTTCAGTAAATAAACAGATTCACAATAAAAAAAAAGATTCTGAACCGCATTAACTACATAGACTATTGTGTTGTATTATTTTGGTAGATCAAATCGTTGTTTATAATTAGAAATGGCTGAATATTGTACTGGAGTGGTGATACCTTGAAATACCCTAGCCGCCTAGCGTTACCAAAAAAAAAGCACTGTGACGCACAGTGCTTTTTTTTTTTTGTGGTAACGTTAGCTGTACCCCTTTTTCTTAAATATGATTGGGCCAAAATGTGGCACATCCGATCATTATTAGCCACAAGGTTTCTTTGCTCAATTTGCTGTTTCGCGCGAAAAAATATAAGAGAAAGAACTTCAAAAATATTTTAATTTCAAATATAACAAGAACCAAAATTTTAATATTTTTAATATTTTAACATCGCATTTCAAATTAAAATAAAATGTTTTATATATATTTTATTATAAAGTTTTAATAAACAAATAAACTAAAATAGTTTAATAAAGTGCCAAAATTATTCTGTAAAATTGAAACAATAATAATTCCATGAATATTTACTCAATAATCATAAAAATTAATATCTGGATATTTCCATACCTGCTGAACAACTTAATTATTCAATAAAAGCAAATTTCGTTTGACCAAAATGCTTAAATTATGCCATAAGTATTTGATACTACTAATACTGATTTCAATATTGGAGGTCTCATAAAATATCGATCAATAAATCCCGCATATTCCTAATCGAATCGACTGAACAATAATATAAATTAATAGTTATTCAGTTTAAAATAAAAAAAAATTTTTTTATATATTAAGATTACCTTCAGTTGCATTTCTATTGAAATGTACAGTACAGTAGCTTAGAACTTGAACTTACATGTATTAGTTTAGAATTTGTTTGAAAATTTTGATTATACTCTAAAATATTAGATTCATTTGTATAATTTTTATCGTAAGAATTTTTCCACATTTTTTCGATTTCATCATAAAGAGTATCATCTATATCAGGTCTTTTTAATGGATCAGCATTCCAAGTTTCATCAAATTTTTATATTCTGATGGAATTTCTGATCTAATTTTGGTCTCATGTCATAAGCTATTTTCATTGCAAGATCATAAGAGGTTCATCATCAAGAATCGTTTGCTTTAGAAATTCATGTTCACTGGTTAGGTTACATAATGAACGCTATAATCTAATAATGTAACAGCTCTTTCAATTGCGGCGATAGTAATAATCGTGGCCATGATAATATTTAAAAATTTTTTAATTTTGGAAGGGGAAAAATGCGTATTAAATCCCGGGTCGTGATCATCGTATTTATTTATAATTCAGGAAATTAATTTGAGGTTGGATCCATCCAAACAAAAAGGCACGGATAATTAACCGAAAAATACTATAAAAAATTATGATACAAGAAGAGCACGTGACCGTAATGATCGCACTTTCGGATGGTAGAATTATTTTAATTTCCAATTTATTACATCTCAATTTGCTATATTAAATTATATTTAATACAAAAATTTTCATAAGTTAGTCGGAAGTAAAAGTTCGCTATAGATGAAATTTCTGCGTGATACGACGCTGGAATAACTAAAGATTCGACATCGTGTTACGTCGTTATGAGATATTATGAAAATGGGAATTTATATTCGTATCTTGACGAATCAATGGGAGCTCTTTTTTTGGAACACGGTCTCGTTCACAGAAATTTACATGGAGGGAACATACTGGTTGAGAACGAAATGGATTCAATAAATGCTAAAATTACAGACACAGGATTACATGGACCTGTTGATAAATAAATATGTTCTAAGCAAATTTACGGAGTAATACCCTTCGTTTCTCCTGAAATCTTTTATGGATATACTCATATACATTAACTAAAGAGTCTGACATATACAGCTTCGGCATGATCATGTGGATGTTATCAGCTGGTGTACACCCTTATTGTGACAGACCTCATGATTCACAACTTATACAAGCGAGCTTTCGCTAGATTATTGTTACAATGTTTCATCCAATAGACCAACTGCATCACAGCATTTAGGAAATTGGGCTATAACAATATGTGATCGACAACCGTTTCATCGACAAATATTATATGAATTAAATATAAAAATTTATAAATATTTTACAAATGAAATAAGGTAACATGTTAAATTATTAGACATGTGCATTATAGATTACAAAAATGTAATAAATAAAAAAAAAATCAAAAAAAAAACATTTAATCAAAAAAATAATTTTGCACAGTGTTTCTTTGTTGCGTTCGCTAATTTATTGACCAAAATTAAAAAATTTATTATTTGATGACACACAATGAAAGTGACACAAAAAAGCCTAAATCACAATTTTATTCTAATGGTACATGGGAACTTTAATTCAATAAATCTGATATTCAGACTGGAATTGACATTATGAGAAGGCATCACTGTGAAAAAGTTCCTTTAGACTATTAACGAAATATAGATGAAGAAAGATGATTTTTTATTTCCAAGGAAAAAAGAATTCCGTTATATTGAAAGTATGTTTAACATCATGTTGGAAAGAAAATTTATCAACAGTAATAATTGTAGTATTGTACAGTACATTTAAGAATTGCGTCACATGATAAATGTCTCTGTTATGGCCAAAGTGAGGGATGGGAGGGATGGGAGTCATGTTAGTTAAATTGGTAATTCACTAGTTATTAAATAAATCTATTTTTTTTTTCATCTAAAAAACGTGATACAACCGATTTGTAACCAACATACGCATATACGCCGTATACGCGTAATGGATATAACGCGTAGCACGTCTGAAATGTGTGTCAGGTTGACGGCGCAGTGTGGCGCAGTAATTCAAAAAAATCTAAGTTGAAGATTTTCTTTTTAATATAATGCTTTCAAATTTACACATTAGATGTATTTTCATCTGTTTTACAAAATTCACTTATAAACGGAAGGAGGTTTTGGACGTAGATTTTGACTTTAGTATATAACAACTGATTTTATCGTCTTTGCCGATCATTTCCAAAATTGGATTTGTCAAAAAAACGGTTTTTGTTAAATAACTCGAAAATGGCCTTCTAAATCGCCCGTATATACTCTAAGTAAATTTGCAGAGCGGACGAAAATACATCTAGTGCAGTAATTTAAAGGTTTTATTTTAAATAAAAAAAATTGCAATTTAATTTTTTTGGAAAAATCGCTGCGCCACACTGCGCCGTCAACCTGACACACATTTCAGATGTGCTAACGCGTAAACAATCTTACATTATAATAATCACAATGACTCACAGTATTTGATTTTAATGATTTTCCCATGATAAGAAATTATCTATAAAATCGCATATTAAACTCTTTAGTTTTGAAAAGTTATTTTTTCTATTTATTTTAATATAATATTTTCTTCTTTAATACTTATTATAACTCTTGAAAGCTAATGTTTTATTTAATAAATACATATATCACCTTTGTTGTTATCCTTCCTTGCAAAAGCCTTGAAAGTAAATGGAATAATTTATTGGGCTTTTTTGTTATCCTGGTAAGTGGAAATGACTAAGCTGGGATGTATAAGGGATTTGTGCACCTAGTGTGCTTCGGTTATCCTCCTCTTCTAGTAGTCTGGTTACCTTTAATGAGAAAAACAATATCTCAAGCTATGTCGCAGACTTCTGTATGTGGGGCCCTTCCCTTTGGTGGTGGGTCTCATGTCTTATTATCAATGTGACAGTACCTCTGCACGAGTTTGATCACTCACGATATATCGTTAATGTCAGTTGATAGTAGGCATGGGGGCTTGAATCTGTCTTTTCTACAAAGCTTACTTAGAGTACTCGAGTCTTCTAATATATATTTTATTTTTTAGATTCTCATGTTTCACCTTAGGCAATAATAACTTGACATAACAAGAAATCTTTCTAAATTTAAGGAATAGTTTTTATAGAAAAATAAATTCCGGAGGCCAGATAATTAAGATAATTAAATATTATTATTTTAAAAAAATGAATTTTATTATTAAAATCTCAAATTTTTAGTTATTTAAGAAAGGTATTTTATTATCCTATTTTGTTATAACAAAAATCCTGCATGCAAAAATTATCTTTATAAACTCGCACATTGTGATATCTAATATTGTTAAAATTGTAAAAATCTTTTAACTCATTTGTAATAAAATTACCAATAAAGATTAGAAAGAGAATTTTTGTATTTTATTTTGAAAAAGTTAGGTTAAAAAGTAATTATTTTATATCAAAATAAAGAAGAGTATATTTTTTGTTGGTGGCTTTTATAACAATAGATACTTAAAAAAAAAAGTTTATCAGCATAAAATTTAGTAATGTCAGAGAATTTATAATCTCCTACGAGATCATATAACTATTTCTCCAACGACCAACTACTGAGTATGTTAATATCGTTAGAATTATTTTATAACCCATTTCTCCTTTCTATTTAACTTTTAAACTTACTATATTTTCATATATTGGTAAATTTCTTACATCTATAATTATCTATAATTCCAAATTTTATCGTCATATCGTGATCCAAAAAAAATTTTTTAATATTGACATTGAATACTGATCAAAAATGAAAAATCCAGGGTAACTACCCGGGATCTTTGATCAGTACGGCTTCATAGAAAAGTTAAGGCATGGGTTACCACAAAATTAATTCGTACAGTAAATTGTCCTACGCTTCACCCCGGACTGTATAATTAATAATTAGAACACAAATTGTAATTAGCATTTTAATAATATTATGACACGTTTTATTGAGGATGAATGTGTGCTTATAGTCTGTATAAAAAATATAATTTTATCTAGGCATACTTAACCATAAGAAATAAAGCTCTTATAATTCCAACGCAAAAAATCATTACTATTCATTTCATTGATCTGGTGGAAAGAAATTAATTGTGAGAAAAAGATCATGCTGATTCCCTATAAAAAATTTTATCCGTTATTTCTGTAAAATCTCCGTAAAATGAGCCTTTCACGGATCCATTCACGGAAAATGTAAATAATTCGATAAATTCTAATGTAGCACGATCTAATCCAGCTTCACGATTAGATACAACTTGGTAGTCATCACCATGATACATTGCAAGTGACCCGGGGATATAAGGTTATTAATTCCGGATATATGAGCCGGAAAAAAGACGGAATATATCGATTTTTTTTACAGGATTGCAAAAATTACGGTTTATAAATAACAACTATCATGATATTAATAGGACCCAGAAATATATACAGGGGTAGGGTACACAGATGCGTCGCCATCATAGTGGAATTAGACGGAGTAAAGTTTTGATTTGCGTACAATTTTAGATTTTTCATCTATAGTTAGGTCATCAAGATTGCGTATTTTTTATCAAAATTTTTATATGTAAAAAATTAGTTTGCGTATTTTTGGCCTAAATTTGGCTAATCTTATATATATAATATATTTACTGTATTTATTTAATTAACCGCATTGTAATATTTAGTATTAATTGAAAGAAATTTCTAAGGGTTAAAAAGTGAAATTTTAGAAAAATATTATTAAAAAAATGGTAAATTCTATTTTTTTCACATTAGTATTTGGTTTTATAAATAATATAGAAGCCATGATAAAATAATTAATAACTTAATTTTTTTAATTTTTTTTTTTTTTTTTTTGCAGGATTTTCAATATCAGGTGTCAATTATGCGTACTACTCATATAAAAAGTCTCTGCGTACAGCTCATAGTAAAAAAATTTTTCGCCACCTGACCCCTATATATATATTTCTGGGTCCTATATTAATCGAATCGTAAATTTTATTGTAAAAAGGATAGCATGTTATTGAAAGTGCCTGAAACAAAGAATACAAATGATTATGAATTCAACTCGCAGAAAAAAAAAGATATACTTGTATAAAAATCATTATGTCTTAAATTGAACTTAAAAAAGAACTGCGTTAAATGAAATGGTTGTAATTTCATATGTGTGGTACAATTCAATCAGCTTGCAGACTTTAGTTCTGGGGTGACATGCTTAATATAAATTTAAAATTTTTTTGCGACAGTACGATTCTAGGGGTATACAAATTAATGTACGTTTTACCAGAGAACAATGCATTACATGGTTTGAACTTTATAATTTTATAAATTTATTGAAAATACTTGAACGTGATGAAATATAAAATAAAAAAAAATTTATGTTTATTGTATATATGGGTATAGTTTTTATAATGATAGAAATATATATAATATAGGATTTATAAGAGTATTATACATAATTTGTATTACGCTTATTTTTTGTCACAGAGTTATTGAGTCATTATTTATGAGAAAAAAATTTTACTTACCATTACCACAACATGTGAGCACAAATACGAGCACGCGAGCGGCGGGCACGCACTGATATAGGCACTGACACACCTTAAATAAAAAGTTAAAAAGTTAGTTAACGGAATACATTTTAGTAGAAGACTAATAACTCTGTGACCCTTATTATTTCATAAAGACATTTTTATTAAAAAGTAAGCAAGCAAAAGTTTGTCTTAAATAAAAAAAAAAATCTGTCAATCCTTCGGAATTTAACGTATCAATTCAATTACTACTTATGACTCAATGTGACAATTATTTTGTCAGTGCACCTGCATCTGGTTAATTCACAAGGTAGATGCCCGTCTTGCCCGAGTTGACCCGGTATCAATTTCCATATTGTAAATCAAAAAATTATGCCGATCTTTATTAATTTCTCCCGACTGGCCGCTTTTATATTTGCAATTTTTAATTATTATTACAGTAATGAAAATTAATTGATTTTATTTGCACAAATAAAAAATTTTCAACAGTGAAATTAACAATAACTTAAGTTATACTATAATGATTTTAGGTCATTTTAGTCACGATCAAAAGTAATGCATCGGTAATTTTTGATTCAACGTCATGTGAATAGAAAATAAATTTACACTAAAATAAGTTCCTTTTGGCAATTTTTTTACCCCAGACGTTGAGGTATTTGTTGATGCAAATCTTTTGGCCGCCATCATTTTACACCTTACAGTATTTACGTGTAGCACTCCTTCCGGAGTGAAAGATAAATACGGGTTTTATTTTATAGAGACTAGTCTTCTACTTTACTCGTTACTCGTTAATATTTTTCGTTACCACCCGATTTTAGATTTATGATTATGATCCCATTCATTAATCATAGGTTACCTTTTTTTCTATTATTAGAGGGTGAGTTTGCCAATATGGTGAATGGCAGTTTAAAAGAATAGATTTTATATGTTTCATTTAATTTTTTCTAAATAACTCTGCAAAGATATTTATGACGAAGGATCGTTATAGAGAACATAATACATACTGTATGTCTAAAGTAGGGAATTGAAATAAACAACTTACATTTACCAGAGAATGAAATTTTCAGTTTATAATAAATAATACATCACATATATTGAACTCGTAATTTTATTATGTTTATTATAGTGTTTATAATATTTGATATAATCAAAGAAATTATATAACTTACTTATAAAAATTTATATTATGCTTATTTTTGTCACAGAGTCGCAGAGTCATTATGAGAATAAAAGAATTTTACTTACATTTACCACAAGTACAATGACTATAGCACGCCTTACAAAAATAGCATTCTACATCAATTACACATTCTAAATACGAGCATTTATCAGCTTAAATAAAAAGTTAAAAGTTAGTTAACGGAATAATACATTTTAGTAGAAGATTAATGACTCTGTGACCCTTACTTATTTCATAAAACATTTTTATTAAAAAAAAAAGTGTAAGAAAAAGCTTGTCTTTAAATAAAAAAAAATCTGAACTCAATGTAACAATCTAACGCATTACTATTTATGACTCACCGTGACAATTATTTTGTCAATGCGCCCCTGCATCACGCATTATAAATATTTGTTTTCATGTTAAGTACGGCGCTTCATACTTTCCCTTGAATTAAACTTCCCCTGCTTTTCCTTTAACACAATTTTATTTGTTTTTGTAACGCGTGATTTTACTCCGTTTTAGATTACAGATAGCGACGGTTTCCGTTTACTTAGTAATATTGCCATCATTTGTAAACGTATAGAATATTTATAACAATATATAACAACACAATTATTTTGACATTATTGTCATTTAATAATTTTAAATACCAAATGAAAAAAAAATCCAAATAAATGAATTTTACTCATTTCTTCCGTAAATCGTATCTTTTTCCCGAGTGGCTGTTTTCGGATATTAAGGGTGAAGTCACTTTGTTCCATTTTTAAGTTGATCCTAACAGTTATTAGTCCGAAGTGTAATGAAAGACTATATATTTCTACGTAAAGAGTACACAAAATGTCTCGTTACAAAAGTAATAAAATATTACTAAAATATTACTTTTGGGCACAGCTCTTTAGAAAAAAGAGTATTTTTCAAAAAAAGTGATATCACATTATTTTTTTATGTTATAATATATTATTTTAAGCCTTTAATTTGTTTAAATGCTAATTAGAACCAAAATTTAAAAATTTAGCTTATCAATTAATCTGCCATCCCAACGTGACGATGCACAATAAAATATTAAAATTTGTGTAACTTCTTAAAACGGACTAGTAATATAGAATTAGAGAATAATTAATTTCCTTTTAATTTAATAATATTGTGTATTATATCTTAATATTGTTTTCTGAATTAATTACTAATAATAATTTTATTCACAATGGATAAATCTCTGGGCGTAGGCAGTCCACTAATTTTGATGATTTTAAACTGGTAGGACGGTCATATGGTCCATTCTATGGCGTGTTTTTAAGCAGTTATGTTTTGATAAATAGATTCTAATTTGTGATTCTAATTTGTGATGCGATAAAAAGTCTTGAAACCTTCGATTATCAAGGACGTTTTCCTTGTTAATAATAAATATTTACTGAGTGAATATGTTTTTATTTTGGCTTTTAAAAAATCAATTTTTTCTTTGTAAGCATTTAATTAATGCTTCTGAATTTACAATTAATCCTTCTTTTTTTCACAAAGTTCAACAAGGAATATATACAAATATATTTTTATTAGCTGAAGAATCAATTCAAAAAGCCATTTTCTAATTCAAACAAAGTAAATAGTACTATTATATTATGCATACTTAGCAAACGTAATTCTTTTTTTTTTTTGTTTAGATAATGTATTAAATAACATAACTAATTTAATGAATAATGATAGATCCTACCCAATTTACAATTGTAAATTCAACAAGTTACCATGACGACGATTGAACAGTGCGATTATTTAAAGATTGCTACGTGAAGCATTGAGAATTGTGGAAGAATAAGAAAATATTGGAATAAACGATGGGCAAAACCTTACATGCAGTTTGGACGAGTTTCAAGGGTGTTAAAAATTTAGTAACTGACTAACTGGTATTAATAAGTATGACAGACAAATTACAAATCCACGTACTTTGAAAGATCACAATAAGTATACGATGATTTACTCCGTAGATAAGATAGTAAATTAATTGAATTATGAAATATTCGCTTTTTTAAAATAATTTTAACTTTTTTAAAGGTGATTTTCGGTTTAAAATTTTAAATAAAATACTTAATGTCTTTAAATATTAATTTTTACTTATTTAATTACGTAACCACAAAATCATGTGATACGTGATAATCAACGCAAAATTCTCTTGAGGTTATTACGAAAACTAAAAGTGTCTTGATATTTATATATTTAGCTATTGTATACAGTCAGAAAGGATAAATACCAAACGAATAAACGATTGCTGGGTTGATTAAAATGATTGGCTTCAGTTGTTAAGTGTTCAAGGAGGGTCATCTGATAAGAATCTCACGTATAAAGATTATTTCATTCTCGCAATAAAATAAATGTCAAAATATATTAATTGCCGGAACCGTCACTCAACGGTACAAAATTAATTTGTAGATTCGGCGCAGATTTTATATGAATTACGTTAATTGGCATATTTTGATGCCGATTTTATCCCTAACGACGACTAACTAATCAATAACATTAAACGTGAATAAGCCACATAAGCCACAAAAAAAAAAAATTTTTATCATTCGATATAAAATTTAACAAGTTTACCTTGGTGGAAATCACCATTCCACCTTATATTTTAGTTAAGTTGAGATTTTTTATACACGAATTTTGCAAATTTTACGACTTTTTTAATAAAAAAATGGAATAAAATAAACAGGAAATTACAGGTTTTTTTTTTAAAACAAATAATATTTACTTTCCCAAATTAACAAAATAACAAAAAAAAAAAAAATAATTTTTTTTTACTTTTCTTTAATTATAGATTGCCGATCATTTTGTACCGTTGAGTGGCGGGGCAATTAATTTATTCTATTTTTTATAATAGGCAAGCGCGATTTTAACCGGAAAATTTGCTTTTAAAAGCCAACCAAAGCCATTCTCTTAAAATTTTTAACCATGTATTTAGTGTAATATTTTGAGACATTTTTTAAAAGAAGAGATCATATTTTATGTAATGTTTTGATGGTGGGCTGAAGTGGGATTGATTAATCTGTTCACCCGAATTGACCCGACCCGTTCGGAACACTTCATTAATTTTAAATTGAGCCTCTGAGGCTATAAATTCCGGGAAGTAACATTTTCTATTGACAAGCCACGAAGATTCTCAAAATGTTATAAAAGAGCTCTTTTGGATTGATCTAAAAATACCAAAAAAAAAAAAATGTCCCAAAAAACTTCAAGACTAACCTATCAAGTAAATTTACCTAGATCGTTTATAAAAAATCATCATACCCCTATTTTTAGTACAAATAATAATATTTTTTGGCGAATAATATTTTTTGAAGCCGATGACTGCTGTTATGGATTTTTTTTACAGCAAGTTGCAAACCCAGATGAAATTATTTGGAGAGAACATTCAACTTTTAATATATTCGCAAAAGAAATTAGAAATGAATATTACTCATTATACAATTAGAAAATGTTTACTTCGAAATGGAGAATTGATAATTGGAGCTAATTTTGATAACATTGAATATAATGAAAGCAACATTTCCAAAACACATTGTCCTGAACATATTCCAGAGGATCTTATAGACGCATGGAAAGATTAATTATTTAATTTTCCATCGGCTGACGTAGAATTTGATGTACAAGGTGAAAATTTTAAATTCTATGTTTGTAGTTCAATACTTTCCAAAAGATCCGAATATTTTAGGAAAATGTTATCAGATCATTTGTCCGATTCAACATTTCTGGTTAAAAATGAGCCTTCTATGGATAATAACTCAACATGTCAAATAAAACATCGGATTAAAATTTCAAAATATGGCCCAATTACAATTTCTGCCATGCTTGAATACCTTTACACCAACAAAGTTAGCAGATCAATGTCTTTTATTGAACGAGCAAAAAGTAGAATTTTAAACGAATTAACTTTGAATAATAATGATTAATCCAGGGTTTGACAATTGGATGTGATGTAAATTTTGGTGAAATTTACGATGATGTCACGGGATATATATTTTTCTTTTTTTATATATATATATTTATTTATCTTTTATTTATTATTAGTTTATTTTTAGTTATGTTATATAGAGATATTTTTAGTTATTTAATGATTAGAAGCTTAGCGGTGGGAAAGTGGCTGAATTAAAGGTGGCTTAATAGACAAATACGACCAATCGACACATTTGGCCGGGAGCCGGGTGGCAAATCTATTCAGTCAGATTCGCACCGGATTTTTAATGATATATAAAGGACCGATGGTGGAAGAGAGTAGTTTTTGTAGTTTTGTAGTTTGTACAGTCCGTGTGGTTTTTATTAAGTTAAAAGATAGATATACGGATATTACAGAGCGCCGACAGAGGCAGTAATATCGTATTTTGTTGATTAACGAATGAAACTGCCGATTTGTTTCTGAATTTCTTATACACGTTTTATCAAACTGTTTATTATTGTTCCTTGTCGTTTATTATCGTTTATTATCATTGTCTTTTATTATCACTTGTTAATTTTTCGGTATACATCATTGATTATCCGTATACCTTTTATTATTAATACATACACAATCCGATATATCCTCAATTTATCACATCGTTTATTATCGTTCATTATCGTTTATTCATATACACTTTTATTCTATCGCTTGTTATATATCGTCATATTACCCTATCATTATTAACCAATCCTTATATTTCTTTCTGTTACTACCTGACTGTACGTCAAAAACCAGTGGTAACAATGACATTTTTTGCCGAGTCAATCATATTTGACGAGTTATTTTTTTCAAAATTTTTTATAATTTTTGATTGTCTTTATTTTATTCTGTTTTAGTTTTCTTTTTATGTAAGTAAATATTTTAAATAATAAAATATGATAAATAAATTATATCAAATTAGGTTTCTTGCTATAATAAAAAGAATTAAAAAAAGTTTTATAATGTATTTAAATTTAATTAACATTATAGTAAATTTCATTAATATAGGGAAAAAATAATATCCCAGTTGCTTCTGCCGAATCATTGTTTGAGGAAATTGATAACATTTCGGAGCATCAAGCAGTAGGAATGGGAAAAGTTCTGATTGAGCGATTTGAGTCGGTTCGTTTGTACATTGGTTCAAAATCGGTTATAATAAATTTTGATGTAACCATTTCGACTTTTGGAGGGGCCCAAGTCGAAATCATTTCGACCATTTCGACCATTTTGGAGGTCAAAATTAACCAATTTCGGTTTCATGTATAAATTCGGCGGATTGGCGGATCGGGTTCAAAAATTTAGTTTGTTCCAGGTCTATGAAAACAGCTGTAAAACAATCGCGATATACCGGATTTTATGATTCTATGTCAGTTATATCAAAAAATCTTGATATATCAAAATTTTCAAATTCGGCGGTAATATATCCTTTATTAGCATACCTTTATATTATTGTAAATTTGTAATTTTTAAAAAATGCTTAATTCCCAGCCGATTTTTGACCAGAATTAAAATTAATCATTTTATACCGAAATTCTTTACAAATAAATATTGCATACAATTTTACCATTCTTTTTTTTATTTTAATATTTTAATCAAAGTTTGGGAATAGCTTTATTTTTCTGTATATCTTGATACGCCGGATCCTAACATAATTTTCATATAAAATCCGGTATAAGAAGTTTTTTTTGATATATTGGATATCTTGATATATCAGATAACAAATCAATCTGATCGCCTGTGTATAGGAATTAGAAATGGGTTGGCAACTTTAAATCCTATTTGTCCTATAATCATTGTATTGTACATCGACTGCAAAGGAGATTCCTTATTTTAATGGCTAGAATTGTTAAGTCAATCTATATTTTTTTTTTTTTGCAATTTTAAAATATTGTTAAAATAAGGTGGTTTTCTTGAGTAATGGTTATTCATAATTTACATCAAATTCTTGACTTACAACGGAATTTTACATTTTTACAAAATCTTTAGCTGATTTTAACAATTACGAAATCTATGATTTTAGTTTTCCACAGCTTGTGTCATCAACTGAAACTCGAAAACAATTATCAATAGAAATCGAAACTATAACATCAGATTTTATTGCCGGGAGTGAAAATTTTGCAATAATTATATGAATAAATGTATTTTAGCAGGTGAAGTAAGTCAAATTTAATTAATGTCGTCAGATTGAACTGTAAATAGTAAATTTTTTAAAGAAAATCTCAGATATTTAATAAAAACTATGAAACAACCTTTGCGGCTTTGCCTTATAATTGACATTTGTTTATAAGCGATAAGCTGTTTTAATAGTAACTAATTAGCAGAAATTTTGATTTTTGTAATTTTATGTTCATGACGCGTTATAAAATAATTCACGTAAATGTGATGAATCGTAGTAAAATGAATCAAATTAATTGTAATAAAATAGTTTTTACTGTATTTATTTCATTGTGATATAAAATATGATAAGTTGATAACTTTCAAAATTTAAAGACATAATTTTATATCATGTTTTATAGTAGAAAATCCGAACATTAAAGAAAATCCGATTGAAGAAAACCCGATGTCAATTCATTATAAAACAAACAGTTATACAGTGACACCTCTCTAAGTGCACCCTCCTTGGGACCATATTAAAAAAATAGTAGAATGTGCACTTAGAGAGGGTGTGCATTTATAGAGAGTAAAATATTAAGAGCTCTTATAAGTTGGGACCAGGCCCACCGTGCACTTAAAGAGAATTTATATAGTGTGTGCACTTATAGAGGGTGCACTTATAGAGGTGTCACTGTATATATGAAAGGTATTAAAACTCATCTTAGAAATTTATCAAACAAATCATTTTTACAACTAGTTCAATCATTATTTTTTGCAATAGTATCGGATCACATTTTGGACTTTTTTATTTAGGAGTTCTAGTAATTTCAACAAATCTTGGTCACGTATTGCATCTATTCCTTGATCATAGTATACTAATAGCGCACGGTTATATAACGTTATGGCAGTTTTTATTCGCTATTGATTGCATATTTCATAATTTAGGATTTAACTGAATAATCATTATAAAGTTCAGTTTTTCCAATAAATATATTTTGATGAAAAAAGCTTAATAAGTTAATGTATTATCACGTTATAAAAAGAATGATTTTTTAAGTATAATAGTATATATAAATAAATTTATTTAAATAAATAAAAATAAAAAAATAAGTTATTACACGCAAAAAAAATATAAAAAAAATATAAAACATTGCTTTAAAATCTCAACCAATTAGCTGAATTATCTATAAAATAACCACACAAATATTAAATCGTATGAATTCAAGAAGTAGAAGATTTCTCCATCAATCTCTATTTCTCAATGGTGTCACGATATTGACGAACTTAACAAATAAAATTCTCAAAGAATAATACACAAAATAATAAAACTAACGGTTTTAATATGATATTTAATGGATCTATAACACACTAGTACTTCTCACCCGTTGTATAACCTTAATAATGTTAGCTAGGGGCGGAAGCATCACAAAAAAATCATATTTATGTGAATATTGCTATAAATGAAACTACAAGAATTTACTTATCTAATTCTAATCTATTTAGATCCTTAATAAGTTCCTCTTGATCTTTAGACGAATCAAGATCTTCGACTAATATAATAAAAGATAATATTTATTAAGCATATCCATTATTAATATAAATAATATAATGTTATTTTACATATACTTACTATTATTAGGTATCTCGAAATCGTAAGGTTGGCTATGAAATGCTATAAAGAAATTATTTAAAGTTACTACCATACTATGTGAGGAGACATAAAAGTACAAATCATAATTATTATTTACCTTCTTGTTCTTCTGTTGATATTAATATAAAAATATTAAACATAGTAATTTTTGAATAATTATTTATTTAAAAATAATAAAAAGGCTTTTTTATATTGAAATCTTACCTTCAGTTGCGTTTCTTGGTTCTGGTAAATTTTCAAATTGATAAAGTTTACTAGTTGATAACGTAGAACTTGAACTTAAATTCGAACTTGAACTAGAGATTTGAGATGAATTATTATATTCTAAAGTATTAAATTCATTTGCATTATCATTATTGCAAATATCTTTCATCATTTTTTGAATTTCTACATTAAGAGTATTTGCATCAGGTCTTCTTAATGGGTCAGCATCCCAACATTGTTTCATTAGTTCTTTATATTTTGATGGAATTTCTGTTCTAATTTTTGGTCTCATACCATTAACAATTTTCATCGCAAGATCATAATCATGTTCATAATTATTAAAGGGTGCTTGTCCTGATGAAATTTCCCACATAAGTATACCAAAACTATAAATATCAGATGCAAAAGTATATTCTTTTCCAATTATAACTTCAGGGGCTATATAAGGAAGATTTCCATATATACTTTTTAATGGTTTATCAGCGGGCCCACAAAATCCAAAATCACTTACATACCAAGAACCATTATATCGTGAATATAAAATATTTCCAGAATGTAAATCTCGATGTACCGCTTCATAAAAATGAATGTTATAAAGTGCAGAAATAATCTTAACAACTATATTTATTTTTTCTTCCCATGTATGTTGATACTGTAAATATTTTCTTAAATCTTTATCCAATAATTGCATTACAAGCATATAATCTCCATTCGTTGGATCTTGAGTTAAACCATAACAATTGACAACGCTAGGAAATTTGTTACTTAACGCTAAATGTGATATTGCCTATAAATATTTTTAAAATAATATTCGTTACACATTTTAAAAATTTATAAATTACTTATCATATTTTTAAATTATTTACCTCATCAAACCAACTTCTATTAGCATTTTCAACATTTTCCAATTTTTTAAGTATTACTTTAAAAGTTCCTGATGATCTTTTTAATTGTTGCTCCTTAGAATTCCATTCAATATAATGTCCACCGATCCAAATTGCTGAATAAATCTCAGAACATCCACCTTTAGTTATATATTTAATATCTTGTAAATTATTGTATGGTATCCATTCAACTATATTATCTGGATGTAATGATTCTTTCTGTAATACTTGTATTAGATAATTAATATCACTATTTCCAGAAGTCCAGTTTGAAAAATTATTTTTTAAATAGGTTCGAACACAATGTTCACAATATAGTGTAGCCAAACACTCTAAAGCACAATTTTCACATAATCTTTTTTTTCCTTCATTAGATATAACTTTAATATAATCATGATCTTGTTCTATTATTTTTTTTGCTTTCCATTTTTCATCTTTTGTAAGAGATTCATTTTCAAGAATTTTTTGTTTTATAAATTCATATCGTTTCGTTAAGTTATTGCAAATGTTAGGATCTATTAATGTATCAGCTTTTTGAATTGCAGCATAAACAAATTCATATCTAATAGTAGCCATAATAAATTAATATAAATTTGCCCAAAGAAAAATATGTTAACTTTGAAATTGCAAAGAGAGAAAATAATGAGATAACGAAAAATACCGGAATTTTTATATGATTACGGTTGTAAAACTCCGAGATTCTCCCACGCCCAATCGCCAATCAGTTTGTCATGTCTGTCGTACAAGTTATAGGCGAAGATTTTTTTTTTAATTTTGGCCGAATTAAATTTAAGATCAAGAAAATAATATTTTTTTGAATTGTCATGCAAAAAAGGCTTATTAAAATTATTAATTTTACATCCAAAGAAGCCTGCACCACAAATATTATGTATGTATCTATAAAATTATGAATATTTTTATTTATTTTTTTGAAAAAAATTGTTTAATATGATCGTTTCAAATTTAAATATGCTTGCATATATTATTAAATCTGTCAATTCAGTTAACATACAAAACACGTTCGTAAAATATATTTGTTTAAAAAAAAAAAGAGGCAAATCACATTTGTGACACAAAAACACAACGAATGCATTGGTTGCATCGTTTTCTTCACCTTTTCAAAAAATCAATAGAACCCAACTTTGTTCAATTTTAAATAATAAGTTAAAGTACGCAATCTAAGCGTTAATATTTTAATATTTTCCAATAGGTCATAACTCATAGTAACGAAAAGCATATTTATACCGAATATACTGTTTACTGCATATATAATTGGAAAAAATGCAAGAAGAAAAAATTAAGTTATTAGCCAAAAGTTAGTTAAAATAAAGGATGAAAGTAATTAATTTAAACTATTTATATAACTGGTAAGTAAAAAACATACAGTAATTAACTGTGCATGAATATGACAACTAAAATTTTTTTTATGGTTTTGTGAATTTGATTAATTAGAAACTTTTGCTTTTATTTTCTTTTGCAGGTATTCATGCCGATTTTGGTAAGACCGTTATTTTAAGATGGGATTAATATATTGGTTATGTATATAAATAACGCGTTAATTATTTGCTTTTTTTATAAAAAACCGTTAATATTAGGCATGAATTTGAATGGGAAAGAGCTGAATATTTCCATTTAGCTTGTTCTGAGGAGAAAGTAACGTATGCGTAGGGTTTAGGACAATATGAGTTCATTGAGAAAGGAATATTCAAAGCCCTTCCGTTTACATTCTGGAGGATTTCTGGGAGATCAGCCATGCATAATAATTCATCCTTTCAGAATGGCCGATATTTTTTATTCCATCCAATTACTATGATATAATAATTAACTCTTGGTCACTTTCCCTATTTGATAATTTCTCGCGCAAAAATGACGATTTTAATAAAATTATTTTTTTTCCATATTATAATTTTCTCATAAAAAGGTTTCTATTTAAAAAGAAGTTTTTTATTCAATTATTCAAGCAGTATTTACATATAATCTTTATTCTAAACCAAGGTATTAATCATAATGTTGGGATTGTTAAATTTGAAAGGAAACAAATCTATCATTTCTTTAAGCTTATCAACTTTTTTTTTTACTCTTCGTTAATTCAATATACAATCTCGCTCTTTAGCTCCCTTTCCCTTTTTTTCAATTCTATTATCTACAATACATATCTTATTGGAAAGGCTTTTAAAAATCTTTTTTAACTAATATATACTGTATATACATAATCCTTAAACCAAAGCAAAAGAACGAAATCATAAATATGAATTCACTTTGAATAACATTCAATGTTACAAATTATTATACATTGTCACTAAACTAATAAACATTTATTGTCAAATATAAGGAATAATTTAGATACCTGCTAAATACATGGATTGATAAAAAAATTTACCATTACGATAGACACTTTGAATAATTCCATGAAGACCAATGATATTATCAAACACAAGTCAGTAACATACGTTATTTATAACAAATGAATAAAATATTTAATATACTTTATTTACTTATCGTTATTTTTGTTCAAATTACAAACTAAGATTACTTAGTGTTTGAACAAACTTTTTTTTTACAAAAAAAAACAAAATTTACAATGACTACAAGTGAATTATTGAAGGATAATGGTTCCAAAACTTTTTTTTTAAAACTAATTTAATTGAGTTAGTTTACAATTTACCTTTCTTTTTTAACAGTTTTGGTAGTTTTTTAATATGTTCTATTATTAGTTTCATTTTAAAAAAAAAAATTTTTATATTTTAATATAATTAATCAAAACAACTTTATAAGTAAAATATTATTAACTTACTTATAATACTAAATCTTTTCTTCAGATTTTTTAAGTTTCTTGATTTTTGCTTAACTTCATCTATAAATGAATTTAAACATCAATCAATATATTTTTAGAATACATACATATACAGTATATATATTTTAAATATTAATAATTATATTAAATTAAAGCATCTTTACCTTTATAAATATTTAAGCAATCTTGATTTTCTAAATTTGGTTTGGTATTTTCATCTAATAAATTGTATAATTGTTAAATAAATCAAAGATCAAATTAACATTTTATATAAACAAATATTAACTTACTATATTCGATTATTTCAAATTGATTATTTGATTTATCAATTTCTTTAAAAAATAAAAATAAAAAATTAACTATTATTTAATTAAAAAGAATATATATATATATATATATTATATTCACCTTTAATAATAATTGGTTTCATTAAATTTTCACTTTTGTTAAAGTTATCAATAACTAATATATTTTTAAATATAAATATTAAACTAATTGTAAACTTTAGAATTTTAAAACTTAACAAAAACATGTTTACCTTTAGGAGTTTCCAAATTATCTTGTTTATCTAAACAAAATTTTGTAATTAATATATACTTTTTTTCATGTTATTTATATAAAACTAAATATTTATTTACCTTCAATTGTATTGGATTTGGTTAAATTTTCGACAATTAATGAATTTAATAAAATATCTAACAAATTTAATCAAATTAAGCCAATCATATAATTTCAAAATTTTCAATAAATTTTTAATAATCTATATACCTTCAGAAATTTCCAAATCATTATGTTGTTCTATATCATTTCGCTCTTCTAAACAAAAGTTTTTATCCTCATCTAGAAAATAATATAAAATTAAATAATTACAAAACTTAATCATTAAATTTATTAAATTTACAAAATTATTTACCTTCAATAATATTTGATTTTAATATCAACTCATTATTAATATCTAAATTTAAAAGGATAATTTGTTAGAAAAGCTTTACAATTAAATAGACTTTCAAACTTCAAATATTAATTATACTTGTAAATTCCAAATCATCTTGATTTTTTAAATGGTTTAAGCTATTATCAAATTCTTTAAAAAATAAACAATAACAAATACAATGTATTTTATAATGTTAGTTTAAAATGAACTTACTGTTATCAACCGGTGTACTAAAATTATATGGTTTACTATGAATTACTATGAAATTCAAAATATTCATAAAAGTTATTACATTTAAAGAGATATTAAAGTAATTATTATTAATGTTGTTTACCTTCTTGTTCTGTTTATTTAACATGAAGAATGAGCATAATGAGGACATATTATAAATTAAATGGTTCGTTAATTATTTAAAAATAAAACGGTTTTATCTTACCTTCAGTTACATTTCTTGGTTCCGGTACTTTTTTATCCTCAGAAATTTCCATATTATTTTGTTCTTCTGAATGAAAATCTGTATTATTGTATATTTCATTCTCATCTAAAAATTAGTAAGATATTTTATACAATTTCAAAATTTTACCAAAAGAAGATAAATACAAAATTAATTAATTAATTTACAAAATTATTTACCTTCAATAACGTTCAATTTTATGATATGATTATACGGTTCATTAATGTTATCAATACCTATTTTAATAAAGATAGTATCTTTATTAGAAAGTCCAAATAAATAGATCTAAATTTCAAACATTATAGTACTTTTGGATTCCGAATCATCTTGATTTTCTATCGGGTCATTATCAAATTCTTTTACTAATTATTAAAATGGATAATAATAAATATAATATATTTTTATAATGTCAGCTCATAATGAACTTACTGTTATCAACTGGTAGTACATGAGGTTTACTATGAAATGCTATAAAAATCAAAATATTAACCAAAGTTATTATATTTAAAGAGATATTAAGTAATTATTATTATTATCTACCTTCTTGTTCTGTTTATTTAATATGAAGAAAGCATAACAAGGACATATTATAAATTAAATGATTCGTTAATTATTTAATAAATAAAACGTCTTTACTTACCTTCAATCACATTTTCTGATTCCGGAACTTTTTTGTCTTCAGGAATTTCCATATTATTTTGTTCTTCCGAATGAAAATCTGTATTATTGTATATTTCATTCTCGTCTAAAAATTAGTAAGGTTTATTTTATACATTTCAAAAGTTTACCAAAATAAGATAAATACAAAATTAATTAATTTACAATATTATTTACCTTCAACAACATTCGATTTTGATATATGATTATACGGTTCATTAACGCTATCAATACCTATTTTAATAAAGATGTCTTTATTAGAAACCAATAAATTAAATAAATAGATCTAAATTTCAAACATTATAGTACTTTTGGATTCCGAATCATCTTGATTTTCTATCGGGTCATTATCAAATTCTTTCACTAATGATGAAAAACGGATAAGTATAATGTATTTTTATAATGTTAACTCAAATAAACTTACTGTTATCAACTGGTACATAAGATTTACTATGAAACGCTATAAAAATCAAAATGTACATAAAGTTATTATATTTAAAGTATTAAAGTAATTATCATAATGATTATTTACCTTCTTGTTGTGTTTAATTAAATTGATATTAATAAATAAGTATGAGTTAATAGTTGATTTATATAAAAAGTTTTTATACATTATTATCTTACCTTCAGTTGCATTTCTTGGTTCCGGCAAATTTTCAAATTGATAAAGTTTACTAGCTGATAATGAGCTTATTTTAGAACTTGAACTTAATTTTGAATTTGAATTTAAGTTAACTTGAGAAAGTTGAGATGAATCATTATATTCTAAAGTATTAAACTCATTATCATCATTATAAGAATCTCCCCACATTTTTTTGATCTTATTACGAAGGGTTGCTGTATTAGGTCTTTTTAATGGATCAGCGTCCCAACATTGTTTCATTAATTTTTCATAATTTAATGGAATGCTTGAAACAATCTTTGGTCTAATACCGTTAACTATTTTCATTGCAAGATCATAATTATGTTCATGATCATTAAAAGGTATTTGACCTGATAAAATTTCCCACATAAGTATACCGAAACTATATATATCAGACGCAAAAGTATATCCCTTTCCCATCATAGCTTCAGGTGCTATATAGGGAAGATTTCCGTATATATAATTTGTTGATTTATCAGCAGGTCCACAAAATCCAAAATCACTTATATACCAAAAATTCTTATCTTGTGAGTACAAGATATTTCCAGAATGTAAATTTTGATGAACTGCATTATTAATATGAATCCTATAAAGCGCTTCAATTATATCATATACCACGGCTATTTTTTCTTTCCATGTACATTTATGTTGTTGTAAATAACTTTTTAAGTTCTTATCCATTAAATACATAACAAGCATATAATCTTTATTATTTGATGGATCTTGAGTCAGACCATAAAATCTAACAATTCCTGAATATTTGTTACTTATAGTTAAATTTGATTTTGCCTAGAGAATTTTTAAAGATATTTGTTAATAAGTTTATTAGAAAAATTCAAAGAATATATTTAAAAATATATACCTCTTCAAACCAATTTTCATTAGCATTGTTAACATTTATTAGTCTCTTAAGTATCACTTTATGCATTCCGAACCTTTTTAATTGTTCCAACTCAGGATCCCATATATAATATCTTCCATCAATCCAATCTGCCGAATAAACTTTAGAACTTATGTATTCAATATTTTGTAAATTATCATATGGTATCCATTCAATTATTTGATCCGGGCGAAGAGATTCCAATTGACATTTTTGTATTAAATCATCAATATAATAATTTCCGGACGTCCAATTTGAAAAATTATTTTTTAAATAGGTTCGAACACAATGTTCACAATATAATGTCGCAAAACAAATTTGTTGACATTCTTCACACAATCTTTTTGTTCCTTTATTATAAAGAACTTTTTGATAATCATAATATATGGTCAATGAGTTTATCGCCTCCATCCGTTCAACTTTCGTAAGAGATTTATCATCAAGGATTGTTTTCTTTTGAAATTCATATCGCTTATTTATGTCATTATAAATTTTATAATCTGTTAAGGAAACAATTTTATTAAGTGTAGCGACAATTAATTCTTTTCTAATGGATGTCATTTTATTTTATTCTTTTTTTTTTTTTCTACAAAAAAAAAGAAAAAAGAAAGAAAAAAGAAAGAAAAAAATTAGGACGGATTTCTTGTGAGAAATTCCTTAAAATAGTAAGAAAAGTAATTTTAAATTTATCAAAAAACTTGTATTTGTGTATTTTTGGTAAGTTCATTTTCTAAAACAAGTTAAAACAATTCCGACTTTTTTGGTAATTTCAGCAAATTGTTGAACATGTTTCTACACTTTGCGTCATATCTAATAATATATTTGGTTATAGTTATTTTAACCTTTAAAACAATACAAAATAGTAATTGAATTACAGTAATTTTAGTAATTTTCAATATTTTGGTTGATCAAATATCCGTAGTAACAAAAGCAAATAATCAAACCAATCGGTTTATTGAACATGGAGGAAAGAAAAATTTTTGAAATAAACAATTATTGTATTATATGAACTTTGAAAAAAAAAATGTTATCAAGGGTCTCGTAATAAACTAATAATCATATGCATTCGATAATATTAATATAATATCAGGGTTCAATTAACGCCCAATCATATTCATTCCAAATGGAGTTAACTACAGTATAATTACAATCGAACCGTATTTTATTTAAATCAAAACTTTTATCAATTACCGAATCCAAAATTTTCGATCTAAATGGTCATGCAATGTTATGAATTAATGAATAGAAGTGATAAATTGAATTATTTCATATTGGATTCGTTAGAACATTTGGAGATTATGTAGATCCTATCAATTTATTTGTGCAATTAATTCCTAATAAAGTTAGCCCCTTAAAATAATTAGAAATTTTATAAGGAAAAAAAATTGATACTTCGAACCAATAACTTTGCTTAAATATATAACATCTAATCAAATATCAAGAATTTTTTTTTATACCTGCAAACTATTCCTATTGGATGATGACAATATGATTGGGATTATGACAAACTACTCGTTTGGTAAATTTTTGCAAACGGGACGAAATCGGTTCGAAATTACTAGGTAATTATTTCGATATAATGAACATAGAAGTAATTGTTGAGAATGTTGATGAAAACTTGACATTCTTTTATTTTCGGAACGTTTCGTTAACATTTAAAATATTCGATGTGATAAGTGTACGCATTATATAAATTCTCTTTAAGTGCACGGTGGGCCTGGTCCCAACTTATAAGAGCTCTTAATATTTTACTCTCTATAAATGCACACCCTCTCTAAGTGCACATTCTATCGTACTATTTTTTTTACTATGGTCCCAAGGGGAGTGCACTTAGAGGGATGTTACTGTACATTTTCTATCGTTTTTATAGAAATTAAGTATATCCATTTATATTAGTTCTAAAAAAGAAGATAATCCAGATATTCCTTTTTCTAATGAATGTCTTTCACAATTTTCTCGAGTTATTGTTCTAGTTCATTCTTAATAATAATTAAGGTTGGGTAACAAACAAATAAATAAGAGCGATTTCTTTTAGAGTAAATCAGTAAATCATTGATTAATTAGGAATTGTGTATGTAATTATGTATTACAAATTCACAATTTGTTACCCCAATAAATCCCGTAATATGTAAGGGCAGTGACATTTATTACGTAATATTTCAGGGGTGGAGGGTATTTATCCGGGAACTCCAGTATTATTTCCGAAAATACCCTTTTTCATGGAAAAATTTCGCAATACGACAAATTTTATAAATATAATGAAAATTTTTAATATTTCTTTAAAATTTGCTTTCTTTCATTTATTTATTTTTAATCTGTAATATTTATATTTCATAATTTTAAGTGTCTATTGCTAAACAATTATCAAAGCTTTTGTTAAAAGGTAAATAGATGCCTATTTAAAAAGAAATAAGTATATCTAATCTAATACTAAATAAGAAATAAAAAAAAAACAAACGCTTAGCATTTCTTTTTTTAAATATTTATCACGTCTAAAAAAACCTATTCCATAACTCCTAATTCTCTCTTTAATTTAAGAATTTCCAACCTTTCCTTCTCAAAGTTCTAATTTTCTCTCTCAAAGAAATCATTTGTTTTTCTTTTTCAAGATCATCAGATGATGTTGAAGTTTGGGGACTTTCTTCGATTTTTTTTTTTTTCAGTGCAGACGGCTTAACCTTATTAGAACAATTTCTTTTTATTATAAAAATAAAATAAAGTTATAAATATAGTAAATAAAAAATTTCACCAGCTTTTAAAATAATACTAACTGCGTTACAACGCCAAGATCTTTCCCGGTTTTTCTAATACCATATTGATCTTGAGTTTGACATGTAATGAAATTTCTATTATCATACTTTTTAGCTCTAAATAATAATGATAAAATATTAATTAAATAATAAAAATAAATAAATAAATAAATAGTTAATATTAGTGTTGCCTGCCGTAAATAGTTGTAAGTCTAAAAATCAAGTAATTATAATGGTTGTAAATCAGAATTATCATCTTTTAGTTAACCACAATAGCATAGTATTACAACCAAATTACAACTTATGTTTATAATATTACAACCCGCTTAGGTTGTAATTCGAAATATAATAATCAATACTTACGGCACGCAACCTTAGTTAATATTTTACCTTAAAATTGCCAGCTTCAAGCGATAACGATTTACCGTCTCGATTTTCATTTGCTTGGCAAGTTTCAGCCACATTGGATATCTTCACTGATAAAGGAATGTAAAATATTTAATGACGCTTGTACCCAAGGAATAGTATAAAATGAAATCCAATCTAAAAAAATAAAATTTTTTATAATTAACAAATAAGATTAATTGGGACATCATAATAAATCACAAAAATCATTAGATTGCATTTTGAAAGAGAAACCGGTTAAGAAAATAAAATTATTGGTTCAGTTAAAGAGAGAATTTCTAGTGGGAAAAAAATTTGGCTTATAATCATTGGTGACCTTTTAAATAATAGTTATAAGTTGTTGATTGAATTATGCACAGATTTTTCAAATTTAAATTTAATTATGAAGAAGTAAACTCTACGCGAATAGTAGTATTGCACAATTGAGTAGTATTGCACAATTGTATTGTATTGACCAGTAGAGAGTATAACCTTTCACAATTGAGTCTACAGAGGATGCGAGTATAATTTACTGGCTAATACTATATAATTATGCTATAGTAACAAAATATAGTATTTTAATTATTTTATGATTTGCGCGGAGTTAACTTCTTCATAATTGAATTTAAATCATCCGAAATTTGTGTGCTGATATGTGTTACATGTAAAAATTTTAAAAATTTTCAATTATTTCAATATTTTCGGATATATTCTTGGATATTTTAATATTTGTTATACTGTATAGTATGATACCTCCGATGGTGTATAGTATAGTGTAAACAATTATACTGTATAGATAAAAAATTATACTGCATAGATTTTCGTCAACTATACTATACAACATTGGAGGTATATATCATACTCAATATCGTTTAACCGAATATATATCTGAGTTTTCGAAAATTTGATATGTATACTCAGCAAAAAATACTAGTTCATAATTTGCGGAATCAAACCGACCGCTTGGCAAGCTTGGCAAGTAGACTTAATTGTAAAAGGAATTACTGAAAAAAGTAAACTGTATAGAGTATAGATAAAATCTATACTGTATATAGATAAAAATAAATTGTATATGGATAAGAACTGTATTGTATAGATTTTCATCAACTCAATATCGTTTAACCGTAAATGGATATTATGTACATGTGCCCCTGAATTATTTTTACGTTAGTTTTTTTATCTATATATATATCAGTAATTATTTTAAAATTATGAAACTCCAAAAAACATTTTTTGCTTTTAAAAAAATTTGTAATTTCTTTTAGATAGTAAGTTATGTTATTTACTTGATTATATTAGTACTTATTGTTATAATATTTACATATAATTTAAACTAACTAAATTCTTTTTCACGCTGGAAAATTTGTTAGATAAAATAACTTGGTTTCTAAAAAATGGCAGAAATTTTACCTCCTAATTCCGAAACGGAAAGGGATGAAAAGGATGAAGAAACGATAGTTGCAGATATTATCGAAGACGATGAGAAGGAACCTTTAACAACAAAAGAATTGAGAGGATGGTATTCGTACAGTTTTGCCGTAAATTTCTTTTAACCCTTTTATAATCATTTTGGTCATGAAAATTTCGAAAGAAAAGATGAACCTTTTTTATCTGTTATTTAGTGCGGTGCTTACGACACTGCAGTAATAGGGTGTAAATATTAATTCTTTATTATCAAGAAAAATTCGAAAAAAATATCTTATATTTAATATTTATATATATGCTATATATTATTATTTTTTAGTATTTATTCCAGTTGTACTTGAAAATCTTGCAGGAAAAGCTGGTTATGAACTTGACCTTGTTACTCCCTGTAATACTGTAAGTTAGTTAGTTACTTTCATCCATCAATTAGTAATTCGGTTAATAATGATGGTTTTTCACGTGATCTATTTAGACGGTAAAAAATTATAAATGCGTAGTGAAATTTGGAACTGAATATGTTGATACATCAAGTTATTCTTTATATATAATTGCACTATCCGTACTTTTTCAATGTTTTTTATTTATTGGTGGTAGTGCATTAGCTGATCACGGAGGTAATTACAAACTTTTAATAAAACAGCATATAATATATTTTATTAAATCATATAATAATGATTTTTTTTTTTATATCAGCGAACCGAAAGAAATTTCTTCTGTTTTATTCATATACTGGAGCCATTGCTACAGGTCTTTTCTCTCTGTTACTAAAAGCTGGGGATCAAAGTGGTATGCACAATTATTAGTAAACCGATGAATCGCTCTTCATTAAAATATAATTTTAATTTATTCGCATATTTTTTTTTTTTATTTCAGAATGGTATTGGATTGCAGGCATATTAACTATAATCTCGTAAGTATCAGTATATACTTTATCAATATATTTGGCATCACTTTTTAATTTCTTCAATTATTTTTATTAGGAACTGTTGTTATGGTGCAGCATACGTATTTTACTTAGCATACATTCCAATATATTCACGTATACATCCAAAAGTGTTATCACTAAAAAAAACGGATCCATCCAAAGAAAATTTAATAAAAACTCAAGAAGAAATTTCAACAAGTTTATCAGCAGCTAGTACGAGTATAGGATTTGTAGCAGGATTATTGGTAATATTTATAGGATTAGGTATTGTTCTTGGGATAAATTCACCTGATTTTGGATTACAATATGCTATATCTTTTGGTGGTGGCTGGTGGTTAGTTGGATTAACTGCCCCTTTACTTTTATTAAAAACACATCCACGACCTCCTTTACCAAGGTAAGTAAATAAATAAATATATTTTAATTCAGTTAAAAGAAAATTTAATATCTAATTTATGTTTATTCCTTCTTTTTTTATTTTTAGCACTGAAAATATATTTTTGTACTCCTTCAAAAGAACCTTTAAAACAATTTTATCAACAAAGAATTTGTGGCAAACTATGAAATTTTTAATGGCTTGGTTTTTTTTAAGTGATGGAATAAATACTATAGCCCCATTAGCTGCTTTATTTGGAAAAGTAAATCTTGATCTTGAGGATAAAGATTTAATTATAATAGGAATTGTTGTTCCATTATCTGCAGCAATCGGAGTTTATTTCTTTCGTTTAATAGAAAAAGTTTTTAAATTATCCATAAAAACAATGATATTAATTAATTCATTCTTAATAATAATGGTACCCGTATATGCATTATTAGGATTTGTATTACCATTTGGGTTAAAAGAAAAATGGGAAGTTTGGTTATTTACTGTTTATTTTGGATTAAGTTTAGGTAGTGTGCAATCTTATTGTCAAACTTTGTTTTGTCGTTTAATACCAAGAGGACATGAGAATGAATTCTTTTCACTGTTTTTAATTACAGCAAAGGTATATATAACAATTATAAAATTATTTTATGTAATATATTAATTACTTATTTAAAAAAATTATCTTTCCTTTTTTTTTACGTAGGGATCCAGTTGGTTAGGTCCTTTGATAACAGGTGCTATATCTAGTGCTACTCATGATACAAGAAGTGGATTCTGGTTTTTAGCTTTTTCATTATTGTTTCCTTTTTTGATTTTTTTAACTGTTAATGTGGAGAAAGGTATAGAAGATGCTAATAATTTCGCTAAGAATGAAATGGAAGAAAAAGCTTAAAAAAACGAGATTAGTAATTTATGATTTAGAGTATATGGATGAAATTAACTAATAATAATTTAATAATAATTTAATAATAATTTATAGAATTATAAATCATACCACTGGTGTTCAACACCACAGTTATATGTATTATTATTTTTTTTATTTTTTTTTTATTATATATTATTAGTCAAATTAGATGTTTCCATTAATAAAATATGTAGCATATACTTCACATATATTTTTCTTAGTTTCTCAATTTTTTTTTTATTTTGCAATATTTGTGGTAAAAAAGTAACAAGTAAACTTTTCCTGATCATTTTCAAGGGTGCTGAACAATTTTAATTATTAGTTTAAGCTATAGTTTTCATGAAAACGCATACTATGGTGTTGAGCACCAGTGGTGTAGTAAAGTCGATAATTTAATAATAATTTAATAATAATTTAACAAATAATTTAATATGTATAATAATTATTCAAATAAAAAAAATTTATTGATTTATTAAGAATTGATCCGGCTTGTAACAAGATACCCTTGATTTTTCATGACGAAATTATTTTTCCGGCCTTTGTAGTACGCTGAAAAAAAAAGCCGTCAGGGTTTACAAATCGTTATTGATGAGAATTATCAATACTAATTAATCTTGCTCCTCCTTGACGCTTCTCTGATTAAATTTAGAACCTTCCAATTGTTCAGTTCGCTCACTCTTATTTTGTTAATCGTTGTATTCAAAATATGTCAACATGTCTCAGCAATATAAGCATCAAAAATGTAGTTACAGTATATCAATCAATCAACTTTTATATACTGTATTCGTATACACTTTTCATGTGAATCTTAAATGTAATATAAATTTCATTTCTGCTAAAACGTTCATCGATGCTTTTGGCTCTTTTTTCTTTTCTGATAATTTCGATCGTAAATTATCTACGCTCTTTAAATCAGGAAATTAATATACGTATATATACATAAAAAAACTAGATATTGCGCTTAATGCTACTACAATTAAAGATTTTTTATTGTAGAAAAGTGATCGAAATGGTTAATTAACATTAAGTTGAATATAATTAGCTAAACAGCCTAAACTATTATATTTTTGTGATTCAGAGTTTATCAAAAGTCACGCGCCAAGTTGATATAACTCACCATACCCAATAAACAGCCAATTAGAATCAACGATAAACGATTTTATCCATCATTTTCTTATTTTATATTATTTTTTTTTTTTTTCAAAAAAAAAAACCTAAAAATCATGGGTCAGTTTTTTTTTTAATTATATATATATTCATTAAATCATGGCAAAATAATTTTTTTTTTCTTATAAATTAAAAAAAAAAAGATCATAAGGAAGAGCAAGAACAAGAATTAGAAGTGTTGAAATCGATTTATCCAGAAGAATTTGAGGGTACTTTTTTATAATATTTAAATGCGCTCGTAATAATATTTCTATATTAATTAATTTTTTTAAAATTACTCTTTTAGAAATTTCGGAAGGAGAATTTCGTATTCGACTCGAACCTGAAGAACAAGATAGTACAACACCGCGTAAGGTTTTTATTTAATTTTATATATACATATATTTAAACATTTGTTTTTTTTTCCTCAAACATAAATTGATTTTCGATTCATTAAATAAAAAGTAACTTTAGGATTATACATAAAATTTACACCAACTTATCCGGAAGAAGTTCCAGAAATATCAATAGAAACGATAGATGGATCTATTGAAATTGATGAACGTGAGAAATTATATTCAGAGTTGATGAATGTGGTAACGTCTCCTTTAAATTAATATATATATAATATTTTTTTTTATTTATTTATCCGTATTTGATTTTTGAAATTTTTGGGATCCTGCCTTCCCATTGTTGGAAGGTTTTTTTTTTTCTTGTAACGTGCTCTAATTTAGGCACAAGATTCATTGGGGATGGCAATGGTGTTTACATTATCATCATTACTTAAAGATTTACTGACATCATTTGTGATAGAAAGAAGGGAAAAGAGAAAGAAAGTAGAAGAGGATAAAATTAGGAAAGAAATTGAGGTGAATTAAAAATATAAATAATTTATTTATTTATTTCATAATAGTACTATTTATTAATATTCACTTTTCTTATGATGGTAGGCAGAACAAGCAAAATTTCAAGGAACAAAAGTTACGGTTGCATCATTTTTGGAATGGAAGGAAAATTTTGATAAAGAATTAGAAGAAAAAGAAAAAGCAACTAAAAGTTTAGCTGCTATAAAGAAAGAAGAAGCTAAAAAATTAAAACTCACGGGTAAATTCGTTTATTTACCAAAAATAAAAAATAAATAATAATAATTTAATTTCATTCTTTATTAAATTAATTAATTAATATGTTTATATATAGGAAGACAATTATTTGAACAAGATGAATCTCTTGCTAAATCAGATATGACATATATGGAGGAAGGAGATGTTACGGTTGATGTTTCATTGTTTGAAAGGGAAGAGGATATGAGTGATGAAGAAGAAGAAGACAATAGTGTACTTGATTTGGTTAGAAATAGCAATGATTAATTAATTTATTTTTTAATTTTTTAAGGTATTTAATAGTGATTTAATATACATCCATATTTCCAATATTAAGTTAAAATATTTAATTTTTTTTTTTTTTTGTTTAAAAAGGTCGATTTATGAATAATTGAATGTTTCAAAAATTAAAATCTTTTACTCAAGGCGAACTAATATATTTTCGCCCCTCATACTTGATTGTTTACCCTTCTTTAAATAATTATGGTTTAAATTCAAATAATCCAACCCTTTCCACAACAGGAAATTTAATGGTAGATAAATTTTCATTATTAACGTTTAATCCTGCAGTAATGACTTGACCTGGATGAATAGGTCCAACACCTGAGGGTGTACCTATATGTATAAAAAATTTAATCTTTATTTAAGACAAATGCTTTTTTTACTATAATAAAAAGAAACAAACATCTAAACTTACCTGTTAATATCAAATCACCCTTTTCCAGTTTCATGATTGAACTTACGTATTCAATTAATGTAGGAATATTGAATATCATGTCTTTTGTAATACCGTTTTGTTTCATTTCTCCGTTTAACTAAATGTTTTTAGATGTAAAAATCAAAATTATCAAGAATGAAAACTTTTTTTTTTTAATTGATTATAAATTAAAATAATATATACACCTTAAGCCATAAATTTACATTATGAGGATCTTCTATTTCTGATTTTGGAATAAATTTTCTAAAATTGAATGAACAAATCAACTTAATTTACGTAAATATGAAGTAACAATATTCTTTAAAAGTCTTTTTTCGGATTTATATCCATTCCCAAAAATATAGCGCACAAAGATCATCGAACATCTATTTATGAAAATGTCAGCTCACCCAATTGGAGTAAAGGTATCAAAACCTTTTGCCGCACTCCACGGCAATCCTTTTTTCTTTACCACTTCCTAACAATTGACTTTAATATAAACAAAGTAGTTACAAATTATAACTCGAATTTATATATATAATTATTACTTGGAGATTACGCGCCGTCAAATCAATACCAAGCGCGTATCCTAGAAAGAAAATTATTTTGAGTTGAATAACGCATTTAAAGCAGAATATGTACGTGAAAGACAAAATTTACGCGTACAATTACCTTCTACATAATTCATCGCTTCTGATTCTCGGATATCCCTACCATCTTTACCTATTACGACACCCAACTCGACTAATTAAGAACCGAAAAAAATGTTAATAATATCAGAATAAGAGCGGAATTTAAAAGGTTAAGAATAAATACTGCATATGTATATACCTTCATGATGAACAATACAACCTTTAGGTATTTCTACTTCACCTGATAATAAGTAAGAAGAAGTTGGTTTAAGAAAAAAGAACGGGGAAGTTGGAACAGCATTACCAAGTTCTTTTGCATGTTCACTTTAAATTAAAAAAAAAAATATTAATGACGAAATCATTCAAAATTTTTGATAACATTAAAACATTTTAAGGGAGCGAAATACCTAAAATTGCGACCTATTCCAACGATTTTTTTTCCAATTTTTGTAAAGTTTTGCATAGTTCACGAGAATTTTGAAAATGCTCTCGTGATTTATCATTTATGTTACCAATTCACGTGAAATGAGATCAGACCGATCACTAACAAAAAAAACAGTACTAAACTCAAGATTATAAGTTTTTCCGTTCTTTTCTGTTGTTTCACAAGTACAATTTGATGATTTTTTTTTTTAAAAAAAAGAAAAATCAAATTTCCTAGTAAGCTAATATTCCTTTGGTAACTTAATTTGGAAATGTAAAAAAATTGCGTATTTATATTTCAAGTTGTCAAAGAAAACTAATACAAAGAAGTCTAATATTTTTAGATTTAAAAGGTTACACTATCTTGATTCAATATAAGCTGTGCATATTTGGTTATATAAAAAGATACATTTAAAGCAGATTTTAAAGCCTATCATTTCATTCCTTTATTTTCACACGATTAATCGATTTTTTTTTTTTGTAAATATATATATATGCACAATTTTATTTTTTTTAAAAAAAATATATTAGTATAATAACGATTTAAAAAAAATGGCACAAAGCGAAAGACCTTTTTCCGTAGGTTCAGAAAAGGATGTAAAGCTGGATTCTCCTAAGTCACCTAAAAAAGAAAGTATTGAAAAAATTGACAATGATAAACTTAAGGTAGGGAAAGAAATTTTTCGATAAGAAGTGATTATATTTAAATTTACTAAATTCAGTTAGAATAACGATTATATACGAAATGAATCAATTATAGATTCAAACTGAACTCGCCATTAAACAATTTCGAATAACACATTCAACACCTTCCGAACAACATTCAGAATTATTACATTTTATAGCAAGGAAAGAACGTAAAGTATTAGAATTACGAGAAGAATTAAAAAGACATGAAGAAGAATTAAGATTATTGAAAAAACAATGGGAGGCCAATATTACAAAAAATATTGATGAAGAAAGTAATAGTAATTCACCTTCTTCACCAGCGTCACTTTCTTCCATTACAAATAATTTAGAAGGAGAAACAAATAATTTTATGAATGGGTTAGGTAAAGGAATTGCAGGTGTTATTGGTGGAATACAAAAAGTTAAAGAGAGTGAATTGTACGTATTAATTTTTGTAATAATAATTATTGTTGTAGAAATTAGATATGGGATCAAATAAATGATTTAATATTAATTCTTTTTTTTATTTTATTTGATTTATTTATTTGTTTGTTTCATAGGACACAGGAAAAATTATCACAGATTAAAAGTGTAGTTGCTGACGTGGCCAATTCACAGCCGTAAGTTTTTGTATAATTTATATTATCCATTGATCAAAGTTTACAACTTACTTATAAATAATAATTTATTAGAGTTCAACAAACAAGGCGTAAAACGGCTGATTTTACTTCAAATGCGTGGAATAATTTAAGCAAAGGAATTTCCACCTTAGCATCTTCTGAAACGTATGTCAAATTTCAATCTCATCATTTGAAAACATTTTGATTTTATTAATCTATGATGTATATGAAAAAGATAATTAAATTTTTTTTTTTTTAATAAATAAAATTAGAATTCAAAATGCCAAGAAAAAAACTTTGAAAACAGTATATTCAATTAATGAAGCATTAACATCACCAACTGCAAAAACTACAAATAACACAACGGAAGAATCATCATCAGTAATTTTTGATGATGGTAAAAGAACGAATACTGAAACAACGACGATAACAACGTCAACAACGACAATAACACCGATTATTTCTCAATCACCATCAGAAGAAATTGAAGATCCTATATTACATGTTATCGGTGATGATTTTAATGAGTTTATTATATAGGGAATGTAGATAGAAATATTTAGATACTATTCATTAACTTTTTTGAGATAATTAATTATTAAAATCTAAAAAAAAAAAAAAACTAAAAAATTGCATTTTTAAAGTTAGTAACATTCATGAGTTTACATGTGATTTAATTAAAACATAACTACCATTATTTGTCTAATAGATTTTACCTTTATGTCATTACACGAGATTAATTAATATATCGCGTTGTACGATATACCATATTTGTTGACAATTTCAAAATTTCACATTAAATTTTCGATTTATTTTTACGAGTTTTATCCGAAGGAAAATTCGTTTATATCCATTTTCGCATATGACAATTGAACTTAATATTTTTTTTTTGTGTATTTACTGATTTAATAACCCCCAATAATTGGGCGTAAAATCTCTAGTTTTTCGTGGTATTCCAAAATAATTAAAATAGATAAATTTGAAACACGGAGGAATATTCGGTTGGTTCCATCGTTTATTTGAAATACAATTAATCCAATAAATAATAAGAAAATCGACAAAATAAATATGACGAAAATTTTGATTATCTCATAAAAAGTTTAATTTTAGTAATATTTATTTATTAAACAAAAAGAAAATAATTGATTTTTTTGGGGGAAAAAAAAACTTCTTTGATGGATTAATATGTCAATTTCGACCAAAACAGACTAAACTTTAACTTATATTATTCATATGATATTGAATTAACCTTATGAAGATCATAATTTTAAAAAATAACAAATATGCAATCACCCCAAAATAGTTCAGTCATATTCCTTTTGTATCGCACAGAATCCGACTGATAATACGATTGTATAAGGAAAGTTTGTATAAAATATATAATGTTTGAATATGATATGCGAATATCAACCATATGTCATTTGTCCATATGGGAAGATTCATGAATGCAAATACGCAAATACCTCAAATACCGAGTACAGATTTTTATGACATTTGTATTTTCAACACGTTTCTTTAATTTATATTATGCACATTTCAATTTTTTTCCAAATAAAAAAAAAAGGTTACAATTGCATTAAAAAATAAACGTAGCCAAATAAAATATTTCTTCGCCCCAAAAAATTTGCCTCAATTTCACACATCATTGGGGTAAAAAAAAAATCTTTTTTTTATATGATAATAATATAAATAAGGTAAGTCCTCTGTAATTGTTTATTTTGGTAGTTGCCGTCCTGTTTGGGTTTCCCCTTTTGTAATAGATTTATAAACATCCCATAATTGAAATTTTTTAGTATTATTGTAAAAAAAATTATTGTATAAAAAATATATATATATATAAATATCAATATCAATATGTACGTATTTAAATATTTAAATGAACCCTTATAATTTAATTTCCCCACAAATATAATTTTTTTGTTTTTTTTCTTATTAAAGTTTAATTTATTTATTATTTAAAGATTCTTTTTTTCAAAAATTATTTTTTAAACAAAACAATACTTATTGGTAAGTTTATTTTTATATAATTGTTTCCAATTGGATTGGCTCAATTTTTGCATTCTTCCGCCTGATAAAGCTGATAATTATGGCAGTATGTATGGCTTGCATATATCAAGCAGCTAATTCAGTGACTTTATTGGATCATCATTTCAAATTTAAATTTATATATAAATTATTCATATTCTTGACATTTCCCATCATAACAACTATTATTTATTTTTTCTTCAACATCAACACAAAAAAAAAAATAAAATAAAATAATAATAATATATTATTATAGAATTTGCCAAAGTATCTATTTACAACATGTCTTCGCATAGATCAACAACATCATCATCTCGTACAACATCACGAAAGCATTCAACAACAATCAAATCCACATCAACCAAAAAACTTTCTCGAAATACAATTGATGAATATACTTTAGATTATGTAAATGAAGATCATATAGAAGCATTTGCTAAAGCATTAGCGGAAGATCCTGAACAGGATTCTACTGAACATATTGCTGCAGTTACAGATTTTATGCCTATTAGACAAAAAATTAAAAAGAAGAAACCTAAAGTACCAAATGGATTTGACGGTATTTCTTATCATATCGTTAGATTCCCTTTAATGGTATGTTATTGTCGTTTTTGAATAAATATTTTTTTTATATATAATATTTTATTTTATATCATATTTTATTTTATTTTATAGTTATCCATTTTTATTGTTATTGCCTTTGAATTGTTATGTTATGTTTTGGTTAGACAAATAGTAAATCTTTGGGAATATTTTATTCAGTGGTAAGTAATTTAAATCATTTTTTTTCCTCTAAAATGGAAAAAGAAACTAATCTTTTAATGGCCCATTTCAATATAGGAGAGGTGAAAGATATTTATTAAGAGAAAAATTACGTCATTCCACAACATATAAAGAATGGAAAGAAGCAGCACAGCAACTTGATTCATATTTTCATTATGATGAATGGAAATATGAAACTCCATTCGGTTATTATGATTTTAATTTATTACAAAAAGTTAATAAAGATTTAAAAAAATTGAGAGATTCATCATCTTTATCTAGTAATGATTCTCAATCTTTGTTAAAGAGTGTCTTGCAAAATTGTGTTAAAAATAATTTTGCTGGAGTTGAAAATGTAAGATTATATTCTCAAACTTATTTTGGTACGAAAAAGATTGTTGAAAATTATATTGATGAAGGTAAAATATTTTTAATAAAAAAACTTTTTTAATATACATATATATATGTTATACTTATTTTTTATATGCAATTTTTTTTTTATAATTTTAGTGACGGAATCGCTTAACTATTTACGAACATCAAAATCATTACCGTTAGAAGAAAAACGTAAATTATTCAGAAATACACAAAAAAATTATGGAAGGACAGCATTATGTTTAAGTGGTGGTGCAACTTTTGGATTCTATCATTTAGGAGTAGTAAAAGCGTTATTCGAAGCAAATTTATTACCAACAGTTATAACGGGAACAAGTGCGGGAGGTTTAATAGCCGCTCTTGTATGTGTACGTACTGATGATGAATTAGTCCAAGTACTTAAACCAGAATTAAGTCAAAAACTTACAGCATGTTCTGAATCAATGGATATTTGGGTTAAACGTTGGTGGACATCTGGTTCAAGATTTGATGCAGTAGATTGGGCACGTAAAACTTCATGGATTACAAAGGGTAGTTTAACCTTTAGAGAAGCTTATGAAAGAACCGGTAGAATACTTAACATTTCTGTTATACCTTATGATCCACATTCTCCTCCCAAAGTTTTAAACTATGTAACAGCGCCTGATTGTGTCATATGGTCTGCAGGTAAAATTAGAAACTTGATTTGTTTTCATTAATTTAATTTAATTTAATTTAATATTTAAATTTAAATTTTAATAAAATTTTTTACTTATCACGTAGTTATTGCCAGTGCAGCAGTTCCAGGAATCTTGTGTCCAGTTGTTTTGATGCAAAAATTAAAGAATGGAACTATCATACCATATAATTATGGAAATAAATGGAAAGATGGATCACTTCGCACGGATATACCAACTCAATCATTACATATGCATTTTAATGTAAAAAACACAATAGTATCACAAGTTAATCCGCATATTCATTTATTTTTTTATGCTCCAAGAGGATCAGTTGGTAGACCAGTTAGTCATAGACTTGGTAGAGGATGGAGAGGAGGATTTTTATTGTCAGGTATTGAACAATATTTAAAATTAGACTTAAGTAAATGGTTAAAATGGATAAGAGATTTAGAGTTGTTACCTAAAGTTGCTGATCAAGATTGGAGTTCTATTTGGTTACAAAGATTTGAAGGTAATATTACTATATGGCCAAAATCAAAAATATCCGATTTCTTTTATATTCTTTCAGATCCTGATTATGAGAGATTAGATAAAATGATTACAACTGGTCAAAGAGTAACTTGGCCTAAACTTCATATGATTTCAAATCGATTAAAAATTGAGAGGGCAATACAAAAGGGAAAAGATCATGTTAGAAGAGAAGAAAGAAAAAAATTAAGATATCAAAGAAATGATGATGCAACAAATGATGTTCATATTGGACATGGTAGAACTATGTCATCTCCTTCAATTGTTCAATCTCTTAATACTACTAATAATACTAGTGGTGGAAGTGGTAGTGATTATTTTGATCAATCTAGTAGTGGACAAGAAGAATCTGATGAAATGTTAATTAACGGTGAAGCCACTGATAGTGATAGCAGTAATGGTGGAAATTTTAGTGAAAGTAGTAATAGTAATAATGGTAGTATTGATGATGATGATGATGACATTCTTAATGATTTAAAATATGATATGATTGCAAGTCAATCATCATCTTCTTCATCTGAAGATGATGGTATTATTACTCCTGCAGATGGACAAGATTTAATTTAACTTGAATCGTTATCAAAAAACATTTTTAGTTAGCATTTGTTAGAGTTACTATTTATGTTTATTATTCAGCTTTAAATAAATAAACAGCAATCGTGATCATGTGTTTATCAAGTCATATATATCTTTGCATTATTTGCATTAGTAATTTAATACTTAATTTAATTAATTGTTAAAAGTTTTAAATAATAAAAAAAAAAAAATTTTTTTTTTCTTAAAAATTATTTCTTGATGAATTTAACTGATTAAAAGTTGTTTATAATGAAGGAACGAAAAAGATTTCGCGAAAAATGTCATGTCAACAGAGAAACTTTGAGCTATATTGAATTCTGATCCATTTTAAACACTCAACACATATATGATTAAAGATGATTTGATCTGAAAAAGTGGATTAAATGAAAGATATTTACGATTGTATTCGGAAGAACAAGATTAGAAACGTTTTAAAATTAAGGAATTGTTTATAGGCGAAATCACATTTATTGAAATATTCGACGTTAAAATAGAAATTATATACTTAATTCAGTAATTTGTGGAAAAGTGTATCTTGATAATAACGTGATATAATTCAGAATTTCAGATCATACAGTATTAATACAATAAAATCTGAAAAAAATTTTATAATATGTATACAGTATATTTAACAATAAATTTTAATTTTTTTTTTTTCATACACAGCTGGTAGGTAAAACCCCATTAGCATCTAACTATGATACCCCAAAGGGTGAGCCAGACACGGGACGGGTAGACCGGGTAGTGTGCGCCCATCTGAAAGTGATCACGCAAGGTTACACTAGTCTTCTATATTTGAAAACCCACACTAGCTGCAGTAACGGGCTATGATGCACATTTTGCAAAAAATTGGGATGTAGCCGGTACCCATGTTTATTTAGTTTAATATTAGTCATTAACGAACTCGTAAATGAAAGCCAGCATTCCGAAAGGGGTTAGAAACTGTTACTCCATGAACTTTTTTTTTTTACGCCATTAATCCCGATTCAAATATTTATATATTTACTTATTGTGAAATTGTGCAACTATGGTATAACTCTAATGCAGGGTGAGCTTTCAATTAATCTCAAAAAGATTGTCTATGGTTCGTTTTTGCTCTATATATATATATGTATAACTATCTCGGCTAAATATGAGGCTTATTTTGGAAAAAATGGTACAGATTAGTCGCATACAAAAGTCGTTATTTTCATCAATAGATAATTTACCAAATAAAAAGATTTGAAATTTAATTTTTTGTGCCATGTATCAATTTGGTGAAGAAATAAGACATAGAGCGTGTGTTCGATGCAAAAAAGTAGATTATTCAAGAAGTAAATTTTGTGAGACTTGTCTTTTAAAAAATCACGAGGAAAAAAATGGAATATGTTTGGAGTGCAAACAAATAAATACGGGGAATAATTGGTGTAAAACTTGTAATTCAAAAAGATTTCAACAAAATTTTGATAATTGGACTAGTGGTAATGATGACATTGATAAGTTCATTCAAAATACTCAGTTATCGGCAGAAAATTGTTTTCAAAAGTTAGAATGGATACCTTATGATAGATTTATTAACCCTAAGTATATTTCAGAAGGTGGATTTGGTAAAGTATATAGAGCAACTTGGAAAGACGGTTATATTTCACACTGGGATACGCGTAAAAATCAATGGGGTAGATCTAATGTAAATAAATTTGTAGCTCTTAAAAGTTTAAATAATTCACAAAATATTACATTGGAATTTGTTAATGAGGTACAATATGTTATACCATACAAGTTAATTTATTAATTTTTTTGATTACTAATAATTATTTATAATAATTAGATTACATCACATCTAAAAGTACATGATATTAAATCACCGGATGAAGTTATTAAATGTTATGGAATATCCCTAGATCCTAAAACAAAAGAATATATTATGGTCATGAATTATGCTAAAATGGGAAATCTGCAAAATTTATTGAACGATAGATCAAAAAGATTGCATAAAAGTTATCAAATAGCTATAAAATTGGATCAGGATTTTGATTTGAATTTGCAAACGTGGAAATATAAGCTTGATATTTTATGTGGAATTTCAAGTGGACTTAAGAAAATCCATGGTAAAAGATTAATTCATCGAGATTTACATATTGGAAATATAGTATGTAATTCTTCACACCCTTGTATAACGGATATGGGATTATGTAAACCCGCAAATTATCATGAATTGGAAAATGAAAATAATAAATATGGCGTATTATCTTATTTGGCTCCTGAAATTTTAAGAGGACAAGATTATACCCAAGCTTCTGATATTTACAGTTTGGGCATAATTATATATGAAGTAATTTCAGAATTGCCACCATATTATAATATTGCTCATGACGAATTATTAGCATTAAATATCTGTGAAGGATTAAGACCTGAATTTAATATTAAAGTACCTCAATTAATTTTGCATTTAATCAAAGGATGCCTGGATGCAGATCCATCAAATCGACCGCGAACATGTAAAATTTCAAGAACTTTTTTAGCATGGGCGCAGGAAATTAATAGGCATGCAATGAGTAGAAAGAATCATGTAATGAATATAGATAATCAAGCGGAATTAACTAAAACAGAATTAATTGAACAAATCGAAGAAGTAGAAAAAATTAATCGTTCATCACTTAATAATTCATCCTTGACAAACCAAATGCATCCTAAAGCTTTTTATAAAAGTAGATCTTTTGATTTTAAAGATCTTCCTGAACCAAAGAATTCCGATGATTATTATGAAACATATGAAAATATATCAAGCAAAATATATTCAGGTATTAAATTTAATCATATATAGACTGTTTACTTGTTTATCCATCAAGTTATTTATATCAACTATTAATCACTTACAGGAAATACACTGAAGTCAGAAAATAGCGATTTAGAATTGTTAAGAATTGACAAGTAATTAAATATGAATCTAGTAAGATTATTATTAAGCCTTCTGACTTTATAGTAATTAAATTTATTTTATTTATTTACTATTTTTTCTTATATTTTTCTTTGATTTTGATAATTATATCAATATAGCAAGTAAATGTATTTTATTCAACACTGATTATAGAATTATTATGTAAGTTTATCATTTCTTTACATAAAATAAAAGTCAGTTTGTAATTGAGCAATATATGAGATAATTTTAAAAATTAAATATAACCTATTAGTTAAATATTATATAATGTATATTTTTGTCTATTCAAGAAAACTCTTATAGAGTAGTTAAAATAAAAGAAACATAAATGCAATTTATAATTTTAATATTAAAAATTACAAACATTTAATAGAATTATTGAAATTTTTAAAAATCTAAATATAATTTAGTATACTAGAAAAACAGTTTTTTACAATATATATTCAATTTATTCCTAGCCCCATGGTGAGATTTGATATTACCCACCCCTAAATTCAATTTTGATTGGTTAATTTTTAATTTGGCCAGTTTTTTTGACTTAAATTTTCATTAAAAGAGCACATTTTTTTTACAAAATCATTGTGAAATTTGTTGATAAATACATTAGATTTCAAAGTTATGCATTTGTAATGTTTAAAAATCATTGATTTAAAGCTTATTGATTAAAAATTCATCAAATCAGAGTGCCGGTTGTATCTATTGATTCAGTCCTTGTAATAAGTGATCCATTTTTTCTCTGCCACGATTAAAAATCACATGATAAAATTAATTTTATCTCGAAGAGTTGAAAAAAAAATTACTATTGACAATCGTAAAATACATATTTTATTTATAATGCATAATTCAATGCCATTATCTATCTATCCTTCATACACCCTGTACGTCATATATTTCTAATCATTAATATCGAACTTAAAGATTAGTATTTATTTTAATATTAAACGATATAACACGACTTTAATAATTTCTACAAGGTAAAAAACACTCTTAAAATGAAGAATGAGATCGAACTATTGCAACTTTATTCAAAATATTATATAAATATTAATTAATAGAATTATGGTTTATTATGATTTATGGCAATAACTTCGTTGATTAGATATGAAAATTTAAAACCAAGTTTTTGGGTGTAATAAGTATAAGAAGTAGTATTTCCGGTCGGTTGGGTTTTTCGGTCGGGTCTCGGGCTTCATTTTTTTTTGGTTGGCCTGATCTTCGACAACAATAAAAACAAAAAAATTGGGTTTTTTTAGTTCGGGAAAAAAATAAAACGCCACGGTAACCAATCAAAACCATGTTGCTAATTATTATAAACTATTAGTTATTTGTTTTCACGTGTAAGTCGAACTTAATTACAAACTTTCAACTTAATTTACAAAAACAATTTTATTCGTAAATTTTAAGTAGTACACACTGACCAAAAAATCAACCGACCAGAAATGAACAGGGCTAGTGTTTCGAGTGAAACTAGATTCACTTCGATAATACTGGTATGAAAAGGATAGTCCTTTTTCCTAGAGACATACACGAGATATATAACTTCCGCTCACAAAACACACGAGGTATTCTCAGATTTCTAGTCAAAAACCCATTTCGCACGATATTACGTGAAAATTTTGCCCTTTTTTCAAACTGACAAAAGTCCTAAACATTCCTAATTGTCATATTGACAAAATTTTCATACACACATTTTGATTCATAAGTCATTACTTTACATTTTTAAACTCAATAAAATTAGTATCATTTGAAAGTTCATACGTGATACTTTTAATGTATCGTAAAAAAAGTTATATTTTGTAATAATCTTTGCCCCGTTCAAGTTCGAACTAATTTATGTAGTACAAAATTTTTTGGCGCTGCTGGAAAGTGGAAATGTCCAGTGATTGATATTATGTAATAACCGCGTCTTATTTTTGGCTGAACTGTGTGACAAGGAAGAAAAATATTTACAGTATACATATTTTTTTTTTTTTATCTTACATTCTTTTTCTTTTTTTTAAAAATACAAACTTTTCAACATCCATTTGACGTGTAGACCAAAGTAGATCTCAGGTCTCATAGCTGAGGAGACTTTATATATGACGCGTCGTATGTGATTTTGCGCGTTGTTGGGAGAGAAGCCGCCAATTGACTCTTTAAAGAGAGCCAAAAGTAAAGAAAATAGGAGGAGCACATATATTTATGAAAAATTCGAAATGGTCATCAACAAACCATAAGGTAAGCTTAAGATCCCTGCTTGGCCTTCTCAGTGGGTGTGTGAGCTTATGAAGAAAAGGTATTTATATAGCCACAAAATCCTAAGAATATGTGATACATCGTCTAGAAAAATAAAACACCATTGGATATCATGTCTTTCAACTCAGCAGATACACCTAGCGAAACTGGCTAAAATTACTTCGTACATTGATATTCACTATTATAATACGTAATGTTATATACATTTCTCCAGGAACGAAAAAAATATTATTAGAATAATTTCCGATCCCAATATACGACGCCTAGGGGAGGATACCAGAAGACCATTTATTAATCGTTTCCACTTCCTTCAGAGAAAACCGAATAAGGAAGGATACCAGAAGACCGTAAATTGCCTTTTTCTTCGGAGGAACCCGGATAGGGAATGATACCAGAAGACCATTTATTATCGTTTCCACTTCCTCCTATAGTCCTATCGTAATTAAGTCCGAATATTTACGCGATGATCCCATTAGATAAAATCCTATTACATCTAAGCGAGCTCAGGCCTACTGATCATAGAAATATTTAGGATTTGTAAGGTTTCCTATACTTTTTTGGATAATATTTGTGCTTGTATTTTTGATAATTTGAATTTGGCTTGTATTTAGGATCTGCTTCGGGCTCAGTCTTTCTTATCAGATATATGTAATATTCAAATGGTACTTAGATAAATCATCATCAATAGGTACAGCGTTCTTTATGACATATTGACAATTTAAAAATGATACGATTGATATTTGTAAGAATGTTGAATAAGTTATGATGCCATGTATATGGTAAGTACAAAGGGATGGTGTGCAAGGTTTACGATCAGGCTGGTTTCTTCCCAATTGCACCCAAGATTACAGCCTGAACAGAGTCTTACTTAGTTATTTTTTATAACTATCTTATTTTAATTTGTAGGGTATGTTCCCATTCGTTTTCTCGATAAATAAATGGCTCAGGAGTTCGGGAGATTCGGGTCATCATTCCACTATGTATGGTATGTACAAAGGGTGGTAGGACATCCTATGACCTGATATTTCAAATGAATTTTTCTATCTTGATGTTTCAAATTCAATTCAATTGATGGAGCGTTACTATTTAAATAGTCCACATTGTTTCATTTAATGCAGATGAGTATGCAACACAATCAGAATGGCGGAGAACTTAAAGTGATCTCAGGAAATGACGTAACAAAGATTTTTCTAAATTGAAGTCAGCGAGATATAGGATTTTGAAGTAGGTACTGCTCATATAATATAAATGTATTTTTATTTTAACTTTTTTTTTGAGAAAAGCTAAGTTTTACAAAAATTGTAATGTTTATCTTGCTTGAATCAACAACTAATAAGAAAATTGGAATGAGTGATTTACTTTAATGGGATGCTCATACAGGCTTTTTAACGTTCAACGGTGATTATCCGATCAATAAAGAATCTTTGTGGAGGAAATTTCAATATTTAATTCATTCGAGTAATTTCCTCGAAGTCGTCTTTACTTAGTAAGAACATTTTGTTGTTGAATTTCCATTGATCTATAGTTAATAATATTTTAAACCATATTTTGATTACATAATTACGTAAAAACTTTTTAAAGAATATTATTCATATATTTCCTCCCCTATCCTGTTTCCTTCGAACGCCTCCTAAGAAAAAAGCAATTTACGGTCTTCTGGTATCCTTCCTTATTTGGGTTTCTCCGAAGGAAGTGGAAACGATAATAGGGCTTCTGGTCTCCTAATGCTACGCGGGCGATAAAGGCTAACGACTAAAAAATATGGGCGAGTGTTAGAAAAAGGGACAACTGTTAACCGATTTTTTTTAGTAAAAAATGATTGATCACTGCACTACAAAATTTGTTATTTTGATCCTTTTTCTAGCAATGTTCTTTCAAATATTAAAAATCTGTCAAAGTATTTTAATTTGGCCATTATTTACTTATATAAAACAAAGAAAATTAGATTAGATGAAAATTAATGATTAATTTAAGGGATAGATGGATAAAGAAATTAGATTAGATGGATAAATGGATAATATTTATTATAGGCAAATTAATTATATAAATGGTAAAAAAATGATAAATTTCTTTCAAGTTATTAGAATTAGATGTAATTTATATAGTAATTAAATAATGAACTTAACGAATTATTACAAAACTGAGATTGTAAGATGTAACACGAATTATTATAAATTATATTTTGTATAAATTTGGAAACTTCAATTTAATAAAAAAAACCCTTAACGATTACGATTAGCCAAATAACTATAATTGATAACAACAGCAATAAAATCACAAAAAGTAGTGTAACCAAAACTTATTAATTGTGATTTATATAAAATCGGAACCTGATTTTCATTGCATTGATAATATGAAACTCTACTTAAGGATCAATAAATATGGTTTTGTTTACAGTTTGTATGATGAAACATGAATTATTAATTATTTTATTTATAAAATTGGGAACTTCCAATATTCATTTACATTGATAATAATAATGAATAAGGTGCTTGATATTAAAACTCTAACGATAATGAACCGATAATTATAGCTAAAAAAAAATCATGCGCATGTTTAAAACGAAAAGAATTGAATGTAATAAATAATTAAATATTATTTTCAAGTAAATGAGTATGATGTATAAACTTTTGTAATAACAATAACTTAATTTATTGTGACACGACAACTTTAACCTTTAATTAATGCTATTTCAGTTGATTTGATCTACAAATCCATTGAAGTGATTGCCTAAATCTTTCATTTGTTTGTTTGTTTGTCTTAAAATTCGGAGTATGTAAGCCGTGATAACAGATATAAAAGAAAAATAATTCCACAGCATTTTCACGTAACGAAAAAAAAAAATTCTTTAATGGCTGGTATTATTAGAAAAAATTTAGTTTATGCAGCGCTCGATAAAGCGGATTCTTTGACGGATTTTGAAAAATACAAAAACATAGATAGCCGTTATGAATTTAAAAAGGAAACGGTTCTTAACGATGAAACTCTTAATGAAAATGAAAAAATCGAAGCTATAAAAATATTGACTAAGGATTACGATTATTTTAAAGTACTTTACAATACGGGAACAAAAAGATTGTGTAAAGAATGTCAAAAAGAATGTTTAGCCACATTATATTGTGAACATTGTATTCGAATCTTTTTGAAAAATAATTTTTCGAATTGGACATCTAATAATAATGATATTGATAGTTTATTACAAAGATGTCAAGAAGAATCATTTCGTCCAAACAAAATACTTGAATGGATACCATACGAAAAACTACAAAATATTGAATATTTGACTAGAGGCGGTTGTTCTGAAATTTATACAGCAGATTGGATTGACGGACAATACATCGAGTGGGATCAAGTCAATAAGCAATTAAAAAGAACCGGATCTCATAAAGTAATACTTAAAACATTGATAAATGTTTTAAATGCTAATAGAAGTTGGTTCGAAGAGGTCATATTATTTCAATTTACTTTATATGTAAAAATACATTTTAACTAATGACTAATTTATAAATATTATATATATATTTATAGGCAAAAGTTCATTTAACTATTGGGAACAAAAGTACTGAGATCGTTAAATGTTATGGGTTAACCCAAGAGCCAAAAAATGGAGTTTATATGCTTGTGATGCAATTAATGGATACGAATTTAAAAAAATATTTAAATAATCATCATCCGCTTACGTGGAAAGAAAAAATAAAAATATCTTATGATATTGTAGATGCGCTTCATAGTATTCATAGTAATAATGCGATTCATAGAGATCTGCATTCCGGAAACATTCTATATCTGAAATCCAAAAATTATTGGTATATAAGTGATTTCGGATTTTGTGGACCTGCTGATAAATCACTAAACAGTGTATATGGAAATCTTCCTTACATAGCACCTGAAGTTTTAATTAGAAAAGAAAGTACTTTTAAATCTGATATATACAGTTTTGGTATGCTCATGTGGGAAATTGCATCGGAACAAACACCTTTTAATAATTGTAAACATGATTTTTATCTTGCAATGGGTATAGTTAATGGTTTGAGACCACGAAACATATCAGGGATTCCATCAGAATATAAAGAATTAATGAAAAAATGTTTAGATGCTGATCCCTTACAAAGACCCGATATTGATACTCTTTTTAATGAGATTGAAAAAATGTGGAAAAACTCTTACACTGAGCCTGAATTTTTATTAGCTCCTATTTTATTGTTTCCCCGAAATTTTCAACCTAGTTCAAGTTCTAAGTTACATTCATTATCAACCAGTAGTAAACTTCATCGATTTAAAAACTTACCAGAACCAGTAAATGCGATTGGAGGTAATTATAATATTTATTATCTTTTATTACTTTTAACCATTTTTAACTACATATTTAAAAATTAAAAAATTCTTTTTTTTTAACAGAACTAGAACGTAATTATTATTATTTTTTTTTATAACATTAACATTAATATATATATGTAAATGTAAATTTAACAAAAAATTTTATTTTTTTGTAGCATTTCATAGCAGACCATATGACTTCAATATACCTCATACTCGTAGTAAGTTTAATTATAATATATTAATATTATATTTATATTATATTTATAATCTTTGTATTAATATAACAATTCAAATTTTTATTTAGATTTGGAAATCACTTCCGAAGGTATAATTTTAAAGTTTGATTACTTTTATACGTAATATTATATTAATATTATTTATCTATCATACCGGTAATTTGTTAGATGAAGCAGAACAAAAATCGAAATTCTTTGAAATAATATATTATTTTATAGGTGAGTCTATTATATCTTTCTTTACAATTCATTTTGAATAAAGTTAATAAAAGATATCTTTTATTTTAATAATAATAGAACGCATTAAAAGAATATTTGAGGTGTTTTTTTTTTACTAAAGATATTATTGCAAAAGTCAATTTTCTAAAATTAATTATTTTAGTTTAAAGTATATCTTATTTCATTGATTTTTATAAATATATTTAATTTTATTGTTTTTATTTTTAATATTACGAAGTAGTGTACATATTTCATTTTATTATAAATTTGTAATATTAGCGAGTGCATGAATGAAGTGGAACGGTTGTTCTAACGTAGGCAATTTTACTGATAATTAAACATCACAACTTATGGAGTAATTTACTACTTGTTTTAACTCAGTTTATTGTCAATGAAAATCAAATCTATATAACAAAAGAGAATATACAATATATGTCTAAAAACTTAATATAATAACTTTTATATATTTGATATACTGTATTCGATATAATATAATATAATTTTAATCAATCAATATATAAATCTTACCTATTCGCTTCTTAATTGCATTTTCAAGCTAATTTAATACCTTTAGTTTTACACATAGCAATAGCTTTAGGTTGACCCGATAAAGCGGCTAACCTAAGATAATTACTACCTTTCTCTTCATCTTTATTAGCACCAATACCATTATATAATATATTACCAATATTATACATAGCAGTATGATTACCATTATCGGCTGACATTTGAAAATATCTTATGGATTCTTTAATATCCCTTTTAATGGCTTCACCTGACCATAAACAATGTCCATATCTCAATTGAGCATCTGCTAAACCAAAATCTGCTGCTTCTTTAAAATATTCTACAGATTGTTTAACTCTTAATTGTTTTGCATTTTTATCTTCAGGATCTTCTATTGGACATAAATCATAATATAAATAATATCCTTTCCAATATCTAAATTTAAAAATATATAAATATTAGTATTTATATGATTTTAAAAAAAAGTAAGTATCAGGTTACTTACTTGGCAAGCATATCATCAAGTTCAGAGTGTTGACAAAAGGCTTTCCATGCTTTTAATCTATCTCCATTCTTCTTATGTTCTGCAATAGCTTCTTTAATACTCAATGTATCAATATCAATTACACTTAAATCTAAAGATAATTCTAAATCATCAGGATCTGGTAAATCTGATTGAGAAGGACTACAAATTGGGGAAGAAGTCGGAGTTTTCTTTGGTTTATGAATTTGATAAACATCATTTAATGTCATAAATATGTCTTTTAAAGAAGGTCTTGCGCTTGGACTATCTTGCATAGCTAAATAATAAAAAAAAATATATAGTATTTATATAATTATATATTTTATCAAAATTTTAGATAATAAAAATCATGATTTATAATACCTTGATATGCAATTTTAACCCATTCATTAGGTACACCAAGACTGAATGATGGTCTATATTTTTGATTAACTACAAGATTTCTTATTTGTACTATATCATTTTCCCTTTGAAATGGTAATTTTCCTTCAGCAATTTCCCATAATACCATACCAAAACTATAAATTTCACATTTTGCAGTATAAGGATTATTATGATCCTTTAATTTTTCAGGAGCCATCCATCTTACATTATCAATAGTTGCTTTAACATGAGTACTAAAATCTCTAAATCCACGACTTAAAGTAAAATTAGCTAATTTAGCACAACGATGACGAGTTATTAAAATATTTTCTGAACGTATATCGTGATGTAATATGGATACGGTATGTAAAAAAGTTAATCCACGAGAAATATCAATAGCAATTTGAGATTTTTCAAGCCAACCAAGTGGTCCATAATCTGTATAATATTCTTTAAGATTACCATATTCAAACCATTCAGTTACCATATACATTATTTCTTCCTCATTAACAAATCCATAAAATTTTACTATATATTTTGATTCTTTAAGTTTTTTTAATATAGTTACTTGACTCAATATATCATTAATTTGTTTCTTTTCTTCTTTATCAAAAATTCTTTTCTTTAATGCTACTTCTTCCCCTTTACGTAATTTTTTAATTACTTTATTACCACGTTTAACCATTTCAGATGGATCAGAAAATTCATTCATTGGAATAGTTGCATCAGCTATGATATCCTCATTTTTTGAAAGTAATTTTTTTTGCCATGCTAAATTCCATTGTGTAATATCATCTAATTTAGCATTAATTCCTGATACTTCATTAGCAATACCTCCTTCAATATCATGTATATACTATAATTTTTTTTTTTAAAAAAAAAAAAAATCTTAGGAATTAGGAAATTTTTTTTTAAAAAAAAAGTATTTAAAAACAAGAAACTTATTTCTTCATTAATTACCTTATTCATTTCCTTAATATCATGACTCAAAATTTTTTTATCTTCTTCCATTTGAATTTGATTAGTAACAGCAATAGAAAAATTTAAAATTCTCATTAAACCTTCAAATTCATTAGTTAAATCAAAAAAATCTTTTTCTATACTATTAGCAGCTAAAAATCTTCTTAAACCTTTAATTTGAGAAATTTCTTCAATAAATTTTTTTATTTTACCTACTATAATAACTAATCTTTGAAAATTTTTATAATATTCTTTTGATTTAAATAATGATTCATTTTCTAATCTACGTATTTCTAAATTTTTTACGGCGGTTTCTGCGGCTGTAGTTCTTGATAATAATGATCCACATATCCTTTTATTATGTTCTGCTGTTTGATAAATATTAATTATATCTGATGTTAACCTTGATACTTCTGTTATTAATGGTAAAAATGGTGATATTGAATCTGATACTTTTGATGCTCCAAAACTATTAATTGTCGTATCTGTTATGCTTAATGCACGTTCTATCACCGTATTTACGTTGGTACTATTAATCACTCTTTTTACACTTTCTTGAGACATAATTTATTATTATTATCAAAAAGCATTCTTAAAAAAAACAAATAGACCCAAAAAAGGAAAACTTCAAAAGGAGGAAACTTAAAAAAAAAAAAAAATTCTTTTGTTTTTTTCTTTTTTGTTTTAAAAAAGTTTTATAATTTTTCACGCAAAATTTATACTTTTTTTTTTTATCTCGATTAAACGGATAATAATATTAATTAATTCCGGAAAAAAAAAACATATAATAATATAACAATGTCTGTAATATTATTTAGTCGAATAGAATTATTCTAAAAAGAAAGTAGAATCATCTTTATGGAAAATTGAATTTTTCCATATGGTTAATTTGTACTTGGGTACACGACAGACAAAAAAGGAATAACATCTGCGGATCTGCGCCATTTTCGTAATACTGGTTTTTTTAATAGGACAATCAAAACAAAAAAAAAATGTTTATGAATTAACCTTATAAGAAGAGATATTAAGAATGAATCTGGATGCACAACATACAGTACAGTTTTTTTAATTAAGTCATACAAGATTAGTCTATACCCTTCTTATTTGCTCAATTATAATAATGAGTTATGTCAAGAAGGAACCTTCAATAATTTACTGAAAAAAACCTCCGAAAAGGACGAATGACAAACGTAAATTTCCGAAAATGAGGTCCACGTCCGAATGTAACCCGGAGTTTTCCTAAAAACAAATAGTTAACTGTCTTCGCTGCCCTCAATATGTTGTTACTCTACATGGTAAAATTTGATTCAAATCAATTTCGGCCGATGATGTTTATTAGTAAATCAATGACCAATGATATACTATGCCAACTGTGGCATACTATGAAATTACTTATACCATTTATTCAGTAATCAGTATACATTCCAGAAAATAATTCCACACATTCGATAAAACCTTCACTATTAACTTCTTTTGAAATAATAATGAATCAATCTATTATCGAAATATCTATAAGGGAATAGTTGTAACAAAATATAGATCAAAATTTCTTCGGCGAATGTTCGAGTTCTTTTCTAAGAAATAATCCCGAAACCCTTATCACAAGCCTTTAACCTTTGTTATTTTTATAATAACATAGTGTCATACTACTAATACTATATATATAGCTAATAGTCTTCTAAGTGACATACTACATCTCGGGATGTACTTTATTTGATATGTTAGAAATTTTATATTATTCGGAAATGATAAAACGGAATTTTTTATTCTAGAAAGCTTATTGGCTGATTCGCTTCAATTATCTAAAGGTAAATACCGAGTAAATGAAGGTTTAAATTGACATAATTAAACAGACTTAAGTGCAATGCTGGCCAAAATTATAATAATTTCGGCCGAGTCAGGCAAAATTACAACCAGATTTTTGCTCGCACTGTGGTTTTGACTCGAGAGTCAAAAAACTTTTTTAGTTTTTTTGCTCGCTATTTTAGTGTTATTTTATTCAAATTTAATATTCTTACGAAAAAAAAATAATTTTAATCAATATGCATAAAGATAAATCAATACTTTAATTATACAGTTAAAAAACATAAAATATTTAATATTATACTATATAAAATGAATAAAAATAAACGTTATTGCTTATTAAAAGAAGAGAACAAAACTATTATATAATTCATTCTTCTTTCTTTTCGCTATCACTATTAATCCAATTATTAATCCATTCTTTAGATTTTTCAATAATAATTTTTCCTTTTCCTTCATTTTCTACCATTTTCTTTAAAGCTTTTTCAGCTTTTTCATGACACATTTCACTTTCATCTTTAAATTTTTCAAACATAATAATTTCCAGATAAGAAATAGCAATACAAGTACTTAATATTTCCTCAACATCAGTCTTACCAATCTCTTTTTCAATTTCTTGTTTTAAATTGATGAAATCATTCAAATCATTTTTATAAAAAAATTCATAAAATGATTTATTTGGCAAGAATTTACCATCAAAAGATTGTAATCCTAAAAACTCGAATAAATTTTCAATTTTTGGCTCTTTATGATTAACGTTAACTTTCTGTAGTGCTGCTGGCGTAACTTGCAATGGAGTACTATATTGGAAAAAAAAATTTTATATCAATAACCCTTTCATATTAAAATAATATAATAAAACATGTATACCGACTCTTGCTGTAATCCAACGGCAACTAATAAATTATGTAAATATTCGATTCGATTAATCTTTTTTTTGGTTCAAAAATTTTTTTTTAATAAATTATAAAATAAGTATACGTACATGATCTTTTCGCTTTCCTCGCTTAATTTATAATATTAAAATTAATTAATGTTAAATTTTTTCTCTTTTTTTTTAAAAAAAAAAAAAATACATAATACAATTTTTTTTACCTGGACCACTAATATTCATACTTGAAGAAGCTAAAAAAAAGCTAGCTTTTCCTGCAAAAAACTGGGGAACTTCCCTTTTCTGTGGAATTGTTCGTGCTTCAGATACAGTTTCATTGTTTCTTTCATCAATTGCAATAAAACTACAAATAAAAAAAATATAAAAAATAAGTAAAAAATATAATTAAATTATAATAAATACTATTAATTTAATACAATTATACCTTGTATATTTTGAAGCTAAATTATAAGTTTTACCAAGTTTAACAATATGTTCTTTAACTAATGAATCTGGGATATGCTTATCAGCATTTTTAGGATGTTTATGAATAAATGATTTTTCATCATTAAGATCTTGAATAAGTTTCCTTGCCGCTAATCTATGAATCTTTGAACCTTGTAAAGTAACTGGATCCAAAGGAATATCAAGTTTCATAGGGCCGTCTTGGGAAGTAGCTTTTAAAGTAATAATCTTACGTGGTTCAATATTTTTTTCCAAAATACAATAAACAATAAATCGAACACCAGGATAAATAGGTGGAATAATATATGGAGCTTGTTGAACTTTAGTATCAATGAATATATCACTTTGTGATGGTGATTCTGTATTATCATTCGTAAAACTAGTAGCGGATTTAACTTCCGCTTGTAACTCTTTCTTTTCCTTTGATTCCGATAGATCAACATTGGTCCAAGTAATATTATAATCCTTAACTGGTGGTTTTAATGCATTTTTTAACATTCCAATGACTTTTTTATCCATTCTTTCATCATTTGTTACAAATTGAGCATATCCTTTACCAGCACGAGCAACAGATTCAACTAAATTATGAGAAACAGAATCGCCTATTCCTAATGAAAAAAGACGTAAAACATCTTTCTTTTTTTCTTCATTTTGACTTACAAGTCTTACAATTTGATCAACATTCCAAACTTCACCATCTGTAAGAAGGAATACAGAAGTTGGTATATCATCCCTTGAATTTTCAAATACCCATTCTAATGCACTATAAATTTCTGTTCCTCCATAGTTTGATTTCATTGTTTGAGCAAGATTAAGAGCTTCAGATAAAGATGTTTCAGAATAGGATTGACTTTTTGGAAAAAGAGAATCATAATGAGATCCGAAAGAAATTACATTAAAGTAACAATCTTCAGGAAGTGAGCGTAATAACAATTCAAGTGCTTGTGCAGCTTTTTTCATAGGTTCAACACTCATTGATCCCGATCTAATTAAAAAATTTTTTAAATTTTTTTTTTTATTAATTGAACAGAAAATTTCACTTGGTAATTAAATTATATCATACCTATCAACAACAAAAACTAGTTCAGATATGGTAGTATTTAATGAGAGTTTTGGAACCAAAGTTAACATAACACAGTTAGTTTTTGTTTCAGGATTATACTCAACAAAAGCTCTGAAAGAAATATAAAGAATTTTAATTATTTATATTAAAATAAAAAATAAAAAAATAATTACGTAAAATATTTACCGAGGTTGATCAAGGTCTTTACTTTTAACTACAAGAATAAAATCTTTTTCTAAATAAGTAGTTTGTTGAGTTAAAGTAATTTTAGATATTTTAGGATTTTCATCAATATTCATTTCAGTAGAAATTTTATGTGAAGGTGATTCAATATTTTGAATAGTTGAAGTCATTCTACAAGTAATAGCAAGATTTAAATAAAAATCTGCTTTATTAGAATAAGACACAACATCAGGATTAAGAATTTTTCCATCATTTGAAGATGATGAATATTCCGAAGAACCATATCTTGGAGCGATATTAGTTGGTAGAACAAATCGAATATTCTCAGATTCAGAATCATGTTTAAGTTCGGTAACATATGTAATCTTCATGACTACGGTTTGTCCTGACGTAATATTTCCAACAGAACATTGAAAAACATCTTCAGATTCAGATTCTAACAAATAAGCACCATGTCCTTCCTAATCATTTCAAGAAAATGAAAATCAATTTAACTTATATATACATAAACTTTGAAATTATTTAAATTTATCAGATATAACCTGAACTGCTTCAGTATATTCTTTGGCGGCCTCTTTTGATTCTTTTACGATACCCTTTACTTTTCTCTGTCCATCAATTTCCGCCTCAAAGCCGCAGATTGCTGCGGCTTCATAAATAGGAAATTTATAGAGAGCTTCAATGGTATTTTTTTCAACATTTTTGTAAGTCTGGCTGATCGTAACTATAAAAATAAAATAGATTAATACTATATAAACTATAATCCTAATAGAATTTTTATTCGATAAATTTAACGAACCTTCAGCGATCATATCAACGACTAAAAAAAAAATTGCAATTTAGGGAATATCATTATAACGAAAATGAAAAAATAATTAAAATAATTAAAATAATTACAACAACTTACTATTGGCTTCAACAGCAACATTTTGTAAAGGAATTGGTTTTAATTCTCGTTCAACAACAAAGCAGAGTCCGTAAATTTGCATTTTGGGAAAAAATATATAATAGAAGTTGAATCAAGTTTAAGTGAGATATAAATAAATACAGTATTTATTTTTGAATTTATAAAGTTTATACGTCATTCATTAACCCATTTAGGCCAATTTGGCTAAATTTTAGGCGTTTAAAATAAGATCGTCATCAACTTACTCGATGAGTGTAAGTTTGACTCAACAATGCTCGCATGTTTAAGAACTTTCCAATAAAAATAATATTTTTTTTTGTATGATAGAAATTTATTTGATGCTTTTTTTGCTTTAAAAACTTAGCTTTAATATCATTTTTATTAATTTCTGCAAGAAATGTCGCTTAAATGTTAACGCAAACAAACGAAGATAATAATTTATCGTTGCGGAATATTCAATTTTGGATACTCATACCCGAATATAAATTTATTCCGTGTTTTTTTTTATTCAATGTTATTTCTGTAAATGTATCATATTCACGGAATTCATAGCCTCAAAATATGGAAATTATCAAGTTGCTTTGATTTCCGTAAATGTTGGAAATGTATTACAAAAAATTCAAATAAATTTTCAATTTATGATTCCTTATAATTAACTTTAGATTTAACATCAGATAAATCTTCAATTTGTAATTTCAAACTCATCTAAAAATATATAACATTTCTTCGTGCCTAAAGAGTCAGTTATGCAGTATATAACAACTCGTTGATTTATCCTTACGAGTTATATCATGTAAAAACCGGCAAAACCGGCAAAAAAGATTAATATAATTATGAATAATACTACAGAACAAGTTTGATATTAATGAATAATACGGGCAGGATAATGTCACTCTTTTAGAAACGCGTACAAAACATCTTTCTCAAATAATTTCAAATAATTAGAGCACTTATTAAATAAAGCTTATAACACTAAAGTTACGATCAACCATTATTGAGCAATTTTTAAAATTCTAAAAATAATATTATTCTGATAGTTATGAAGTTATTAAAGTACTAAACTATTGTAAAATAAATTTTATCTTTTGTACTAATAAATAAAATAACTAGGTATAATAAACATAATTATTAAATTTTAAAATTTTACTTAGGTAAGGCTTCGATAATAGGAATTTGCAGAAAACGTCCGGAAAACGTACCGAAATATGACATTATTCAGATATTATCTGGACAAATTCCAGACAAATTCCCGGAATTCCTTTTCCGTTGTCAATGTGAATAACTTTTCCTAGTAGAAATACACATTTTAAGTGAAACTGGCTTTATTTTTCTTTATCTATGACGTAGAAGTATTTATTGTATACAATAATAAAATAATAAAATAAAAATATATTTAATAATTGTTAGAAAAAAAAAATTTCTGAATGTTGAAACGGGATTATCAATAATGCGAAAAGCATGCAATTCTTGACACTAGGCATGTAAAGCAACTGTTATTTCTTAAAGGACTGGCTCTTTTGTTGATAAGAGATTATTACTTTGAATGATATGTCAACTTTGATGTCAAAATTTAGGAAATGATCAATTTATATTCTTAATCCGAGTTAATGGATTGTTAATATCTATATCTATATATATGTATACTGTATAAACAAACAGATTAGATTGATTGCGTAAAAGAATGTAAATAAATTTTTTGCATCAACATCATAATAATAATATAGAGAGAAATTGTAACCGCTCAATTTTCTCGTCTTTCTTAGTCGGAATGATCTATCTGATTTAGCGGGTGGTAATTAAAGTTTTTAAAAATATGATGCATACTAATTACAGTAGCAACAATGGTAGAAAATCTAGCGCGAAGTATTCTTCGATGAAAAATTCCTGTACTGTACATATCATTTCAAGCTGTTATTACAAAATTTTTCATAATTTTTAATATAATAGCATTGTATTCTCTTTTTCTTGGGATTTTTCCTTAAAAGGTTATAGTCGCATAAGCAAGCTAGAACTCATTATGATGATAAATTCTTTGAACTATTTAAAAACATGCTTCGTTAATCAAATTCAAAATTCAATCAATTATCCACGTGACTTTTTTTTTCGTCGAAACTCGAAACAACTGCATTTATTTCAGAAAACTAAATATATCTTTTCGTTTGACCATATATCCACCTGAGCAGTAATACTTATTATCTTTAAACTTAAAGAATGATATGGCAGAAAAAATGCATTAATTAAAAAAGAAGAAATTATTGAAGTAAGTTCTGGACATGCTATTTTCGGTCGTGGCCGAACTTTAAAATGGAATGATTTCTGGATTTGCAAATTAATAACCAATTACATATTCAAATGTTTTGAAAGGATCTTGTGTTTAATATTTTACTTTTCAGGTTGATTGCCTGATTTTTGTCATGTAATTGATCATCCGATAATTACAAGATCATAAGATACGATCAAACACTTTTATTATAAAAAGGATGTGAATCATGTATGATTAATACTTTCAATTGTGCATAATAATAAATATTTTTTTCAGAATTAAATATTGCCTGTCAAAATGCACAATCGAATCTTTCCAATCCTAATCCTTGCCTTCACCATCTTTTTTATATGCAACACTCAGGAAGTTCCCAAGAGCCCAAGTTGTCCACAAGGATATGTACGTTCAACAGTATCAGGAACGATGGGCACATGTGTTTATGGATGTCATACAGACGATGATTGTAACGATAAATTCACTAATTATGCGTTTCCAAGCAAATGTCTCAAATCAACACGACCTCATTGGTTATGTGACTGTAGTCATGCTTGTCTTGATGATGGCATATGTGTTAGTGAAACTTATTGTAATAAATATTAGTAAGAGGAATTTATGTATTGTAAATTTCATTTTAAAAAAGATATAATTTTATAATATATAATACACTAAAGTATTGGACTACCTATAATTCGCTATTATAGTTATGCAAACATGCTTTTAAGTAAAGATTTTTTTTTCAATAATTAATCTGCCTTTTATATTATAAGCAAAGTTGTTAATTATATTTAATTTAACTTTATTACAAAAAAATACTTTTGAAGTAGCGATCACTTTCATAATTGTAAAAAAAATTTTTTTTTTAAAAAAAAAAAAATAAGAATGCTCGTATTTCCTTATAATAAATAATTAAAAATAAAATAAAACTTGAATTTATAACATTTAAAATAAATTATTATTACTATCATTAGACAAAATATAAATGATGTTTGTTCTTTGTAGACTTTTTCAAGCATAATACTACTGATTGAATCATACATTGATTCATAAGTAAACCAATTACAATCTAAAAACTTCTTTGCTGTATTTTCAACAATTTATATGGTATACCATTTAAATCAGCTGCTTTATTATTTTTAACTGTATCTAATGCTTTTCATTACATAATTCTTTATATCTCTTTATCACTATTCTCTATCAGTTCATATATTCTTTTCCAGATTTCATTACTTTCTAGTCTTTCTAAATTTATATTTCTCAATTTTGTATATTCTTTATAATGATTCTCATCGGCCAAAAAATAATGATCATTGACGATCATATGCTGCGCCACGGACAAACCGATCATAAACAAAGGTTCTCTTAATAATATCAGATACAATTACTAATGCGATAATGTAATAATAATGTAGTCATAGCCAATGCTTATTTGGTTTCCTCACATGGGTTTCTTATGAGAATAGTAATAAACTTGATAGAACATGTACTTAAAATTTAAAAATTTCTGATTTCTATGTTGATAGTTTTATATATATACCATCAAGATCCTGATGTATTATTATATTAAAGCTTAACTATATGTGTTAAAAAAAAATGAGATGTATAATTAATAAATTATAGTAATACAAATATATATATAAATAAATTTATTTGTTAGATATCAATAATGTGTATATCAGTATATCATATCAATATAACGAACGGTAGTTAGATAACATGCAAAAAGTGGTATATTAAATGCCAATTTTATAAAAATATGTAATCTGACTATATACAAACTCTACAAACTCTACACAAATCAAAACCTTACACTGCATAACTTTACTTACACATACTGTATATATATATTTCTGGAACTTATTAGGCTTTGAAATATCTAATTTACAAATACATGGGGAGTAGCTATATCGGTCACAGGACCGAATGATTGGATGAAAATGGGCCACGTAGTGGCCATTTTCACCAATAAATAGCCCTGTTCAAAATCATTTTTCGATCAGTTAGGAATAAAGCAATCTTATTGGTAGAAAAAGTTCGATCCAAAAAACATAAAAAAATATTGGTCTAAAAGATCGGTGGCGCAAACAAATGCAAGAAGATCCGGCCAATCAAATTAAACCACAACCGACCAAAAAATGCGACCAAACGATTTTGAACAGGACTAATGAAGGGCCCTGTGACCGATAGACATCCAATAAAAGTGTTATCGTTCTGACGTTTTTGATCATGCATTAATTAATAACATCATAAATTTCATTTTTATAAGCTTTATTTAAACTTTTCCTACAAAATATTCATTTGCGCCATTTTTTTACTCGCACTTTATTATATCAATCATGTGTTATTGCTATGGCTAATAAAAATATCGGTCTATGAAAATCTGCATGATCCTATTTTGGCTGAACGATAACAAATAATATTGCATTTATTGAATATTTAAAGAATATTGTTATTAAATCTACTATTAAATTATTAAATTAATGGAATTATAGCTGACAAAAAGAAAGTAATTTGATTTTTTATTTTTACCAACAAATTTAATATCATCATTTTAATTAATTATTAAGTGAAGTACCTTATTAACTTAATATATGTTAAATTTTTTTTATTTAATGTAAATGTATAAACTATAGTATGTATGTATAACCAACTTTATGTTAATATGTTAATATATAATATTCCAAATAATAAAAATAATATTCAAATATTTAAATTCTAACAAATTTATGCTTTTCCTTATCTATTATTATTTAATCCAATTTTTAATGCTTTTTCAATAATAATATTTTCTTTTTCATTATTTCCAATCATTTTTTTTAAAACTTTTTCAACTTTTTCATAATACATTTCACATTCATCTTTAAAATTATCAAACATAATAAGCAATAGCAATACAATTACTTAATATTTCTTTTACTTAATTTACTTAATTTCTTTTTCAATTTCTTGTTTTAAGTTAATAAAATCATTTAAATCATTTTTATAAAAATATTCATAAAATGATTTATCTGATAAAAATTTACCATTAAATGATTGTAATCCTAAAAATTCAAATAAATTTTCAATTTTTGGCTCTTTATAATTAACATTAACTTTCTTTGGTAACAATTCATTATTATTGGATAATTGTGATCCTAAAGATTTGGATAAATTTTCAATATGTGATACTGATGATGCTGGTGATGCTGGCAGAAAAACTCTTAGTTTCATTAATTCCTTTTTTCTATCTTTTCTACAATACATTGAAAAAAAAATTCATTTTTTCAATAATACATATCAATGATAATTCTCATATTATAATATAAACAAACCTATGCTTTTTCACTAATTTTGGACTAACTCATTTAACTCCACCGAAATTACTAACTAAATAAATTATATAAAGATTTCGTTAATATTTTATTTTTTTATTTAAGGATTTTTTTCATGGATATTATTGTTTAATCCGTTAAATAAATAAAATTATAAATAAACATTAATAAATAATATGTACTTGGACTTTCCGTATGATAATGCATTAGATTTTGATTTATCAAAAGAATGGATGATAAAGTTAATACAGATATTAAAAATGGAGATCCAAACTTTCATTATATGTTAAAAAGGTTTTTATTAGTATATCAAAAAGCTAGAAATACAAATATTCAAGAGGGATCTTTATTTTTATAAAATAATAAGAAAATATTATAAGAGTTGGCAAGTTAAAAATAATAAACAAATAAAAGTGCAGTAATGTTTATACAAAGAAGAAAAAGTAATAATAATGGTAGTAAAAGATTAAATCAAGACAAGTTCTTTTGAAAATATAGAAAATATAGATCCACAAACTATACCACCTCGTAGAAAAAGAACAATTAAAAAGAAACATGTGTTAGCAGAGTCAATTAAACGGAATACAAAAAATGGAGACCAGTAGCTTATATTTGATAATACTTTTATATAAATAAAGAATAAAGTTGTAAAGAATTTTATTAATTATATAAGTTACAATTGAAATATTAATATTATCAATATCAAATACAATTTAAATAAAAATCAGTGAAATTAATATTATAAAAGTTAGGTATAAAAACGCGTATAAAAATACTAAAATATTGTATTAAAAATATTATTTCCTTCGTATAACATTGAAATTATGTTATTTTCTAAGTTTTTTATGGCAATTTTACGAGTATAAAAAACTTCGTGATCATGCTAATCATTATAATGACGAGCTGCAATATATTCTCCATCTTTCTTAAACGCTTAACTATACATAATTACATATATAATTGATCCTTGTCTTAGAGAACTTCTTACAGATCACTTGCTTTATGAATTGTAAATATATTTTTTTACTTTTTATATTATTATATGATATACAACTATAATATAAACCTTTTTTTTTTAGAGAAGAGATTGTCTTATTATCTATCAAATACTGCTACAATTGGCGAAAATGTGAACCCCTTGAGCAAAAAGTGGATGGTAGATTTCTAGCACGCTTACAAAGATCACATATTGAGATCGGGCATTTAGAAATGAGCAGATATGGCCACTGAGAGATTCCACAATTTACTTAGGACGGATGTATTAAATGACTTTTAGGAAATATGTATATGCTTGAAGAGATTGGTGAGAGATATCAAAAGCATCACCAAAGTTATTTGCCAATACACGTGTCTTTTTTGTGTATACTCATAGTAAGTATTATTTGGATTTGTGGTTTACTGATACCAAAAAGTTTATTTATTTTTATTTGTATTTATAGAAGACAAAATTGAACTTTGGCAAATGTACAACCATGCTCGAGGAATTTTATAATGGAAGCATACATATAAAGCAATTGTTCCGATCTGCTATGAAGAGCAGAAAAAATACTTTTTTGATTTTGTGGCCTTGCTCTGGGATTTAAAAGTATATTTTAACTGTTTTTGCAGATGCTCTTTCTTACTTATTAACTTCTCTCTATGTTGTTCAGGAAAGTTTGATCAATATAGCAAATATGATCAAGTAATTACAGGATGAAGATAATGATGGAGTATCTAAGTCTAAGTTATCAGGTAGACTTCCTCCACACCCGGTTAAACCTGACAAACAATATCACAAGAAAGAAGGCATAAATTCTGTTGAGGATAAGAGCGACATGTCAAGTTATATTCAAGAAGACTAATAATGGTTGTTGAGAAGAAATTTTAGCTGTTTATAAGAAAAAATTCTTTTTAATCGTGTAATGTAACTGTGCTGCCAAATATAAGAAAAAATTCTTTTTAATATACAGTGTAATGTAATTGTGCTGCCGAAAATAAATCATGATAGGTCAACCTGTTTTATGAACGTAACATATTTTTTATTTGAACTTAATACCCCATAAAGCGCTATGTCTACGTCTGAAACTAATACATATTTCTGCTAATACAACTGGAAGTGAGTTGCTCACATTAGCGGATGGAGTTAAAAAATATAAAAATATAGCACAGCTGAACATATCTTGTTTTTGCCAGGACAAGAGAAAATTGTTCGTGAGCTTGAAAGGGAAGAATGGTTAAGGAGTCCATAGGAATAGTTGACACTAACAGCACATTTTTGTTTATCCAGTATATCGATGATTGGGATAAATGAAAAACGGATCATGAGTTATTGTTGGGATAATTTGTTGGTATAAATAGTTGGATTATCGAAAAATTTCTGCAAATCTTATCACAACAATCATATATTTTATTTTCTGTATCAATAAAACATTCAAAGCAAAAGTCATACATGGATATCAAGAATGATTTTTTATTGTGATGTAGAGTGTACATCGAAAAATATGTTTTTTGCACGGACATCAATGTGTACTAACCTACAGATCAAAATTTGAATAGTTCTATGCTTTACATAAAAAATACGGAAGACAGGCTATGGAAGAGAACACTGAACTCAAGAGCAGAATCGGTGAGTTGGAGAAAAATAGGACAGATACTGTTGCCGAGAATGTTGAACTTAGAGCTAGAGTTGTGAAATTGGAACAGGATATAGATGAACTTAAAAAAGAATTAGAATCTAAGAAAAATCACAAATTTCAGAAAAAATGTATTCTAATAGCCCAGATACTTCTTAATGAGGAGCCTGTGGTTGAATATCGGCCATCTTTTATGGAAGGATTAAAACTTGATGCCTTTTTCTAACATTATCGAATTGCATTGGAGGTCCAAGGAGCACAACATCGGCTTCATAGTACTGGTTGGTATAATGATATTAGAAAACTCAAGAATATTATTAATCGTGATCGGATATATAAATTTAGAGAGTTTATTGATCGAAAAGGATTAACCTTGTAGATCTTTAAGTTTGCTTATTCAATGACTTGGTACTTGAATTGCATGTGGCTTATATGATAAAATTATGATTTCGAAAAGGCGATCACATACTCTGCATATTATGGAAAACGAACTTATCGTCTTGAATGTTGGGAGGCTTATCAGAATAAAATCCCAATAGTAAGCGTGAAAGCATAAAGCGAGGCGGGAAACTTCGTCATGTGAGGAAATCGATCGGCCTGAAATGCACAGTACAAGGAAAAATTCTTGCCGAAGAATAGGGGCGTGCGATGTAAGTGACATGACATATTGCGCATGCGCATCTTTATTTTCCGGCCCAGCTTATTAATTCATCCCTTAACCCTTACTAAGTATAAATATACTAACATAGTGACGTGCCTAAATAAAAAACATAATTTAGATACTTGAAACTTTAGTAATCCATATCTAATCAATAAATAGTAGTCGTTTATTATTTTTTCTTATTTTTAGTATAAAGACAAGAATTGAGGAGTACACAAAGATATAGTCGAAAAGCTACCTACTGATACTAAACAAAACTATATAATAATTATTTAGCAGTAATATAGTCGTATGAACGTAAATTTTTGTTGGTGCCTTTCTGATTAACCGCATTAATGTTTGTTGGTGATTAAAGGTTTTAAAATAGGATGCTTACAAACTAGCAAAGATCGCAGAAAATCTATGAAGTATTCTTCGACGAAACATTTTTGTACATGCCATGTCAAGTTGCTATTGAATAATATCTTCAAATAAATCTAAGTTCATCTTGATCTTTTTTGCTGAATTACAAATCTTCAAACTAATAAAATATAAAAAATAATTAAGCATAGAAATTTTGTTTTTAAAAAAAAGAATATTACTATTTTCAAATAAACTCACTATTATTGGGTATTTCAAAATCGTAAGGTTTGCTAGGAAATTCTATAAAAAAATTATTTAGAGTTAATATATTTAAATAAATTGTTATAAGAAAGGTTATAAAAAATTACGTATTACGAAAATGATATTATAATTATTTACCTTCTTGTTCTCCTGTTCATTTAAATTATTTAAATTGACATTATTAATATAAAGGAAAATAATTACCAAATTAAATAATTAACTTATTTGCTTACCTTCAGTTGCATTTTTTGGTTCCGGTAAATTTTCAAATTGATAAAATTTACTCATTGATAACAAATATAGATTAGAATTTGAATTTGATTGAATTTGAGACGAATCATTATATTCCGAAGTATTAAATTTACCATTTTGAATATCGTGCCACATTTTTTGAATTTTATAATAAAGAGTTTCTATTGTGAATATAAAACATTTCCAGAATGTAAATCTCGATGAATTGCATCATTGTAATGAATTCTACGAAGTGCCACAATTAAATGCCAGACTACATGTATTTTTTCTTCCCATGTACATTGATGCTTTTGTAAATATTTTCTTAAATCCATATCCAATAAATGCATTACAAGCATATAATTTCCACTTGATGAATCTTGAGTTAAACCACAACATCCTACAAAGTCTGTATATTTGTTACTTAATATCAAATGTGATTTTGCCTATAAATATTTTATACAATATTAATAAGTTATTAATTAATAAAAAAAAAAATTTATAAATAAATTCAAAACAGATATAAACCTCATCAAACCAACTTCTATTAGCAGCTTCAATATTTCCTAATTCTTTAAGTACTACTTTAAATGTTAATTGTCGTTCTTTAGAATTCCATTTGACATATTCTTCACTAATCCAATTTGCTGAATAAATTTTATTGCATCCACCTTTAGTCATATATTCAATATTTTGTAAATTTTTCTATGGTATCCATTCAATCAATTTATCTGGGCGAAATGATTTTATTTGACATTCTTTTATTAAATCATCAATGTCACTATTTCCAGATGTCCAATTTGAAAAATTATTTTTTAAATAGTTTCGAACACAATGTTCACAATATGACGTTGCCAAACATTCTAAAGAACAATTTTCACATCGTCTTTTCGTTCCTTCATTAAATAAAAGTTTATTATGATCATAATTTATTGTTAATTTTTTTATTGCTTCCGTTCTTTCATCTGCTGTAAGAGATTCATCATCAAGAAGTGTTTGTTTTCGAAATTCATATAGTTTGGTTATGTCATTGTGAATATTAGGATCTGTTAATGCACTAGCTCTAATAATTGCAGCCAAAACAGTCTCGTTTCTAATAGCAGCCATATCAGATAAAAAAAAATTAGAGATCCACACACACACATTGCACAAAAAAGTGATTAATAACGTGACTATCGATTTTGTGATACAAAAAGCAAATGCAACGTTTCGATCTGCGACTATCCTATCCGCGATAGGCCAACATATCAAATTTAATTCACATGTTTCAAATTTAATATAAAGATAATCATAACAAGTATACTAATATACTAACTAAATATAAAAAAATACACAAAAAATAAAACTAATACAACAAATAACAGATTGATCACCCTTAATCACTATTATTGACCCAATTTTTAATCCATTCTTCAGCTTTTTCAATAATAATTTTTTCTTTTTCATTATTTCCAATCATTTTCTTAAAAACTTTTTCAGCTTTTTCATAACACATTTCACATTCATCTTTAAAATCATCAAACATAACAATTTTCAAATAAGCAATAGCAATACAACTAGTTAATATTTCTTCAATTTCCTTTTCACTTAATTCACTTAATTCTTTTTCAATTTCTTGTTTAAAGTTATTAAAACCATCTAAATAATTTTTATAAAAAAACTCATAAAATGTTTTATTAGGTAAGAATTTACCATCAAATGATTGTAATCCCAAAAATTCGAATAAATTTTCAATTTTTGGTTCTTGATGAATAACATTAACTTCCTGTTGCGATGCTTGTGGACTTCTTGAAACAAAAAAATTTTGAAAAAAAAAATATTAGTTATCATCCTCATATTATAAGAACATAAATGAACTTGTATACTAACTCTTCAACTAGATCTTCTGAACTAACCACTAATAAATCATATAAATATTCGATTAATTTAAGTGAGTGTCATTATTTCAATCCATTAAATAAATAAAATTATAAAACAAACATACAGAAACTTTGCACTTAGTGAATATGAATAAATTAAATTAATGTTATTAATTGTTTTCTTTTTTTTAAAAAAAAAATAAATAAATAAAAATATACAAATACTAATTTTTACCCATTACGGAACTCATGCTAAATGAACTCAAATTGTGTACCGTTCTATACGATGTAATTAATTGAGGGACTTCTCTTTTCTGTGGAATTATTTGAGCCTCGGATAAACTTTCATTATTTCGCTCATCAGTTGCAATGAAACTATAAAAAATTATAATTAATAGGTAATATACAAAATAAATTAATCGTAAATATAATTAAATGAATTTTATACCTTGTATATTTCGAGGCTAAATTAAAGGTTTTACCAAGTTTAACAATATGTCCTTTAACTAATGAATCTGGAATATGTTTATTAGCATTTTTAGGATGTTTATGAATAAATGATTTTTCATCATTAAGATCTTGAATCAGTTTCCTTGCCGCTAATCTATGAACCTTTGAACCTTGTAAAGTAACTGTATCTAAAGGAATATCAAGTTTCATAGGGCCATCTTGAGAAGTAGCTTTTAAAGTAATAACTTTACATGGTTCAATATTTTTTTCTAAAATACAATAGACAATAAATCGAACTCCAGAATAAATGGGTGGAATAATATATGGAGCTTGTTGAACTTTAATATCAGAAAATATATCACTTGGTGGTGGTGATGGTGGTTCCATATTGTCATCACTCATAAAACTAATAGTAGGTTTATCTACTTCAATTGGAGTCATATCTAATTCTTTTTCATCCAATAAATTGACCTCAGTCCAAGTAATATTATAATCCTTAATTGGTGGTTTTAATGCATTTTTTAACATTCCAATGACTTTTTTATCCATTCTTTCATCATTTGTTACAAATTGAGCATATCCTTTACCAGCACGAGCAACAGATTCAACTAAATTATGAGAAACAGAATCACCAATTCCTAACGAAAAAAGACGTAAATCATCGTTCTTTTCTTCTTCATGTTTACTTACAAGTTCTACAATTTGATCAACATTCCAAACTTCTCCATCTGTAATAAGAAATATAGAAGTTGGCATATCATCTCTTGAATTTTTAAATACCCATTCTAATACATTATAAACTTCTGTTCCCCCATAATTTGATTTCATTGTTTGAGCAAGATTAAGAGCTTTAGATAAAGATGTTTCAGAGTAAAGTTCACTTTTTGGAAAAAGAGAATCATAATCAGATCCAAAAGATACTACATTAAAATAACAATCTTCAGGAAGGGAACGTAATAATAATTCAAGTGCTTGTGCGGCTTTCTTCATAGGTTCAATATCCATTGATCCTGATCTGTTTAAAACATTTTTTTTTATTAATTGAACAGAAAATTTCAATTTGTAGTTGAGTTATAACATACCTATCAACAACAAAAACTAATTCGGATATAGTAGTATTTAATGAAAATTTTGGAACCAAAGTTAACATAATACAATTAGTTTGTAGTTCAGGATCATACTCAACAAAAGCTCTGAAATAAATTTAAATAATTTAATTATAGTAATTAAACAAAAAATAATTACGTGAAATATTTACCGTGGTTGATCAAGGTCCTTACTCTTAACAACAAGAATAAAATCTTTTTCTAAATAAGTAATTTGTTCGGTCAAAGTAATTTTAGAAATTTTAGGATTTCCGTCAATATTCATTTCAGTAGAAATTTTATGTGAAGGTGATTCAATATTTTGAATAGCTGAAGTCATTCTACAAGTAACAGCAAGTTCTAAATAAAAATCTGCTTTATCAGAATAAGATACAACATCAGGATTAAGAATTTTTCCATCATTTGAAGATGACGAGTATTCTGAAGAACCATATCTTGGAGCGATATTAGTTGGTAGGACAAATCGAATTTTTTCTGATTCAGAATCATGTTTAAGTTCGGTAACATATGTAATCTTAATGACTACAGTTTGTTCCGATGTAATATTTCCAACAGAACATTGAAACACATCTTCGGATTCAGATTCTAACAAATAAGCACCATGTCCTTCCTAATCATTTAAGAAAATGAAAGTTAATTATATTAAATAATATTTTGAAATTATTTTAAATTTGATATTACCTGAATTGCTTCAGTATACTCTTTCGCAGCCTCTTTTGCTTCTTTTACGATACCCTTTACTTTTCTTTGACCATCAATTTCTGCTTCAAACCCGCAGATTGCTGCGGCTTCATAGATAGGGAACTTATAGAGCGCTTCAATAGTGTCTTTTTCAATATTTTTATATGCCTGGCTGATCGTAACTAATAAAAAAAGAAAAAATAAATAAAAAAAACCACAATGAATAATCATAATATCATTTATATAAATTTGACGTACCTTCAGCGATCATATCAACGACTTTAAAAAAAATTGGCAATTAATGGATTTAATCAATTTTGGAACATCATTATAAAAAAAAATTGAAAAATAAGTTATAATCAACATGAACTTACTATTAGCTTCAACAGTAACATTTTGTAAAGGAATCGGTTTTATTTCCTGTTCAACAATAAAACAAAGTCCGTAAATTTGCATTTTAGAAAAATAAGTGAGTGAAGTGTGAGAGAATCAGTTCTGATTATCTGATATGTATATTAGACATAATATTAGACATGTACGACTGTACGTTATGCGTCAATTAACCCTATTTAGGCTATTAGAATAGGATCAGATTATTGATCGTAGTACACTCACTAATCAATCAACAACAAAATGCGAGGTCGTCAAATAGTAAAAATAATTTGATTTCTTAGCAATGAAAATGAAAATGTGTGCACATGTTGAGCTTTGGAGACTTTTTTTGTGGAGCAGAAGTGACGTCGTCATACAAATCGGCATAGCACTTTTTTATATATTTTTGAAGTTATATCTAAATACATTAATAATTAAACGAGGTAATGCGATCAAAGCATTGTAATTTCTAACAGCAACTTGTCACAAAGACGACTTGCTATGAAAACTTTTTCTACTTTTTCTTAAAGGATATGGAGTTTATTGTTAAAATCAGAATCTGCCCAGTACCACCCGAAAAATTCCGCAATTAGCCCACATTACGGCATTATGCACGAGCACGAAAAAATTAAGTCCCTTAAACGCCGTGGGTTTAAAAAGTATGTCACGTGATTGTGGAATTTTTCGGGTGTGATGTAAATTCATAAAAATATAATATATTTTTAATTTTTAACAAATAGATGCCTCTTTTGGAATTCATTATGATCCACTTGTCCACAAAAAATTTATTTCAATTCTTTGTCTAAAGCGTCTAATTTTATAAAAATTCTCGTTTATAAATAAATACTATGATACAAAGGTCGGATGTTGAGCGTCAAGAATCACATAATAATATTTGATGATTTAGCTTATTATCGCTCTGCATGCAAATTACTTAATAAAAATAAAATTATTATATGGTTACTGGACAAAAACCGGACAATTTGTCCGGTAATCGTCCTATAATTATAATCATCTAATAGTAACAACGTACACAGAAATCTGAAAACTGCAATAAAAATACAACAGTTACTCTGCACATAAATAAGCGCGATTTTTCATATTATTATTTTATATATTAGGTTGATCACTAGTAATATCAGTAATATCGACTTAACTGAAACTAAATACCAATTTTAACATTAATTAAGTTTAAATGACCTATGTTTAATTAAGTTAAAGTTAACTTTTTGTATACAATACGCTTGAATTTAATCAAAAGAATTCTCAATAAATTTTAGATCTACTAATAATATTCTTTGGACCATATTTTGCGAAAATATATTAAAAAAAGTGAGCAAATCGTTAGTCCAAGTCTTTTTGACAATTGTCACCTGATCACTAACGTTGAGGTGTAGCAACATTGATCAGGGAGAAAAAGGGAAGGAAAAGCGAGAGAGGAAAAGGGAATAGGGGAAGGGGAAAGGAAGGAGAAAGGGAAAGGGAAAGTGCGACATCTTTTGATTCTTTTACAATACCCTTTACTATTTCTGCTTCAAATCCGCAGACTACTGCGTCTTCATAATGGACAAAAAATAAAATATAATTACAAATTAATTATTGACATAAAATTATTATTAGTTTCAATAACAACATTTTGTAAAGAAATTGGATTTATTTCTTTCAATAATAAAGCAAAGTCCGTAAATTTGCATTTTATCTAGAAAATATACTGTATAATAAATAAAGTTAATTAAGAGATACATACTGTATATATAATATATATTTCTTGCGTTACATTTAATCATCTGATATATTTTTTTAAATTATAGTTTGTTAAGAGTTCCCAATGTGTAGTCTCTTTCACTTGAAAAAAGTTTTATTACTTTAAGAATCTAATTTTATCAAGATATTATATAAAAATAACTTTTTGATTACTATACAAGCTTTAAACACATTCTACTAATAATAAAATTTGAGTTATAAACATGATAGTACAAAGTCAGCCCCCGCAATGTAGTTTTTTCATTGTCAATTATGCACTTATGCTGACTTAAGTTAAGAATAATTACCATCAAACTACTTACTAATGTACAGTAACTTGCGAGGATAACTTTAAATTGGTGATGCAAAGGTTTTATGAGAAAAATTTCTAATTATATAAATAAAATATATATAAAGTTGTAGGCCTGTAGCACAATGAGATAAAAATTTTGAAAGCTATTAGTTTTAGAGTAATATACTATTATAATACAAATTTTTAGACCTTAAAATTAATAATTATTTTTGTGGCAGTTGTAATAATAAATTTCTGATTACATATCGATCAGATAGAGTTTTATCATCATTAATAAGGTACATATAACAACATTCAGAATACTGCCATAATTATAGTCCAAACATAATGAATATAAACGATTATGCGTGGTGGATAATAAGAATTATAATATTTTATCAATATGGTAATATCGGAATCATTTTATTGTGCTAGAGTTGCCGCAATGCTGTGCTTCCTTCGATCATAGAATCCAGAAAAGAAAGTCTTAATATTTTTCTACAATCTGAAAAAATTAAACTTTTAATTTCAGTCAGGCACCAGGCCGTTCATAAAATAATAATGATCCGTAAATTATTATGAAAATATTTTAAGGTTGATTCCTTTATTGTTACGAAATAATTTTACCTTAGTCTATGATAAATAACTAATTATAATATTCATAATTAACTATACTGTAAGTATATTTTTTTTAAAATATAGTATTTTCGAAGACCCTGATGAATGTTTGTAGCAGTTTTAATTTTTTTTTTTTTAAAAAAAAATTGAAATTATACGAAATTGGCTAGTTATTGTGATTTCGTAATAATATCGTGATTAATCTATACATAATGTAACATACTGTATGAAATTGTCACTTTAAGAACAATCTTTTTTTCTGGAAAACTCCGCAGAATAGAAAACTTCTAAATCAATTTGCAACAATGATTGGTAAATAATTATTAGATATCTTTCTTTTTTAATTAGAAAATTTTTTGAAAGTTCCTTCACAACCCTTTATATGCTTTTTGATATATATTTTTTGTAAGCATATCTTACAACCCATTATTATTAATTATAGTTTGTTCGAATATGAAAATATGCGGGTACCCTAATGAAGTTGGATAATAATCTCCTATTAATGAGAAGAACAAAAAGTAAGGTGATTGAGTAAAACCCAGTGAGAAATTCGATTGAGAAAAACAGGAACAGTACAGGAACGTGTATAAAGAAAGTTATGATGTCAATCACAAAGTGTTTGATTATAATGAGTTGTAATCCTAAAAAAAAGATCTTTATCATGAACAGCATTGGATCCATTTGATATCATTACTAAATAATTTACTCTAGCTATTCAAATTAGCATCAATAATTTAGAATTTGCACAGACTGTATAATGGACCGCATGAATTTGACGGTTTACGGCACAATTTCTCGACGGATGGCCAGAGTTATGAAGAGTTATGCGCGAGCACGTGATCAAACGGCCAGCGTTAGGCTGTCGGGAAAATGTCCTGTCGGGAAACGGTCCGTAAGCGGAATTTTGGACATCAAATTTACATAGGAAAAATAAGTAAACAATGTTAGTAACAGGATGGAATTATATTCTATATTCGTTTAAGAAACTTTTATACAAAAGTCTAAATTTTTTTATGCTAAATTGTTATTATAATTTATTTAAATTACTATTTATTACAATACATTTTCTTAACAGCTAATAAATGAATTATTTTAAGCTACACTACTTATAAGTAAACACTAACCAATACATATTTAATAACACCTTTACTTTCTCCAATTTTTAATCCACTCTTCACCTCTTTCAATAATAATCCTTTCTTTCTCTATATTTCCAATCATTTTCTTTAAAACTTTTTCAACTTTTTCATAACACATTTCACACTCATCTTTAAAATTATCAAACATAATAATTTTCAAATAAGCAATAGCAATACAATTGCTTAATATTTCTTCAATTTCTTTTTCACTTAATTCACTTAATTCTTTTTCAATTTCTTGTTTTAAATTATTAAAATCACTTAAATCATCTTTATAAAAAAATTCATAAAATGATCTATTTGGTAAAAATTTACCATTAAATGATTGTAATCTCAAAAATTCAAATAAATTTTCAATCTGTGATTCTTTATGATTAATATTGGAGTTGTTAATTATTGGTGATGGTGATTGTGCAAATGAACCAAATGCAAATTTTGATCGATGAGTTGAATCAAATCCAAAACCAGTTTGAGAATTAGTAGGTTGTCCCAATAAACTAGGTTGGCTAGTTTGGGCACCAAATCCAAAACCAGTTTGAGAATTAGTAGGTTGTCCCAATAAACTAGGTTGGCTAGTTTGGGCAGTAGTTTGTCCAAATAAACTAGGTTGGCTAGTTTGGGTAGCAGTTTGTCCAAATCCAAAACCAGTTTGAGAATTAGTAGGTTGTCCAAATAAACTAGGTTGGCTAGTTTGGGCAGCAGTTTGTCCAAATCCACTAGGTTGGCTAGTTTGGGTAGCAGTTTGTCCAAATCCAAAACCAGTTTGAGAATTAGTAGGTTGTCCAAATAAACTAGGTTGGCTAGTTTGGGCAGCAGTTTGTCCAAATCCAAAACCAGTTTGAGAATTAGTAGGTTGTCCAAATAAACTAGGTTGGCTAGTTTGGGCAGCAGTTTGTCCAAATCCAAAACCAGTTTGAGAATTAGTAGGTTGTCCAAATAAACTAGGTTGGCTAGTAGGGGCAGCAGTTTGTCCAAATCCAAAACCAGTTTGAGAATTAGTAGGTTGTCCAAATAAACTAGGTTGGCTAGTTTGGGCAGCAGTTTGTCCAAATCCAAAACCAGTTTGAGAATTAGTAGGTTGTCCAAATAAACTAGGTTGGCTAGTTTGGGCAGCAGTTTGTCCAAATAAACTAGGTTGGCTAGTTTGGGTAGCAGTTTGTCCAAATCCAAAACCAGTCGGTTGTGTAGCTTGTCCAAATCCAAATCCACCAGTCGGTTGTGTAGCTTGTCCAAATCCAAAACCACCAGTCGGTTGTGTAGCTTGTCCAAATCCAAAACCAGTCGGTTGTGTAGTTTGTCCAAGTCCAAAACCAGTCGGTTGTGTAGTTTGTCCAAATCCAAAACCAGTCGGTTGTGTAGTTTGCCCCATTCCAAAACCATTTCCAAATCCTGATCGAGTTTGTCCAAATCCAAAACCAGTCGATTGTGTAGTTTGTCTAAATAAAATAGGCTGGATGGCGGATTGGGCTCGAATAGTCCTTTGGCCAAGTAACTGTTGTTGAGATTGCTGTTGTTGAGATTGTTGTGCAGAACTACCGAATTGAGAAGAATTAGTACTTTTAAATATATATACAAAACAAAGTTTATAATAATTTTTTTTTTTGAATAAAGAAAAAAAAATACTTACAAAAATGTAGCTATAATATAGAAATAATTAATTAATAACATATACATAAATAAATTAAAAACAATTTTTTTTTTACATACGTCCAAATCCAAGATTTAAATTAGCATATTGAGGAACGATTCTTTTCTGTGGAATTGTTTGAGATTCAGATACAACTGTTTCAATATTTTTTTCATCGATTGCAATAAAACTAATAAAAAATATATAAAAGTATAATATTATTATTAAGAAATAAATGTAATAAAGTTATAAAAGTAAATTTACACTACCTTGTATATTTCGAAGCTAAATTATATGTTTTCCCAAGCTTAACAATTTGTTCTTCAACAAATGAAGCTGGAATATATTTATTAGCATTTTTAGGATGTTTATGAATAAATGATTTTTTATCATTAAGGTCTTGAATAAGTTTTCTTGCCGCTAATCTATGAATTTTTGAACCTTGTAGAGTAACTGGATCTAAAGGAATATCAAGTTTCATAGGACCATCTTGTGAAGTAGCTTTCAAACTAATAACTTTACATGGTTCAATATTTTTTTCCAAAATACAATAGACTATAAAACGAACACCAGAATAAATTGGTGGAATAAAATATGGAGCTTGTTGAACTTTAATATCTGTAAATATATTTAAGGTTGGTGGTGGTGGTTCCGTATTATCATCACTCATAAAACTAATAGTAGGTTTATCAACTTCCATTGGAGTTATGTCTAATTCTTTTTCTTCGAATGGTTCGACATTGGCCCAGGTAACATTATAATCTTTAATTGGTGATTTCAATGCATTTTTTAACATTCCAATGACTTTTTTATCTATTCTTTCATCATTTGTTACAAATTGAGAATATCCTTTACCGGCACGAGCAATAGATTCAACTAAATTATGAGAAACAGAATCACCAATTCCTAATGAAAAAAGTCGTAAATCATCTTTCTTTTTTTCTTCATTTTCACGTACGAGTTCTACAATTTGATCAACATTCCAAACTCCGCCATCCGTAAGAAAAAATACGGAAGTTGGCATATCATCCCTTGAATTTTCAAATGTCCATTTTAATGCACTAAAAACCTCGGTCCCACCATAATTTGCAGTCATTGTTTGAGCAAGATTAAGAGCTTTAGATAAAGATGTTTCAGAATAAAGTTGACTCTTTGGAAAAAGAGGATCATAACGAGATCCAAAAGATACTACATTAAAGTAACAATCTTCGGAAAGTGAATGCAATAATAATTCAAGAGCTTGTGCAGCTTTTTTCATAGGCTCAATTCCCATTGATCCAGATCTATTTCATATTCAAAAAAAAAATAAATAAATAAAAAAAAGATGAAATGAATTTAATAATACACTTATAATTGAATTATATCATACCTATCAACGACAAAAATTAGTTCGGACATAGTTGCATTTAACGCAAATGTTGGAACCAAAGTCAACATAACACAATTAGTTTGCGTTTCAGGATTGTACTCAACAAAAGCTCTAAAAGAGATTATATCAAAAAGATTAACGATTAAAATAAGGAAAAAAGAAAGTAAATGCAAAATTATTAATTAAAATGTTTACCGTGGTTGATTAAGGTCTTTACTTTTAACCACAAGAATAAAATCTTTTTCTAAATAAGTAATTTGTTCGGATAAAGTAACTTTGGAAATTTTAGGATTTTCATCAATATTCATTTCAGTAGAAATTTTATGTGAAGGTGATTCAATATTTTGAATAGTTGAAGTCATTCTACAAGTAACAGCAAGATCTAAATAAAAGTCTGCCTTATTAGAATAAGATACAACATCAGGATTAAGAATCTTTCCATCATTTGAAGATGACGAATATTCTGAAGAACCATATCTTGGAGCGATATTAGTTGGTAGAACAAACCGAATTTTCTCCGTTTCAGAATCGTGTTTAAGTTCAGTAACATATGTTATCTTTATGATTACAGTTTGTCCTGATGTAATATTTCCAACAGAACATTGAAACACATCTTCGGATTCAGATTCTAACAAATAAGCACCATGTCCCTTCTGATTAATTAAAAAAAAGAGAATTAATTCATTTACATACAGAAAAAAATAACGTTGAAAATTATTAAAATATTTCACCTGAACTGCTTCAGTATATTCTTTAGCGGCCTCTTTTGATTCTTTTACGATACCCTTTATTTTTCTCTGTCCATCGATTTCTGCTTCAAATCCGCAGATTGCTGCGGCCTCATAAATAGGAAACTTATAGAATGCTTCGATAGTATCTTTTTCAACGTTTTTATAAGTTTGGCTAATCGTAACTATTATAAAAAAAAAATAAGTAAATAAAAAAATAAATAAATAAATAAAATAAAATAAATAAAATATGAATTATGAACAATAGTATTTTATAATTGATCAACACGAACCTTCAGCGATCATATCAACGACTAAAAATAATTTAAATATATGATTAAATTAATTGGAATAGCAATTTAAAAGAAAAAATTATAGAATCAAGATATTTACCATTAGCTTCTACGACAACATTTTGTAAAGGAATCGGAGTTACTCCCTGCCCAATAAAACAAAGACCGTAAATTTGCATCTTGAAAAAATATCAATAAAATAAAGATAATTACTATGCGGAGAAGCATTAAATGCCAATGAATTTATATTCTTTTTTTGCGGAAATGTAATTCCAGCAAAGCCAATATAGGTATTATTAAATTACCCTTTTTCATACTGATCAGCAAATTTAGCCGCAAGCGCAGTAAATTGCCGTACTACTGTGCCTGCGGACTAGAATAAAACGAACTGTACACTAATAAATAACGATAGTAAAAAGAGAAATTTCGGAATAATTTCCATGAAACTTATGAGTCTGTATTTATCTCTGTTGCATATCAAATTTCGTGAATGCCAGAGTCAATTTCCTTAGAGGTTGGTATGTTATAAACGCCCTAAATTGAAACACCGATAAGTTGCTATCTGCTATCTAATCTTCTAATATTTAAAAACACTGCGTTATGTTTAGATTAACCATATAAATAAATCATTTGAATTGTGTAACACTACTCCTATTCGTCGCCAATGTCACGCAAGACCAAAAAGGAAATTTATAGTTACGCGAATTTCCAAAAAGGAAAATTTATCTTCTGCATTGCTCAAATTTCCAAAAAAGGAAATTCTTTGCAGATCTTTAATTCTGGCCGGAATTATAACATTTTTTTTTATAATAATTTCTTTAAAATTATATAATAAAAAATGAATAATAAGGTTTCAAAAAACTGTATATTATTTAATTTTACATTTTTTTAGTAATACACATTAACCGTTGACGTAGATAACGGGTGAACACTAGTATCTGTAAAATTCTTTGTCAGATGTGTTAAGCAGAGAAGACAAAACCCTTAATGGTTCCGTAAAATTCATGTTTTATATATAAAGATTATTTTTATATAATACTGTTAAGAATATATACAAAATTTTATTTGAAATAATACATAGAAAGGACCAATGATAAAATTTATAATAAAGACTGAACCTTACGTTACAGATATTTCAATGAGACTGATGCAAAGGCAGAGACAAGAATTATTCGATTTGGTAAGCAACGAAGATAAAAGGACAAAGCAGTTAGCTAACAAGATCGCGAGAAACTCAAACAGGCTGAAGCGAGACGTCAAGTTAGGAAACTGGCTAGGGCTTCAAAGATTAAATACATTCCATCAAAAAAAAAATGCATTTTTTGTCTCTAATTCTATCAAAAAGTATTTTTAAATGAATAATGTAATGCTTGAAACTGAAATTCATCTTGATCCTATAATCAAATAAACGTTAACCGCATAAATGTCATTACTCTCCACAATAAATTCACTTTCGTCCTAAAAAATTAGAGCAGATCCTTTTCTAGAAAAGCTAGGAGAATGGATTAATTCTTTGATCAGATTCAAAAGGTTTGTTCTCTAAGTACATATGCTGATTTGATCTTAATTTATGTATCTTTATAATTTATTATTGTAGCATAAAAGAATTCGCTTAAATTCTCTAGTGATAGCGGACTAAGTTGTTGCTTTATAACATACTTATTACAAGAAAAAGTAAAAATAGGAAATTATTTGAGTGGCAATTATGAAATGAAAAAAAAAATCAATTTAAAATGCGCGCTAATAATTAATGGTTTCACTTTATCCATAATATGGATGGGAGCAACTATTTTAAAAATTATGTTTGAAAAATGATCCTACAACCCTCATCTAACGAAAATAATATCAAGGCTTTCTAATACTGTATACAATAAAAAAGCTGGTTTGGTTTTGCTTAGTTCTTGTTTTTGGCGCAGTACGAAGACGTTAACAGAGTATTCATAATAAATTCTGTCTCTATAATGCATGACCTGAAATCTCAAATGGATAATAGTTTATTCACAAAATCCCACGAACAATTATATTACGATGGAACGATGTTTTTGCTCATGTGTTAACTAATATGCAACTTGAAATGTATAAATACCAGCTGCGTAATTATGTACGCCAAAGATAAAGGACCAAGATGAGGTCAAGAAAAAAATGTTTGCAACAATCTTCCGAAATAGGGTTTCAACATTATTTCTTTAAAGGATATGCTCGTACTTTTAAAGTAAGCGATCTATTATTTCAATTAGTTTTATAATAAAAAATTTTGGTGTTATTTTCGAACCTTCATTTATTACTCTTATAGATTTAGATACAAATATTTTACTGTAAAATATATAATTTTTTATTTAATATATACTGTATTTCAGTAACCATAAAATAAATAAAAAATATCTACATATTATACATAAATACTACAAAACAAAGGAAATAAAATTTTCATCAAAAGAATATTATAAATTACTTATTCATTTGCCATTAATAACCCAATTTTTAATCCATTCTTTAGCTTTTTCCCCAATAAGTTTTTCTTTTTCTTCATCTTCAACCATTTTCTTTAAAGCTTTAACAGCTTTTTCGTAACACAACTCACTTTCATCTTTAAATTTTTTAAATATAATTATTTCCAGATAAGCCAATGCAATACTAGTAGTTAATATTTCTTCAATTTCTTTAATACCAATATCACCCATTTCTTTTATAATTTCTTGTTTTAAATTGATGAAATCATTTAAATCATTCTTATAAAAAAATTTATAAAACGAATCATTTAATAAGAATTTACCATCAAATGACTGTAATTCTAAAAATCCAAATAAATTTTCAATTTGTGATTCCTTATGATTGACTTCAGATTTACTATCGTCAAATACGCTTCCAATTTGTGATTCTTTATGATTGAATTCAGATTCAATGTTTAGTCCACATTCACTATATAGTAGTGATACTGATTGTGCTTCTTTTGTTTCTTTTGGTCCGGATTTTGCCGATACAAGAGATCGAATTCTATTGAAAATAATTTCTTAATTATTTCTCATTTACAGCGTAATCAAAAAAAAAACTTAAACTACTGACCCCGATCTTACTAAATCCATTATATTAATCCTTGAAGTGGTAGCAAGGCCAGCAATGGCAGTATCAGTAGTAGCAAACTAATATTTAAATTGATCAAGGATCATTTAATAAAAATCACTCATATTCATTAACTAATATTACTGTTAATAAGTGTGTTTCATTATTTTAAATATACAAAATATTAACATTTCTTCTTACCCTTCCAATTGTCATAAAATTACTGCTTGATTGTAATGTACTGAATTGAGGAGCTAATTGAGGAACATTCCTTTTTTGTGGAATTGTTCGAGATTTAATTAGAACTTCACTAATTTCATTATTTCTTTCATCGATTGCAATAAAACTAATAATAAAAAAAGATAATCATCATTATTTAAAAATTTTATATAAAGAAAATAAATAAATAAATTATACCTTGTAAATTTTGAAGCTAAATTATAAGTTTTGCCAAGTTTAACAATATGTTCTTTAACGAATGAAGCTGGAATAAATTTACCAACATTTTTAGGATGTTTATGAATAAATGATTTTTTATAATCAAGATCTTGAATAAGTTTTCTTGCCGCTAATCTATGAATTTTTGAACCTTGTAAGGTAACAGGATCCAAAGGAATATCAAGTACCATAGGACGATCATCATGAGAAGTAGCTTTTAATGTAATAGTTTTACATGGCTCAATATTTTTTTCCAAAATACAATAGGCCATAAAACGAATACCAGTATAAATTGGTGGAATAATATATGGAGCTTGTTGAATCTTAATAGATGGTAAAGATTCTGTCTCATCACTCATAAAGCTAATAGCCGATTTATCATCATTTAATTCCAAAAGATCTGTATTAGTCCAAGTAATTTTATAATCCTTAATTGGTGGTTTTAATGCACTTTTCAGCATTTCAATAACTTTTCTATCCATTCTTTCATCATTTGTTACAAATTGAGCGTATCCTCTACCAGCACGGGCAACAGATTCAACTAAATTATGAGAAACAGAATCACCAATTCCTAATGAAAAAAGCCGTAAATCATCTTTCTTTTTTTCTTCATTTTCACGTACAAGTTCTACAATCTCATCAGCATCCCAAACTCTGCCATCTGTAATAAGAAATACAGAAATTGGCATATCATCTCTTGAATTTTTAAATACCCATTCTAATACATTATGAATTTTTGTTCCTCCATAATTTGAAGTCATTGTTTGAGCAAGATTAAGAGCCTTAGACAACGATTTTTCAGAATAAAGTTGACTTTTTGGAAAAAGAGAATCATAACGAGATCCAAAGGATATTACATTAAAGTAGCAATTTTCAGGAAGTGAATGCAATAACAATTCAAGTGCTTGTGCGGCTTTCTTCATAGGTTCAATACCCATTGATCCCGATCTATTTCATATTCAAAAAAATAAAAATTCATTGTAAATTAAATGGAAACTTCACTTTAAAAATTATTTACATAGGCGACATACCTATCTACAATGAAAACTAGCTCAGACATGATTACATTTAACGAGAATTTTGGAACCAAAGTCAACATAACACAATTAGTTTCTGTTTCAGGATTGTATTCAACAAAAGCTCTAAAAAAAATATAATTATATTAAAAATAAAAAAAAAATAAAAAAAAAAATTATATATATATAAATACAAAATTATTAATTAAAATATTTACCGTGGTTGATCAATCTCTTTACTTTTAATCATAAGAATAAAATCTTTTTCTAAATAAGTAATTTGTTCGGATAAAGTAATTTTAGAAATTTTGGGATTCTCATCAATATTCATTTCAGTAGAAATTTTATGTGAAGGTGATTCAATATTTTGAATAGTTGAAGTCATTCTGCAAGTAACAGTAAGATCTAAATAAAAATCTGCTTTATTAGAATAAGATACAACATCAGGTTTAAGAATTTTTCCATCATTTGAAGATGACGAATATACTGAAGAACCATATCTTGGAGCGATATTAGTTGGTAGAATAAATCGAATTTTCTCTGATTCAGAATCATGTTTAAGCTCGGTAACATATGTAATTTTAATAACCACGGTTTGTCCTGATGTGATATTTCCAACAGAACATTGAAACACATCTTCGGACTCAGATTCTAACAAATAAGCACCATGTCCTTTCTATTCAATTCAAGAACAATTAAACTTATATATAAAAATAAATGTATTAAATCATTTTTAAATTTATTAGATATTACCTGAACTGCTTCAGTATATTCTTTAGCGGCCTCTTTTGATTCTTTTACGATGCCTTTTATTTTTCTTCGTCCATCAATTTCTGCTTCAAATTCGCAGATTGCTGCGGCTTCATAAATAGGAAACTTATAGAATGCTTCGATAGTATCTCTTTCAACATTTTTATAAGTTTGTCTGATAGTAACTATTAAAGATGAATTATAGAATTATAGTATAAATATTTAAAAAAAAATCATATCATATAATTTGACCAAACTACGAACCTTCAGCGATCATATCAACGACTAATATTTAAAGAGAATTAAATGAAATATCATTTTCATATCATAAATAAAAAAAATTGTCAAGTAAACCGGCTTACTATTAGCTCCGATAATAACATTTCGTAAAGGAATAGGATTTATTCCTATTTCAGTTGAAAAACAAAGACCGTAAGTTGACATCTTGGGAAAAAATCAAAAAATTATTAATTTCATTTCATTGCCTATTATATTTTTTGTCAAGGCGTGGATCAAACTTTATTTAGTAAGATTAAACACTTAGACAACCTTTCGATCACATGATAAAAAAGTATATTATAAACATTAGGCAAAATGTGAAATATAACAAGACAGAAAGACATTTATGGAATGATATCACACAGTATATGGTTCAAGAAATATACATTCTTTATTTAAAAAAATTCATTACAAAAAAGATTATAAATCTTAAATCTCAACAAATTATATGGTCAACTACTTTATATTGTAGAAAAGAATTAGAAATCATGAAATATCGTCCAATAAACTTTGTAGTAAACAGATCAGAAAGTTCGTTAACTTGAATTCTAAAAGAACTATGAGAAAGATAATTGAAATTTAAAATTTGTTAAGTGGAATAAAAAAAAAAAAAGATTCCTCAATAACATGAAGCCAAGGCTAGTGTATATTTAAATAAAAATGATTGTTGCATTTGTGATAGGATTGGGGGTATTTTCAAAGTGCGATAAACATTAGATGTAGATGTATTGAAAAATTATGAAAAAAAAAGATCAAATGTTCGTTATTTAAACCAAAATGTCCAATTCGCCTGTATAGGCAATATATATATAAACGAAGAAAATATATAGAAAAATCCTCTTTTAATATCGTCATTAATATCTTCATCTATTTCTTTTCTGTCCAAAAACTGATTTGTATAGCATGGAAATTATTCCAAGAGTAAACGTCGTAGCTACCGTAGTTACTAAATAAACTATATTAAAATCTAATTTATTCAAGTCGTCATGTTGTTGGACAGATTTTAGATCTTTTTGTAAAACTTCTCGGGATGTTATCTCTATAGGAGGCTTCTTCTTGCTTTTAGATTTTATGCTTAATGATTCTTTAGTTGGAGAAACAATTTCTCGTGACGCATTGGTAGCTACAGTTATATTATGAGTAGTATACATATCAGCATTTCGCGTTGACTCACCAGGTGATGACGCATTTGGTGATATTGGAGATATCTTACGTTGACTTATCTTGCCAGCTGAAATATTTACTCCTGTTAAGGATTCTTCGGAATTTTCTTGTTTTTCGATCAATTTTAGTTTTTCGATCGCTTTTAATACATCCGCATTAATCAAATCTTGATCATTTGCAGGTGCTATTACAGTTGTGGGCATTGAAGATACCTTCTCATCAGCTGTGGCGCTACTTTCTGGTTTTTCATATTGAACAGATGAAGGCTCAGCTATTACTTTGACTTCTGTTGTTGAATTAATATTTTCTTTGATAACGAGTTTTTCTCCACTCATGATATCGTATTCTTTTGCCTTTTCTTCAACGATAATCTCTCGAGTTTTATCTTCCATGTGTGATTCATTATTGGTCGATTGCGCAGGCACCTCTCTTACGAGAGTGCTTTCAAGATTTTCATTTACATTTGTAGAAGACGGGATTCCTTCTTGTTCTGTGACTGTCTCCTCAACAAGGGACGTTGAAAGAATTTCCTGCGATTCGGTTACTTCATTACTTGAATAAATTTTTTCAATTACGTGCTCAGATTTGGGAGTACCAGTATTTTCTTCAATTAATGCCCAAGTGTCTTTATTCGACCATTCAACTTGAGTATTCTCGGACCATACATAGGCCGTTGACTCGTACGATTCTAGCCATGTACTAGGAATAGTTTCATCTATCGATTCATCCTTAGCCCAAGTATGATTCAATATAACCTCCTTAATAGACTCTGCAGATACTCCTTCAGGATATGTCTCTCCATTGAAGTGATTGAACATATCATCATAGGTCGAATATTCATTATCATCATCCTTATTATAATCATCATCCTCATAATCATCATCCTCATCCTCATCATCATCATCATTTTCATTTATTGGGTCAAGTTCAGGTTCATAAGTTTCTTCATAATCCACATCTGCAGAGGGCATTATTATTTCTGTAGCATTAGTTGTTGAATCGGATATTTTAACGCTTGAAGGTGAAACGTTCTGTTCGTGTTTTTCATCGATTGAAGGAGGTTTATCCTCGATAAATTCTGTAACTTTAGATTCATCTTCAAAAACAACAGATTGTTCAGTAAATTTATTGATTGAATCATCATCTTTAACGACAGATTGTTCAGTAAATTCATTAATCGAATCATCTTTAATGACAGATTGTTCAGTAAACTCATTGATCAATTCATCTTTAATAACCGATTGTTCAGTAAATTCATTGATGGATTCATCTTTAATAACAGATTGTTCAGTAAATTCATTGATGGATTCATCTTTACTAATAGATTGTTCAGTAAATTCATTGATGGATTCATCTTTTATAATAGATTGTTCAGTAAATTCATTGATGGATTCATCTTTAACGACAGATTGTACAATAATAACTTCGTTACTTAATCCCTCAACATTAACATCTGAAGTTTCAGAGTCGGGTGTCTCTTGTGTAATTGTTGTTATCGAAGAAATTCCTTCATCTTGATTACTGGATACCATTTCTTCCTTTGTTTGTTCAGAAGTTACTTCACCGGAAATATTAATTTCTTTTTCAATAAATGTAACAGGGTTCGTTGAATCATCATGTGAAGTGGATGAAGTATATTGAGACTCTTTTATAGTTTCAACGATATTAGGAGTCTTTTCAATGGATTCATTATTTGCGACGTGCTCTGCGGATAACTTTTCGTTATCAGATTCAATAATTGTTTCTTTCATAATTGAGGTGGTTTCAATCTCTAGTACCTCTGATACGAGGGAATTGTCACGTGATTGGTCAATTTGAACTGCTTCGGAAGATTCAGTAGAAGATTCTGTGATCTTTTCTGTAACATCTGATTCAACGTGAACTTCATCAACAAACAGTTCAGTTTTTTTAGAAACCTCCTCGTGCTGATGCACGATCTGATCATCATCATGCGGGTGCTGTTCTTTCTGATCATCAGCTGTTGCTGTGACCTGATCATCAAAATGCTGGTAATGTTCTTTTTGATCATTATTAATACTGACCTGACTTCCCTCATGCTGATTTTGCTCAATTTGGACTTCAGATAAGATCTGTTTCCCCCCTTGTTGAAGCTGAACTTGATTTTCCTCAAGTTGATGTTGATCTTTTTGGATAGCAACTTCAACCTGTTCTTCCGAATTTTGATTTAGTTCTTCGTCCTCTTTTTGGATAGCAACTTCAACTTGTTCTTCCGAATTTTGATTTAGTTCTTGGTCCTCTTTTTGGATAGCAACTTCAACCTGTTCTTCCACATTTTGATTTAGTTCTTGGTCCTCTTTTTGGATATCAACTTCAACCTGTTCTTCCATATTTTGATTTAGTTCTTGGTCATCGTTTACAACTTGATTTTCATAATAATGTTCTTTTTGATGGATTTCAGATTCAAGATTTTCAACTTTCTGCTCTTCATCATCTTTTTGATCCTCAGCCATTTTTTCTTCTTCAGATGGAATAGGAGGTGGTAATGAAACCTCATCATTTTGATCCTCGGTTATTTTTTCTTCTTCAGATGGAATATGAGGTGGAAATGGAATCTCATCTTTTTGATCCTCGGTTATTTTTTCTTCTTCAGATGGAATAGAAGGTGGTAATGGAACCTCATCTTTTTGATCCTCGGTCATTTTTTCATCTTCAGATGGAAGAGGAGGTGGTAATTGAACCTCATCTTTTTGATCCTCAATCATTTTTTCTTCTACAGATGGAAGAGGAGATGGTGATGGAGGTTCCACCTCAATTACATGATTATAATTACCACTTTCATCAGGATAAGAAGGTATAGTAGGATCCAATACCCATTGATCGTCAATAACAAATTTATAAAAATATTTTTTATCTGGCACTAAACTCAAAGTAACTTCGTTAACATTATCAGCATTTTTATTCATATCTATTGGAGTCCATACTGGATTTGGAGGATCAAATGAACCAGCAATACAAATATGATTACCCCATTGTGACCAAGTAAATGTGGTTGGTACATGTTGTAAATTGTCTTCGCACGACATTCTTTTTTTAAAAGTATTCTATAAAAAGTCTATGTGTAATAATTTTTTTGAAAAAAAAAAAAATATATATATATATAATTATTAGATATTGATTACCTCAAGGAAAAAAGAAAATAATTATTACTTTTATGATGATGATCATCAAAAACAAACAAATAAATAAATACGCAGTAATGGCATTATTAATAAACAATCTGTGTCACGCTTAATTGAATCCCACACACACACATACAACCAAGATTTCGGTAACCTATCACACAAAAATAGAAGTTCAGATTACCTTTTAATCGGATGTAGTATTGCTCCTCGTTGTCACAATCTTTATACGTGAGGTATATTATTTACAAAGGGTTAAGGGAAAAAAAAATGTTTAAAAAACACAATTTATATATATAAAAAAAAAAAAAAAAA